TACCCCGCCCATCTGGCTGCGTTTCCCCATTCACTCTGGCTGGCTCCCAACAGAGCACTAAAGCAGAATAAAACATCAAACATTAAAAACATCCCTAAACAGGTCTGCCTTCAGATATCTCCTAAAAATCAGACAGTTGTTTATTTCCTTGACATCTGATGGGAGGGCGTTCCACAGGACAGGTGCCACCACCGAGAAGGCCCTCTGCCTGTTTTCCCTGTAACCTCACTTCTCGCAGGGAGGGAACTGCCAGAAGGTCCTCGGAGTTGGACCTCAATGTCTGGGGTGAATGATGGGGGTGGAGACGCTCCCTCAGGTATACTGGGCCGAGGCCATTTAGGGCTTTCAAGGTCAACACCAACACTTTGAACTGTGCTCAGAAACGTACCTTCCCCAACCTGCAGATGTTTTGGCCTGCAACGCCCAAGCCAGCGTGGCCATATGATGCAGGGGCTGATGGGAGTTGTAGTCCAAAACATCTGTAGATTGCGGGGAGGGTAACCTAGGACAATGACAAGGTTGCATTGTCAAACTCCTGAGGGATCCGGTATCTGTAAGAGTTGCGCAGAAGGCAGCGTCTTGCCTGGTGTGACTTCTCTGCCTCTGGAAATTCTCCCGCTACTATTGCATGTGAATGGGAAAAGCAGTGTATGCTGAAAATTTCCCATTTGTGTGCAATTCTTTAAAAAAACGACGGGAGCCTTTTCAAGGTCTGGGCCTGACAGCTGTAAGGGGAGCATTTTGCTGCTGCAGCAGTAGACGGGAGTGCTTCTATGCTGCTTGGGAACAGCAAAGGGCAAAGAAAGCATAGAGGGTGTGATATTGTTGGAAGGCAAGGCAGGGCAAGGCAATGAGCAGGGGATCCTTCTGGTGGTATGCTTGGTGGAGGAGGCTAAGGTTCTCCCTATGTGACTTCACGGTAGGAAAAACTGCATCCGTTGAATTTCTGCCTGGCATCTGGCTTCTGTTAAGGGGGAATGATCAAAACCTTCATGCAGGTAGGTGAGGAGTCCAGTAGGCTTGAAGTGGGTAAGGATCCTCTCATATCCTTTCAATGCAGACTAATTGCCAATTACAGTGGTACCTCAGGTTAAGTACAGTGGTACCTCTGGTTACGTAGTTAATTTGTTCCAGAGGTCTGTTCTTAACCTGAAACGGTTCTTAACCTGAAGACCACTTTAGTTAATGGGGCCTCCCGCTGCTGCCGCGCCGCCAGAGCATGATTTCTGTTCTCATCCTGAAGCAAAGTTCTTAACCTGAGGTGCTATTTCTGGGTTAGCGGAGTCTGTAACCTGAAGCGTATGTAACCTGAAGCATATGTAACCCGAGGTACCACTGTACTTAATTCGTTCTGGAGGTCCATCCTTAACCTGAAACTGTTCTTAACCTGAAGCACCACTTTTGCTAATGGGTCCTCCTGCTGCTGCCACGCCGCTGGAGCACGATTTCTGTTCTCATCCTGAAGCAAAGTTCTTAACCCGAGGTACTGTTTCTGGGTTAGTGGAGTCCTTAACCTGAAGCGTATGTAACCTGAGGTACCACTGTACTTGCAATTCTAGCAATTAAATAATGATGGAAGGGTGTCTTTCCCCTATGCTTTTAGGATATAATTTTAGTGAGGGAGCTAGTGTTGTTGACTGTTGAGAAGCAGAAGAAAAATAGCCTGGCCTGCTCCTGTGTTTTAAAAGAGCACAAATCAGTAGATGAAGCTTTTTACTAACATGATCACCTGCGAATGTGTGTACTGTCAAGCTGCTCTGAAAAAAAACGTGGCTGGTTCCAAAGTTGGCAACCCTATTTCTGACGCTGGCAATGATGTTGTGGGTCTATGCCTGTGCGTTATTTTAGGGGAGCTTTGGTTGTGTCCCTCTCACCTTTCACTTGTACGAACAGTGTAAGACACTGTCCCAGATCTTGATCAGATGACAGTCTAATATGAGATAGTTAATTCTTAATCCCCTTGCTTAGCTCTGTAAAGCTAAGCGGGGCATGGGTGGACTGCCATTGGGAGCCCCATGCAGACTAATCTCTAAAATCAGTGTTTCCCAAACTTGGGTCTCCAGCTGTTGTTGGATTACAACTCCCATCATCCCTAGCTAGCAAGACCAGTGGTCAAGGATGATGGGAATTGTAGTCCAAAAGCAGCCGGAGATCCAAGTTTGGGAAACACTGCTCCAAAGGAAGTGCTGGATGTGCTTCAAACCGGGTGCTTAATATGGAACTGGTGCTCTGTGTGCATAGAAGTTTTTCACAGCATCCACACAATGCCGTCGGCATCCAAATTTAATCCTGTCACATCCTCCCATTTAATCCAGATTCACCCATTTCTGTGGAAAATCTGATAATTATTTTTCTTAAGTTTTTTAAAAAAACTTGTTTCTAACGACCTGCTTGTAATATCTGAACAACCTGTTTGTGATAGGAAGCCCCCCATCTGGAAGTACCCTAGTAAATAAACAAACTCAGAATTCCTTTAGAAGAAGTTGTGCTCATAAAAACCAAGGAAAGCTTTCAAGGGGTCGCTCAGAGTCACGCACAAGCAAGGGTGCATGGACTTTGCGACATAATGAAATAAAGATAAATCTTTTTTAGAGTGTCCTGCTCACGTAATGGAAATGGGAGTAGATTGAGCTGACCTCCTTCTTAACCAAACCTTTTGCCTGCGTTCCAGCCGTACAAAAGTCAGAGAGTTACAGATGCACACTCCCCATGCATCTCCATCGAGCCAATCAAAAGGCATTACAGTGGTACCTCGGGTTAAGTACTTAATTCGTTCCGGAGGTCCGTTCTTAACCTGAAACTGTTCTTAACCTGAAGCACCACTTTAGCTAATGGGGCCTCCTGCTGCTGCTGCGCCGCCGGAGCACGATTTCAGTTCTCATACTGAAGCAAAGTTCTTAACCCGAGGTACTATTTCTGGGTTAGCGGAGTCTGTAACCTGAAGCGTATGTAACCTGAAGCGTATGTAACCTGAGGTACCACTGTACCAGCCAAGTTAAGACACTCAAGGAAGTTGCTGATAGCCAGGGCTGGTTAGGGCCTGGTCTGGAAAGGAGCACACAGTCCCAAGATTTGGATAGCAAAGCCTAAGGAGTAGGCCATTGTCATTTCTATTTCGCAGATGGGAGACGGAGGCAGAGCTCTTCTGGTTCCAGATTCCACCGGGCCGCACTTCTGTTGATATGCGCCTCTCCATCAGGATGGTACCAAAACTAGAAATCCCCTCTTCTGTGCAGCTCCTTGAGAAGCACATGATGCCAGCTGTCTCCAGTAATACAGCATGACACAAAGGAGAGTTGTGCTGCCGGGGATAAGTTATGGGGTGATATTCTACCCCCTCTCTGCTTTTTCTCATGGCTTTCCCCATGAAGAATGGGGAACGCATTTTCCACGTGGCCTGCACCACCTCTCCTTTAGGGTGGTGCTAAGTGGAGGAATGCTCTGTTGTTGCTTTGTAGATAGCAGTGGTTCTCATTGATATTATATTACCTTCCTGCCCGGCTTATATGGGCTTTCCAGAGGCATCCGATTGGCCATTGTGAGAAGCAGAATGAGGGAGTAGATGGACTTTTGGTCTGAACCAGCCAGGCAGCTCCTAATTTCTTCAGAAGTTAGAAACATTAAGGCCCTTTGGGGAGAAGGGAGCTTCACCCTGCTTATTCTTTCATTGAGATTACCACTACCACCACCACCACTCCCTGCAGTTTTGTATCCTGAACTGCAGAGCCTACAAGTGTCCCTATTTTCCAGGGACGGTCCTGGATTTACAGAAGCCGTCTTGGTTTCTGATTTGATCCCGAAATGTCCCACTTTTCCTTAGGTAAAGGTAAAGGGACCCCTGACCATTAGGTCCAGTCGTGACCGAATCGGGGGTTGCTGCGCTCATCTTGCTTTATTGGCCGAGGGAGCCGGTGTACAGCTTCCAGGTCATGTGGCCAGCATGACTAAGCCGCTTCTGGCAAACCAGAGCAGCGCACGGAAACGCCGTTTACCTTCCCGCCAGAGTGGTACCTACCGGTATTTATCTACTTGCACTTTGACATGCTTTCGAACTGCTAGGTTGGCAGGAGCAGGGACAGAGTAACAGGAGCTCACCCCATTGCGGGGATTCGAACCGCTGACCTTCTGATTGGCAAGTCCTAGGCTCTGTGGTTTAACCCACAGCGCCACCCGCGTCCCCCCACTTTTCCTTAGGATGTCCCTATTTTCATCAGAGAAATGCCAGAGGGTATGGAGTTATGCGACGCCTGAGCCAAGGAGATAAGCAACTATACAACCTTTAGACGACATCTGAAGGCAGCTCTGTATAGGGAAGTTTTTGATCTTTAATGTTTTATTGTGTTTTTTGTATATGCTGGAAGCTGCTCAGAGTGGCTGGGGCAAGCCAGTCAGATGGGTGGGGTATAAAATAATAATAAAGGAAAGTAAAGTAAAAAAATGAAAGAATAAAAATAATAATTGAATCGGACGTCCCTATTTTCATCAGAGGAATGTTGGAGGGTATGGAATTACCTTTGCCATTGGCATTCTATGTATTACTGAGATGCTCCTGTTATGTACTGAAGTTCTCACCCTGGGCCAGCAGGGGGATACTGTAGATAGTTTTCACTCAGGTCCACATATGCAAATAAGGGATTGAAAGTGACGTTCAGTGATTGGCTAGTTACAGAAAGTGGTTACTGTTGCATTGTAGTGGAGCTCTATATAAGCAGGCTGGCTGAACCCTTCAGGTCAGTTCTGTTCCGGCCTGTGAATAAACAAGAGCTGTTTGAAGAAGCACTGTGTCGTCTGATATGTTCACTTAACAGCTCCTAGATCCATCACTTTGCCTTTTGCCAGTTGTTTCTGATTCTCCAACTATGACTGTTTCTGCATCGGCACAGAAACCTAGGAGGTGGCCATCTGCTACTCAGACCATTAGTCCATCCACCACAGTATCGTCTATATAGACTAATCGTAGCTTGCTAGGGTTTCAGACTAGGGACATGCCAAGCCTTACCGGGAGATGCTGGGGAATGAACCTAGGACCTTCTGCATCTAAGCCAGGTGCTCTAGCACTGAGCTACGGCCCTTCCTCAAAGCCTGACTGCAGGAGCATGCCAGCCAGCAATCGCACAGTTCAAAGTTCTAGTTAACTCTTTATTAGCAAAAACATGATCTGCAGAGAGCTGGCTGAGTGTCAGGCCTAAGGAGCAAAGCAGCTCATTCCCGGTGGTCTCACTCCATGAAAATTCATTGCAGAGACTGAGAGTCCCCATCTCCTCACAGCCATCTACGTTCCCTCTTCTTCAGGGCTTTCCCCAAGCAATCTGAGACTGCGCCTGCATGCAGCCAACCTCTCCTCCGCCCTTTTTACATCTCTTCTGGTTCTGAGAGACAAGCGGTGCAGGGGAGCTTGTCGCAGTGAGGGGTGGGGAGATAATTGTGACTCTTCAGCAGCCTGCCTCATCTCTGCCTCTTGGCCTCCTTCCTCTCCTGCTTCAGCTTCTACCTTTGATTCTGGACTTCTCTCTGCCACAGACTCTCTCCGCTCACTAAGCCCTGTTACCTATTCAGCTTCCAACACCTCCTCCTGGGCTTTGAGCCTTCTTCCGGTGGTGGTTCTCCAGTTGGTTCCTCCTGCCATTCCTCTGCGTCCAACCAGCCTATGACACTGCAGTACTGAATAATAATAATAATAATAATAATAATAATAATAATATACCCCACCCATCTGGCTGGGTTTCCCCAGTCACTCTGGGTGGCTTCCAACAAGAGATTAAAAATACATTAAAACATCAGTCATTAAAAATTTCCCTAAACAGGGCTGCCTTCAGATGGCTTCTAAATGTCAGGTAGTTGTTTATTCCCTTGACATCTGATGGGAGGATGTTCCACAGGGTGGGTGCCACAACTGAGAAGGCCCTCTACCTGGTTCCCTGTAACTTTGCTTCTCGCAGTGAGGTAACCGCCAGAAGGCCCTCAAAACTGGACCTCAGTGTCCGGGCAGAACGATGGGGGTGGAGATGCTTCTTCAGGTATAGAATCCTCACATCTTGATTACTGGTAATATGCTCTATATGGTGCTTTTTTGTGTTTTTTTGATGGTCCAGAAACTGCAGCTAGTGCAGAATGCTGTCACTAGATCACACTATACAAAGATCACAGGATAAGGCCTTCTTTGTAGTAACACCCCAGCTGAGGAAGTCTCTGCCCTTGGATGTCTACAAAGTTATTAATTTTTTTGTCTTAAAGCATACCTGTTCTCTCAAGCCTTTGGAGAGATTTATGGTTTAACTGATGTCTGGTACCTTTGTTTGGCTGATATACTGCTTTTTATATTGAATTTCAGTTTATTAGCATTTTATGGTTTCATTTTATTTGTATTGTGTATTTAAATATTATACTGGAAACTACCTGGTGGTTTACTCTGTACCAAAAGGTGGTTTATATATTAATAATAATAATAATAATAATAATAATAATAATAAAATTAATCAAAGCACCTTTTTGTTACAGTTGAAGGTTCAAGGTCTGGATCCAGCAAAGGATTCCTGCTGTTGAAAGGAGCCACATGCATAACAAGGAATTCAAAGATGGCAAGGGCCCATTCATCTCAATTTGTCAAGAAAACAAGGGGAAGGTGGAGGAATGAAGCAAATGAAAGATGATCCTTCTGTTGCCCTACTTTTCATACAGTTCTACCTGAATGGTGAGTTGGTGGACTCCTCCACATGACTGCAAGAGCTTTGAAGATGGGTCACCTGGCTAAAGGCAGTGGGACTTGGGGACAGCGTATGCCATAAGGAAAAGAGGTGTGAATGAATGGATGGATGAGGTTTCTATATATAATCCCATTAGCATGTCCTAGACTTCATGTTTCAGGACTACTGATTGTATACGGATGCTCTTCATAGGTGGGAAGAGGATGCTGATGTTTGTGTCTGTAAGGTACGGCAGTAGGAACTCCTTATGTGCTGGACAGATAAGGAGACAAACTGCAGAAAGAAAACTCACTTTCTAAGTTCAAAAAATACTGAAAATAAATATTTTGGCCATAGGATATTTGCGTTATAGTGGGATTGGGATTTAACCATGGATGCTATCAGACTGTCACTGTTTTCAGTTTGCGCAGTTACAACAAACCCGTTTCCTCAGGAGATCTGACACACACACCCTCTCTCTATATATAATTTTATTTATATTTTTTCAACAGATAAACAATTCAACAACATTTCACCTATGACTTTCTCTTCCTCCCTCTCTCCCTCTATGGTTCCCTCAAAATTTCAGTTTATGCTGTATATTACAGTTACTCTATACCTTCGCCTTATCTTACAATAAAAACAAAAAGTTCACCCCCACTGCTGTTCTTACTCAAATCCTATTTGCATTCTAACACTTTTACACTGAGTTTTAAAGTATTCTGCAAACATTTCCCAATCTTCTTTAAAATCAGTCTCTTTCTGATCGCTAATTTTACACTCCAAACTTGCCAATTCTACATATTTTATTAATTTCAGCTGCCATTTTTCTTTGGTAGGTACCACCTCATCACGCCATTTTTTTTGCGTATAATATGTGTGCTGTCATAGTTGCATAAAGAAATCGATTTATCTGTTTTGGGGGGATATCTGCTCCAGTTATCTCTAGTAAAAAAGCTTCTGGTCTTTTGGGGAAAGTTACCTTAAATACATTTTTCAACTCATTATAAATCATCTCCCAAAAGTCCTCAGCTACTTTGCATGTCCACCACATGTGGTAAAATGAACCTTCTATTTCTTTACATCTGATGTTTTGTCAGATGTGAACCAATAGCAAAACCCCTGGAAAGTGTGAGACCCCTGGAAAGTGTGAGATAACGCACTGTTTTCTAACTTCCCAACAAACAAAGCAGGATGAATGCTCAATAAAGAGACTGTCTGGAAGCGTCCTTTGTGCTAGGGCACACTAGAGCATCAGTAGATCAAATACCTAAAGACTCCTGTGAGCCTGGAGGAGGAGCTGCCTGCTGTGTCTCTGCATGATTTCCTGCTCTGGGCTTTGGCTCCTTCCAGTCTGCCTTCTGAGCAAGGGTGGCTCCTTCTCTCTGCATCTGGTGAAGTTGAAGCAATTAATCATTCCCTATGCAGAGGCAAGCAGAATTACCTGCCCTCAGAGGAGTCTTTTCATTGCCTCTCTGCATGATTGACTGCTCTTGGTTTTGCCTCCGAAACAGGAGTTGTGCCCAGATCAGTGACCCATGCAGAATCACACGGAATAGGCTCCTCTGCGACTGGGTAACTCTAGACCTTGTGCGATATAAAAAGGGTACCTCTAGTTTTAAGTCAGGAAAAAAGGAAAGCTTGCTTCTGCTTGCAGATGCTAGCAAGCCAAGTGCTCCAGAGAATCTAAAAACCAGATGAGGACTTAGCGATTAAACAACTGTGAGATTCTATTTGTTCTCCACTATAAAAATGTGCAGGAATCAGTTTGTATCCAGGGAAACACCAAACCACAAGGGGGCTCTCAGCTAACTGCCCAGGCATTCAGTTTTGCAAAAAAAAAAAAAAAAAAAGGACAGAAAATGCCTCCTGACATTTTAACACTGACTGCCCTGGGTGGTTTGGGAATCGCAACAGATCCTCCCTTCAGGTGTCAGAAGAACATGGTGTGGGGTTTCTTTGGCATGCACGCCAACCCTGCAGTGTATTGCAGGCAGTTCTCATGGTGGGGTTTTTTTTCATCACGTGTGGCAAAACTGCCCGCATGAAAAGGGGATGATGCCACGCCAGGGATGCTGGGTGCCCTGTCAACTTCTACATGTCAGCATAAAAAGGTAAAGGGACCCCTGACCATTAGGTCCAGTCGTGGCCGACTCCGGAGTTGCGGCGCTCATCTCGCTTTATTGGCCGAGGGAGCCGGCGTACAGCTTCTGGGTCATGTGGCCAGCATGACTAAGCCGCTTCTGGCGAACCAGAGCAGCGCACGGAAATGCCGTTTACCTTCCCGCCGGAGTGGTACCTATTTATCTACTTGCACTTTGATGTGCTTTTAAACTGCTAGGTTAGCAGGAGCAACGGGAGCTCACCCCGTGGTGGGGATTCGAACCGCCGACCTTCTGATTGGCAAGTCCTAGGCTCTGGGTTTAACCCACAGCGCCACCCGCGTCCCCTACGGCTCAGCATAACTGTCAACTTTTCCCTTTCCTTGCAAGGAATCCTATTCGGAATAAGGGAAATTCCTTTAAAAAACGGGAAAAGTTGACAGCTATGCTGAGACAGTCCCTCCTGAGTGTTCTTCTCTCGAGGGCGGACTTTTGTGTCAGGAGATTTGTGTGTTGTCAGTCATGTGGCTTTATAGCCTGCTTTGATTTCTGCCATTTATTTATTTTGTTTTCCAGCTGCATGAGGAAGGGAGCCTTGCCCATTTTCTCCAGCGGCAGGCGTTAGGACCTTGCGGAAAGCAGGCACTCTGGCCCTGGATTCCAAGCTGGCTTGCCTTGGTGACGTAAGCCAGAAGCCCTGTCTCTCTCTCTCTCTCTCTCTTCTGTGTGTGAGTGTGTGTGTGTGAGTGTGTGTCTCTCTCTTTCTCTCTCTCTCTCTCTCTCTCTCTTCCCCCTCTTCCCCCTCCCTTCCCAAGCTCTCTAACATTAAAGCGAAAATGCTCCTTTCTGTGCCTCCTCGTGCAGGGATCGCCACTTTTGGCTACAGCAAGAGCAACAAGAAGGTAAGGAAGAAGCCAGTCCTGGTTCCCCACCACCTCACCTCCCCTTTCTGCTTCCTATTTCCAAGATCTTGGAAACGTCCTTGGCTTAGAGACGGGAGGAGAAGTTAAAAAAAAAGGGGGGGTTTGAGGAAAACCAGGGTTGCCTTCCCCACCAGCCCGCTGTGGTGGTGTTGGTGTCTGAAGGGGAGACAGATCTTGCCAATTATTTGGGGTGGTTAGGAAGCTAGGAGGTTGGCTTCCCAACAGGGAAGCCCACCTCCAGGGTTGGCTGATCTTGGCCTCTGTTCCGGGGTGACCCCCATCCGCCCCTCGCACCACCAGACCCCTCTTGCCAAGGCCTGAGTCTTCCCAAGGGCGACTTTGAGTCCGGAGCGATGGGGACGAAAAAATAGAATAAAAAAATAAGCTGGGTAGACCAGAACAACAGGCAGCGAAATCACAGCACTTCGTGAATCTCCCTGGGACATTAATATTCTGTGGGTTCCTCCCTGCACCCCTGATTATGGGGTGTTTGCTTTCTCGTCTGGGTTTTTTTTTTTTTTTTTGGCTAGGGGGAACGGAGGACCTGCATCCAGGAGGGGCTGGGTACTGGAAGCAGGCAGTTCAAATTCTAGGCATGGGGTGTTCACACCAGGATCAGACTGAGGCCTTGTTTTTTAACCCTCTCCTGACTCTTTCCAGGGGGATGGAGACTTCTGAATCCACCCCCAGCGGGGTATTCTCGAGGGTGGGGTTCCAGGATGTGGTTTCTATGGCATCCACGTGTTCTGAGGAAGAGTGTGCCATAAAGGAGGCTTCCCCCCTTCCTCTTCCACCGCCCTTTCTGCTCCCCACATCTGGGGTGAGGCGAGAATACTCTGCATGCCAGGGAAGATGGGACATGTAGCTTGCAGGAGGATGCGAGGGAGCTGTAAGAAATGGGGGCTTGAACCCAGCGCCACCCCCTCCTCGTCAGGACTGTCATTCGGAACCTGAATAGCCTTGTCAGGTTTGGAAAATGCATCTTGACTAGCCTGGGTATTTATTTGAACGCTCGGGTGTGGATTATTTTCCCCTCTGGCAAGAAGTGCGGTCTAGTGGTACTCTAGGGTTTCAGGGAACCCCAGGTTATATCTCTAGCCGGGGCAGGGAAGAAGGATAGAAGGGGGAGACCCCCGGGAAGTTGGAAATAGGAGCCCAGACTTCTGGCATTTTAAATATCCACCTTATCTCTATTGTTGATTCACTGTGTGACCTTGTATGCATATGGTGTTGGGTTAAAGGGGTGGTGGTGGCAGGGGAGAATAAGCTTGTTACCTGTTCTGTGCCTCAGTTTCCTCTCTGTCTGTCCCCGGGACTGTGGAAGATCTACAGCAAATGTGAAAATTGCAGGCACTATAGTAATGCGTTTGGACAGAAACCTGGGGTAGAGAGGGAAGGCCCAATTTGGGGCATTAATTGTGTTTATCCATATTAGGGATGAGTATGGCACTCGAAGGAACTGTGGCTGTCTTAGCCATCTCATTGCGCCTCCCTGCCAACCTCTTTTTGAAACTGGGTGACATTTTCCTGTTCTGACCATTGACTGATGTGGAATTTGTAGAAATAGGCAGATATGGGGCGGGAAGACCTCTGCAATGATGGAGGGGCTGTCTGTGCCAATAAGGAGCAGGGCAGCATTTTGTGATGGGTGAGCTGTGGACACATATTAGTGGCTTGTCCTGTTAAAACGACAACAACAAAGACAAATAGCCAACAGTGCTGGCACGGTTATTATAATTGGTGGTTCAACGTAAGACTGAAACCATATCACCAGTCGTGTGTGCACACACACTCATGTACACATATTCCACCTATGCCTCCGTATGCATAACTTGACATGTGTGTGTGTTTTATTTCTTTTGACACTTTATATACTGCTTTATTACAGTCCTCTAAGCAGTGCATTGTATCGGTGGGTTATCTGTGCGTGTTTCAAAATGTTCTTGTTATGAGTGCGTCTTGGAGTACTTTCAAGTGACTTTCCTGGTGCTAGCATGTTGTTTCATGGATTTGGTGCTGCTGGTGCCACTCCAGTGCTCAGGAACTTGCCCTCGTGTCTGTGTGCACATTTATTTGTGTGCGTGCATAGGTGAGCAGGTGCAACTGTGGCCGCGTGTATACAGTCTCATCCTTGATTTGATTGACAGCTAACATGGGTGCTTAAGGCTGAATTTGGATAATCGTGATTGGGGGTCAGGTCGTTTGCGGTGTGTAGTATTTGTGTAGCCATGTGTGAGAGTGAGACTTTTCTAAGTTCGACAGATGATCAGTGATCTCAAAACTATGTGTATATGTAGGACTACAATACATGCAGATCACCTGAGTTGGAATACTTCATCCTCGGCTTCAGCTAGCAGCACCCTTGACCTAAATGCAGGAAATGGAAATGAAACCCATTGATTTTAATGAATCTTAATTCCAGGCACTGTGTTTAAGAGTGGGGTGTCAGCTGGTGGGTGTAGGTACTGACCTTTAAAGCCCTAATGGCTTCAGCCCAGTATATCTGAAGGAGCGTCTCCACCCCCATCGTTCAGCCCAGACACGGAGGTCCAGCTCCGAGGGCCTTCTAGTGGTTCCCCCATTGCAAGAAGTGAGGCTACAGGGAACCAGGCAGAGGGCCTTCTCGATAGTCGTGCCCACCCTATGGAACGCCCTCCCGTCAGATGTCAGGGAAATAAACAACTCTCTGACTTTTAGAAGACATCTGAAGGCAGCCCTGTTTAGGGAAGTTTTTAATGTTTGATGTCTTACTGTGTTTTAATTGGTTGGAAGCTGCCCAGAGTGACTGGGGCAATCCAGTCAGATGGGCGGAATATAAATAATAAATTATTACTATTATTATTGGCTCACATGTTGCATTGTTCACATGAAGGCAGGTAACTCAGAAAAATACCATGATCAAAATAACGAGACAATAACAATAACAACAACAACAACAACGAGAAGGCACTTAAGCTACTGGTCCACATGTTTATTTCTTTATTTATAGAAGTATTTCTATACCATCCTCTCTCACCAAATATTGTGGCAGTGCACAGCGTTATAAAACTGTTAAAAAGCCATTAAAATCAGTACGGAACCATCATTGAAATGACTGGCTGCTCCAGAAAATGTTAAACAATTGCATAGACCTGTTGGTGCAAAAACGTCTTGCAAGAGTCAAAAGCGAGAGTGCCTGCTGAATCTCTGCTGCAAGAGTATTTCATGGTATGAGACTGGCGACACTAAATGGTCGACTTCTGGTTAAGGTGAGTTGGGCCTCTGTAACACGGAAAACTGAGGCTCCAATACTTTGGCCACCTCATGAGAAGAGAAGACTCCCTGGAAAAGACCCTGATGCTGGGAAAGATGGAGGGCACAAGGAGAAGGGGACGACAGAGGACAAGATGGTTGGACAGTGTTCTCGAAGCTACAAACAAGAGTCTGACCAAACTGCGGGAGGCAGTGGAAGACAGGAGTGCCTGGCGTGCTCTGGTCCATGGGGTCACGAAGAGTCGGACACGACTAAATGACTAAACAACAACAACAACACGGAAAACAACTAACAGTGCTCCTTGGGGTGATTTCAGGGCTCAGGCAGTCCTTAAGCACTCCTGGACGCAAGTTGTTCAGGGATTTGTATATCAGCACATGAGCCTTGAACCTGGGCCAGTAACGTAGGGGCAGCCAGTGTAGATGTTTGAGCAGAGGGGTCAAATAATTGTAGAGTTGGAAGGGACCCTGAGGATCATCTACTCCAGGGGTCAGCAAACTTTTTCAGCAGGGGGCCGGTCCACATTCCCTCAGACCTTGTGGGGGGCCGGACTATATTTTGAAGAGAGAAAAAAGAACAAATTCCTATGCCCCACAAATAACCCAGAGATGTATTTTAAATAAAAGGACACATTCTACTCATGTAAAAACACCAGGCAGGCCCCACAAATAACCCAGAGGTGCATCTTAAATAAAAGGACACATTCTACTCATGTAAAAATACGCTGATTCCTGGACCGTCCACAGGCCGGATTTAGAAGACAGTTGGGCTGGATCCGGCCCCCGGTCCATAGTTTGCCTACCCATGATCTAGTCCAACCCCCTGCTAGGCAAGAATATGCAGCTGTCCCATTCGAGGATCAGACCTGCAACCTCGAGGTGTTATCAGCACCACACTCTAACCAACTGGTTGTCACATGCTGTCGGCCATCTTCCCCCATCAGCAATCTAGCCGCTGCGTTCTATACAGCGTTAGAAACTCGGATATATAAGCTAGGTGCCGAATGGCTCCTTAAACCAGGGTTACAGTCTCGAAACGAAATGCCTAGTTGCCCTTTGGGGGCCAGACGACTCGAACGTTGTATTTTTCAATACGACTTTTTGGTTCCTGAAATTCATTCTGATTGCGCAGATAAAATATAACAGGTAGGATTCTACAGGATGCGATGCTAGTGTGTGAAAACAGTCAGGATCCAAGGGTGCCCAGGCATGCACCTCCAGATGGTGGAGACGGCAGGCTCCATCCTTGCGCCTGGGCATCTTAACTTGTTTGCAAGTGGCCTATAGCCAGGTGCAAAGTGCACCTGGCGAATTTCAAACACTGGTCCTGTACTAGCTACGGTTTCCAGACCAGTCGCACAATAGAATGCATTGCAGTAATCTAGTCTTGCTGTTACCCATGCAGGGACTACAGTGGCTAAGTTATCCAGATCCAGACATTGCTGGATCAGACAAAGCTGGTAAAAGCTGTTGCATTGCTCATCGGAATGCAGCTAACCAGAATTATGCCTGCATGTGTGAAGGAGTGTCTGTTTGTGGGATGGGATAAATGTGCACATTATAAACATATTTCCTGGGTCTTTTGACACACAGGCATGTGTCTCTGGTTGTGGAAGTTGCATTTCCCAACTTCTAACTCTGTATGGACTGTTTTGCTGATCCCAGCATTGACCTGTGTTCTCTTAAGACTGTATAAAATTAATATCTTACTGAAATGGATTGGATAGGCAAGGGAAGACTGTCTTCTGGAAGCAAAGAGAATTCTGTGCATTACAATTTGCTGATACTCTGCAGTTTTTCTGTTTTTGTTTTTTTGCTAATAAGTGGAAATACTCTCAGTTGGAAACGTAGCTATTTATACCTCCTTGCAATTCTTGGTCACTTTGGGCTTTAAAAAGACTTTTTAAAACTATATTAAGTTATGGGGTCATTGTTGAAGTTTTAAAAACGAAATAAAATTGGGAGATCTTAATTGGATCCAAATGAGCCTTTTAAAAAAAATATTATCTGAATTTTCCCCTGTCCTCTCTCCAAGGAGTTATGGGCAGTGTGTAGGTTTTTTCTTCCCTGTTGCATCTGCCACCATTTATTTATTTCTTAAATTTGTAGCTTGCCTTTCCTGCAAGGAGCTTAAGGAGGCATATATGGGTCTTCCTCTCTCACATTTCAGCCTTGCGGCAACCTCACAACAACCGTTGGATTGTAGAGTTGTAAGTGGCACGGAAGGACATCTAAGCCAAACCTCCGAATTTGCAGGAGACTCAACGGAGTATCTCTAACAAGAGGCCATCTAGGCTCTGCTTAAATTTGTCTCCACCTAAGGAGAGCCTGCCTCCTTCCAAAGTGAACTATCCGAACAGCTCTCTTAGGAAGCAGCTCCTAATGTTTACCCCACAATCTGTTCCCTTGCAACGACCATCCGCTGGTTGTGGTCCTGCCGTCTGCCGCAATGGCAAACAGGTCTGCTCCATTTTCTGTGTAGCATCTTTTCAGATACAGTGGTACCTCGGGTTACAGATGCTTCAGGTTACTGATGCTTCAGGTTACAGGCTCCGCTAACCCAGAAATAGTACCTCGGGTTAAGAACTTTGCTTCAGGATGAGAACGGAAATCGCATGGCAGCAGCATGGCATCAGCGGGAGACCCCATTAGCTAAAGTGGTACCTCAGGTTAAGAACAGTTTCAGGTTAAGAACGGACCTCCAGAACGAATTAAGTTCTTAGCCCGAGGTACCACTGTACTCAAAGACAACTATCATGTCAGTCTTCTGTTCCCCAGGCTGAGCACACCCAGCCTTTTCCGTTGTTTCTCCCAGGACTCGTTTTCCAAAACTGTTCACCATCCTGACCTCCCTCCTCTTGGTGAACATTCTGCTTAAAAAAGAATTGGGCAGAGTAGTCCTGAAGTGGTCCAGCCAGTGCATTTCATTTCATTTTTTCATTTCACTTTTAATTCTCATATCGCCTTTCTATATTACTATACGCAGGGCGGTTTACAAGCCGAAGAAGCAACAAAGACCGCACACACCTTATAGCAATCTGATCCAATACCAAAATGTCAAAATAAAAACTTTAAAGAGCTTATATCAAATAATGTAATATTCACTAATCCATTATAATATAACAGAACACGATAAAATTAAATACCAACAAATAATAATTAAACAGAAATTCACTCTTAACAGGTACAATAATTTCTAAACTATAATCAATAAAAATAACAGCAAGTCACAGTGTCTAAAATAACACAGTACAAATGGAGAAACAAAGACACACAACTTATAAAATTATTTTTATACTCCTCCTCTCTTCCCAGCTGCTTCTGCAGTTCCTAAAGTCATGGTCTGGGAAAGGCTCCTAGGGCTGCAAGGTGGGCAAGGCAGGTGGAAAAAGCCATTATGCAGAATAGATTGGAACTGTTAGTCCAGTGATCTGGACGTGGGGCTCCTGTAAATACAACCTGAGATTGCTTAACTTTTTGAGTAGCCACATCGCAGTGCCTGCTCATGTCCTGCTTGTGATCCACTAAGACACCTTATTCCTGTCCTATACTTCAATCTCTTTTACATTTATCTCTGGTGAAACATTTATCTTTTGGTGTTCCAGCCTCTCAGTGTTCCAGCCTCTCAAGATGATTTTGAATATTGATTCTGGGCCCATCCAGACTTCTGTTTTGTTGTGGATGTATAAAGCAACATATGTTTGATTCATTAATAGCACGTTTGAAGTGGATTTAAACTGGACTGTCCACACATCTCCCCAGTTTATAAGTTGCTGTGCTTCCTTAATGATCCTGCCTTAATGCACTCACACTTTTGCTCTGTCTATGTTCCTGCCATCCCCAATTCACTCCTTTCCCCCTTGAACACAAGTTGATGACACCATGCCACCATATTTCCAAATTTTTATTTTTTGGTTGCAATTGCTGTGCCAACCATGCTCGGTTGCAGGAAAAGCAAGCAAGCAAGCAAGCAAGCAAACAAACAAACAGGAATGCCAGCAGATGACATCAACAGGAAGTATGTAGGAATGGCTTAAGATTCTCTCGCCTGTCGCCTTTTTTTGAGTGTGAGTTAGTTGCGCTATGACGCCATACTGCCAGGTTCTTACGTTCAGGCTGTGATAAACCATCATTTCTTTCCATCCCCTAGTCGGCCTGGGTGACGTTTTGATACATTGCCTGAAAGCGGTTTGAATTTGAAATCGTGAGCGCGATTTTAGAATTCACGATCTGGAAATGTAACGAGAATCTTTGGTGCGCCGCGATGCCTGACTGGCAGCCTGCAAAGGCAGCTTGCGCATCCCGAGCCTGAAAGTTCAGGTGAGCAGAGTGGGTTAGGTGCGAGAGCCGAGTTTCCGTTTACCTGCCAGGGAAAAATACAAATAGCGCTGGTCCAAGGAATCTCCAAGGGACGCGGGTGGCGCTGTGGGTTAAACCACAGAGCCTAGGGCTTGCCGATCAGAAGGTTGGCGGTTCGAATCCCCGCAACAGGGTGAGCTCCCGTTGCTCGGTCCCTGCTCCTGCCAACCTAGCAGTTCGAAAACAGGTCAAAGTGCAAGTAGATAAATAGGTACCGCTCCGGCGGGAAGGTAAACGGTGTTTCCGTGCGCTGCTCTGGTTCGCCAGAAGCGGCTTAGTCATGCCGGCCACATGACCCGGAAGCTGTACGCCGGCTCCATCGGCCAGTAAAGCGAGATGAGTGCCGCAACCCCAGAGTCGGTCATGACTGGACCTAATGGTCAGGGGTCCCTTTACCTTGACCTTTCTGTGTGTGAGAGAAAAGGGGCAATGATACCTCTTCTGGGATGAATCCTGCAATGTGATACATGCATTCAGCATAATCAATGAACGTAGAATGCTTTCCCCCCTTTATAACTATTTCCCCCCCTCACACGCAGATTTACTTGACCCCAAACTGCTGCGATTGCAACTGGACTGTTATACATATCAGGGAGCTAGCGCAATGCAGTCGTCCAGTCAGGGACAGCCTGTTTGGAGCGCCCTCCAGATGCTGCTGCACTACAACTCCCATCATCCCTTGCCTTTGTCCATGCTACTTGGGACTGCTGGGAGTTGGAGTCCAACAATGTTTCGGGTGGTGCTACGCTGACCACCCCTGGGTTAGAGTGCTGGGCTTGGACCAGAAAGATCTGGGACCAAGTCCTTACTCAGCCACAAAGGCCACTAGGTGAGCTTGGACCGGTCTCTCTCTCTCTCTTAGTCTCACCTACCTCACAGGGTTGTTGTGAAGATAAATTGGAATGGCGGGGGCACACACCACGTATTTTGCCTTGAGCTCCTCGGAAGAAAGGCAGACTATGAAGTGTAGTGAAGCGACATTTTCAAAAAGAGATGATGTCTACGTGGACGTCAGCCCCTTTGAATCCAGCGGGGCTTAGTGGTCATCCACACTTTATTTTTCCTGCTGCTTTCTCCCAGGCAAACGTGTTTTTGCTGGGTTTTTTTCCTGATTTAGTGCTAAAGAGCTGGTTTTCCAGGGGAAAGCAGTGGAGGAAAGGCAGAGCTGCTCAGATCTGTGGCCAGAAAGCACGGGGCAAGCAGCAAACCGCTCAGACCCACGGGACCAAGAGGAAGTGTGGGCGAGCCCTCACTCCCAGGTCAGTGGATCTAGTGGATAGCAGCAGAAGATCTCTTGAACTGGGCAGCAATCCCGCTGCTGTTCTTCTCATAAGGCAGAGGCGGGCAAGGGGCAGCCGGGGGAAGCTAAGCCAGAGGGAACAGAAGTTTGCCTATGAGCGTGGAGTGAGTTCATGGGAGAAGGAAGTTTGGAACCAGGGACTTCATTCAGTCACTCCCAAAAGCAAGAATCAGCTGAATTAATTGGAGGAGGAGGAGGCAGGCTCCAAATGGTGACTCATCCAGCGTGGACTCCTCAGAGGGTGGTTAGCTCTTACTCTTGCACACTCTAAAATCATAACCTCTTTTTTTTGTGTGTGTGTGTGTACCTAGTTTATTTCAGAGGTCAAAAGTCCCCACTCCACTCCCCGCAATCCCACGAGGTGGGAAACACCAGTTTATGGGCACATCCCTATGGTTGTAAGAGTGAGAGGGGCAGCAGATCTGTGTCCTGCCTCTGTATTTTTGCTCCATCAAAGGAAGCAGAAGCCTTTGAGATATACACACACACACACACACACACACACACACACACACACAGTGGTACCTTGGGTTACATACGCTTCAGGTTACGTACGCTTCAGGTTACAGACTCCGCTAACCCAGAAATAGTACCTCGGGTTAAGAACTTTGCTTCAGGCTGAGAACAGAAATCTGGCGGCGTGGCAGCAGCGGGAGGCCCCATTAACTAAAGTGGTGCTTCAGGTTAAGAACAGTTTCAGGTTAAGAACAGACCTCTGGAACGAATTAAGTACTTAACCCGAGGTACCACTGTACACACAGTGGTACCTCGGGATGTGAATGGGATCTGTTCCGGAGCCCCGTTCGCATCCCGAAGCGAACGCAACGCACATCTGCACGTGCACGGGTCATGTTTCGCTACTTCCACGCATGCGCGTGATGTCATTTTGACTGTCTGCGCATGTGCGCGGGGCAAAACCCGGAAGTAACGCGCTCCGTTACTTCCGGGTCGCCACAGAGCGCAACCCGAAAATACTTAACTTGAAGCACATTTATCCCGAGGTATGGCTGTATTTGTAAAGCAGAATTGGACCTATGCAGCCTATTAAGTGCAACTTAGACTGTATAATCATAAAATTGGAAGGGGCCAAAAGAGGGTCTAACTCCCTGCAATCCAGGAATCCTTTTGCCTGATGTGAGGCTCAAACTCACAACCCTGATATTAAGAGTCTCATTCTCTACTGACGGAGGAACAAGTTGGGGCTTCTTCTTCCTCCTGTCAAAGGATTTGGCATTTGGGATGGGTGGGACGGCTGTATCCCCCACTCAGCAGATGTCCAGGGGTCCAGTTTGCTGCCTGGCGCTCTGATGGTGCCTCTCCTTGCCTCCCCCCATGTCTCCAAACCTTGCTGTACCATTCTGACATAAATTCCTACCTTTCTCTCTCTCTCTCCCACTCCTCTTGGTGCCACCCAGACAACGTGGTTATTGGAAGGTGCATAAATACTGTTAATAAAATAAATCATGGGTAGGAGGCGCCCTCCACAGTCGACCTTTCTTCCGCTCAAGCTGACGGCGCTGGGCGGCAACAGAACTACTTTTATTATCTTCTAATCTAAGTCCAGGACAGAAGAATGCCTGTGTGTTTTCAGGGCGGCAAAGGTGTTTGCAGACCACCTGCCGCACTTGCAATGTTAGGTCTTCTTTTCACCCTCCCTGTTGGCAGGACTAGCATTCAGACACCTCACGGTCTGTTCTTCAGCTCAGAAAGCATCTTCAAATTGGTGGGGGGTAACGCTGTTCATTGATTCTCCATATGTAGAATCTGGCATGTGTGTTACTGAGATTCTCTCCTCTCCTCTCTCTCTCTCTCTCTCTCTCTCTCTCTTTCTTCCTTTGTAAAGCAAACATCAAACCTCCACAAAGTTTGAAAATAAGCAGTCACTGGCCACGTTGCCACATAAGGCTAAGCCATGGTTTGTTTTAGTCATGGTTTGTTGAACAAACCAGTCTCACATAACAAGCGCAGCTGTTTTGCTTGCTAATTGGTTTCGTTTTGCATCTACTCTTGCCTTGCACTGAAATAAACCAGAATTAAGCCAGGATGGTGGGTTTCAGATGTAACAAGAAACCATGGGAAGCTGATACCATATCCTGGCTTGTTGTTCATATTTTAGTTCGTTGGCTGCAGCGAGGTTGGATGTGCAAACTGCTGTTCAGCCGAACAAACCATGGCTGAATTTTATGTGCAAGACAGAAGTGATTTCAGAATTCAAGAGGCAGCACTCCAAACGTATTATTGGTTGTCTCCAGACTGTCAGTGTTTTACAGGAGAGATTCAGTCTGGAAATCGAGGTTTGTGCCGTTAAAAACGGGTTAAAGTGCTTTGTTGTCCTAGGGCAACAAATCCACTTTAAAACAAAACATGCTTTTTGCAGTTAAGAAAGTGATGGGGAGATGCACTGAAAAGCACGGGTTGAATGAATTACTAACTGGAAGATGTATAACCATACTGCTGTCAGCAAATTGGAATGAATGTTCATTGTTGTATAACCCCCCTGCAAACAAATCAGAACAAATGTTCAGTAAAGTGTGGACATAGCCTAGCTTCCATGTAAGCTTTGTATAAGCAGATTAAGATGAATGCTCAATAAGATGGGTTGCCTGGAGGAGCCCCGCTTTCTTTGTACTTCTCTTCTGCCCATCTTTCGTGGAAACTCTTCATTTTAGAATCAAATAATGGTAGTTGGAAGGGACCTGAAGTCCTGCAATAGAGGAATCTCAACATGTGGTCCCCCATCCAATCTGAAATCATACCAGACCCTGCTTAGCTTTGCAAAAGTGATAGCTGTTATATCGCTGTGCCACTGTATTCTGAGACAACTTGGTATTTTGGATTCAGAAGAAGGCTGGAAAATAAAGTTCGCTGATATAAACCATAGTGATCTGCAGACTTTTCAGTGTTTTTAAATCCTCCTGCATGGTCCATGGCCTAGGACCCTCGTACCTATGGGACCGCCTCTCCCGGTATGCCCCAGGGAGGACCTTAAGGTCCATAAATATCAACACCCTAGAGATCTCGGGCCCTAAAGAAGTTAGATTAGCTTCAACCAGAGCCAGGGCCTTTTCAACACTGGCTCCAGCCTGGTGGAACACTCTGTCTCATGAGACCAGGGCCCTGCAGGATCTGATTTCTTTCTGCAGGGCCTGTAAGAGAGAGTTGTTCCGCCTGGCCTTTGGCTTGGAGCCAGTTTGATTCCCTCCCCCTCTTTATTTTTCCTTCTCCTCCTGTGATGAGGCTGCATTTTAATATTTTAATCTTTCAATATTTTAATGTTGTATTTTAATCTTGTTTTTTAAGTGGTATTCGTTCAATTTGTTTTTATTATTGCTTGTTAGCCGCCCTGAGCCCAGCCTTGGCTGGGGAGGGTGGGGTATAAATAAAAATTCTTATTCTTATTCTTATTATTAAGTAGAGGGTTACCCTCTGAAGGATGCGTTTCAGAGGAAGTGTTAACATGGTCACTGGAGTCCAAACACAATCAGGCAGGCTAGCAGCCAGATTTCAGATTTTGAAGTTAGGCTGGGGATGACCACTGAGAGTTGAAGGCAGCGTTAAAGAGGGATTGTAGCTCCTGTGTACAGACATGACGCTTTCATCTCGGGTGGATAACATTTTGGAAGGTTTTGTTTCTAAAAGGTGTTTGAGGCTGCTGCCAGAGGAGGCACATAAAACAATATCACTATGTCCCTTTCTCTTTCTTTTGATTATGCTTCCAAACAGTTAATGCCTTCTATCACCTGTCGAAGGTAACACTCCCATAGGTGGCGGCGAAGCAAAATGGGTGTATGTGTGTGTGTATAGATAGATAGTTGTCGTGCACATCCTGGAAACTGATGCCTTTCTCAGACCAGTCTCATAAACGTTAGACTGCCTCCCACTTTATTTGCTCATACTTTTGCAAGTGGCTATTCTTGATGAATAGCCTGCCAACCTTGATGAATAGCTCCTGCCAACCTAGCAGTTCGAAAGCACGTCAAAGTGTAAGTAGATAAATAGGTACCGCTCTGGCGGGAAGGTAAATGGCCTTTCCGTGTGCTACTCTGGTTGGCCAGAAGCGGCTTAGTCATGCTGGCCATGACTTGCACTTTGACGTGCTTTTGAACTGCTAGCTTGGCAGGAGTTTATCTACTGCACTTTGACGTGCTTTCGAACTGCTAGCTTGGCAGGAGCAGGGACCGAGCAACGGGAGCTCACCCCGTCGCGGGGATTCGAACCGCCGACCTTTTGATCGGCAAGTCCTAGGCTCTGTGGTTTAACCCACAGCGCCACCCGCGTCCCTATGGTTACCAGGCGCATGCTTAAATGCAAGGCCGAATGCTTCCTCCTACAAGCTCAGGGGTGAGAAATGTGGGGTTAGCCTTATCATTACAACAGCATATGCAGAGTCCTGCTGGATCATGCCAGTGGCCCATCTAGTCCTGTTCTCATAGTGACCAACCAGATACCTCTGGGAAGCTTGCAAGCAGATAATGAGTGCAACAGGATTCATCCCACTTGTGCCACACCCTCCAGCGTTTCTCCGATGAAAATAGGGACGTCCTGTTCAGTAACAATAACAACAACAACAACAACAATAATTTTACTATTTATACCCCACCCATTTGACTGGGTTGGCCCAGCCACACTGGGCAGCTTCTAACATGGAAGAAAACCCAGAATAAAACATTAAACATCAAAACAACAACTTCCCTATACAGGGCTGTCTTTAGATGTCTGCTACAGGTTGTATAGTTACTTATCTCCTTGGCTCGGGAGTCTCATAATTCCATAGCCTCCAAAATTTCTTCGATGAAAATAGGGACATCCTAAGGAAAAGTAGCGGGACGCGGGTGGCGCTGTGGGTTAAACCACAGAGCCTAGGACTTGCAGATCAGAAGGTTGGCGGTTTGAATCCCCACGATGGGGTGAGCTCCCGTTGCTCGGTCCCTGCTCCTGCCAAGCTAGCCGTTCGAAAGCACTTCAGAGTGCAAGTAGATAAATAGGTACCGCTCTGGCGGGAAGGTAAACAGCGTTTCCATGCGCTGCTCTGGTTCGCCAGAAGCGGCTTAGTCATGCTGGCCACATGACCCGGAAGCTGTACGCTGGCTTCCTCGGCCAATAAAGCGAGATGAGCACCGCAACCCCAGAGTTGGTCATGACTGGACCTAATGGTCAGGGGTCCCTTTACCTTTTAAGGAAAAGCAGGACCTTCCGGGATCAAATCAGAAACCGGGACGGCTTCTGTAAATCTGTGCCTGGAAAATAGTTCTTCTCAGCAACTGGTATTCAGAAACATTCTGGTTCCCAAGAGTGGGAGTAAGTTGAGAGACTTGTGTCTTGAGTGAGGCCATTGAGTGAGTTTCACAAGCCACTCTGCTCTCCCTCTAAAGGGCAGCTTTCATTAAATGTAAAAAGGAAAGCCCCCAGCCTACAGGAGTGTCGAGAAAACTTTGGCAATGTCATCACCATCTCTGTTGCTGGAACCTCAAGGATCTCCATTTTCCCATTGATGTTGATGGTTATGCCCATGTCCCCTACAAAGGTGACTATCAGTTTCATTCATATGTATTCTGCTCCTTTCCTCAAAGGGCTCAGGTAGATTGTGTTATCTTGTTGGGTTTTCACAACAACACAAGGGTGTAGGTTAAACTTGTCCAAACAGTAACTAGCCACGACCTAGGGCATTTCATAGAATCATAGAATCATAGAGTTGGAAGAGACCACAAGGGCCATCGAGTCCAACCCCCTGCCAAGCAGGAAACACCATCAGAGCACTCCTGACATATGGTTGTCAAGCCTCTGCTTAAAGACCTCCAAAGAAGGAGACTCCACCACACTCCTTGGCAGCAAATTCCACTGTCGAACAGCTCTTACTGTCAGGAAGTTCTTCCTAATGTTTAGGTGGAATCTTCTTTCTTGTAGTTTGGATCCATTGCTCTGTGTCCGCTTCTCTGGAGCAGCAGAAAACAACCTTTCTCCCTCCTCTATGTGACATCCTTTTATATATTTGAACATGGCTATCATATCACCCCTTAACCTCCTCTTCTCCAGGCTAAACATGCCCAGCTCCCTTAGCCGTTCCTCATAAGGCATCGTTTCCAGGCCTTTGACCATTTTGGTTGCCCTCCTCTGGACACGTTCCAGTTTGTCAGTGTCCTTCTTGAACTGTGGTGCCCAGAACTGGACACAGTACTCCAGGTGAGGTCTGACCAGAGCAGAATACAGTGGCACTATTACTTCCCTTGATCTAGATGCTATACTCCTATTGATGCAGCCCAGAATTGCAGAATTTTAATGCCTAGGACAGAAAATCTAAATATTCAAATTGACCACGATAAGAACAGTAGATGGGTTTGATGAGTATTGAGTCACCTTTGGGGTTTTCTGTCTGGTGACCTTTTGGGTTTTTTGGCGCTTTTGCAGGCTCAGAGCCTGAAGGTTTCGAAATATTGTCATTTGTATATCTGTAGGGTTTTGCGGTATGGCTTTCATTGTGGGATATGGCAGGAGAGAAATTAAAACAGTTTTCACAGAATAAGCATCTGATAATTTGCCGCCCTCTAATGATGCTGTGGATTTGGTTTCTGAAGTTGGTGCCATCTGGTCCTCTAATTGCTAACCCCAGAGGCGAAAGATGGGGGTGGATCAGGTGCACCTGTGGCAATTGGGCTTGTGAGGGTGGGGGAAGCCATTTGGGGGGTCAAGGGGTCTTGGCCTCTGACTTTCCACGCCCTCATTAAAAGTGCCCTTCAGGCACAATCAGTAACCAACTAGAAGACTAGCACATCTCAAGCAAGCATACCTTCTAACCTTGGTGTGTAGAAATCTGCTTGTACAATTCAGCCCACTTTATAGTCTCAAACGTCTGCTATTGTTTCCGATTCTAATAGCACCAGTTGAAATTGAAATCCCCTTTTGGTGGGCCAATGACAAGACACAGAAGTTACTAAACCAGCTAAATCCCTAACCTATGCTAGAATTGGACAGATCCTTACGGTTTCTGGTCACTTTCGTGTATTTTTTACTCAGAATTCTGTCCCATTTCTGCATTACTCTGTGCTTTGAAAATAATTAGCCTCAAAGTGCATACTTAGATGTGCATTTTCTCAAATTCCTATCTGCGCACTTGTCCAAGGTGTGCATGTATTGTATACAATTTTGGAAAGATCCATTTTTAACCCCAGCACCCCTCTGGTGCAACATTTGATCATATATCCATGTGAAGTTACTTTGACCATCAGATGGTAGGAAAACCAGAGCCAAAGCCATCCTCTTATGCAAGAGACCCCCTGCTCACGGACTTAAGAGCAATGATGTACTTGCATCTGGAAATACGATCAACATCTTTCTATGTAGCCATTTCTAATGCCACATTTTTCTTCTTCTTCTTGAAGATAAGGCTATAACTTAAGCTGCTTTTAAAACCAGACGGCAGATTCTTTGCATTAGGGACATATTTAATGCAATGCACCCGGTGGAGCAGAGTTGTGCCTGACTTTCATAAAATCCAAAGGCTAGACAGGGACCAAAAAGACTCTTAACTGATTCCCTTGCTTGATCTCCTTTCCCTTGATCTAGCCGCCCTGCTCTCCTTGTGCAGTTATGGCCGAAGTTTCCCGCAAGCAGGGAGCAGGTGCCTTGTGCAAGAGGTACCCAAAGAATACAAAGCAATAGCTCCTGATGACGCAAGAAAGATGGCCAAGTCATCTTGGAGCAAAACAGACAACTCAAGTTGCTGTTCATTAGGTTAAATCAGGGTTTCCACAAGTTGGGTATCTAGCTATTTTTGGACTACAGTTTCCACCATCCCTGACCACTGGTCCTGCTAGCTTGGGATGATGGGAGTTGTAGTCCAAAAACAGTTGGACGCCCAAGTTGGCGAAACCCTGGGTTAAACGTTGGCAGTGTAATTTCCTTCTCTCTCTCTCTCTCTCTCTCTCTCTCTCTCTCTCTCTCTTTTTTGGCAGAGCTTCCTTTTCGAGGATAGACAGCCATTAACCATGATTATGACTATTTAGCTACAGATAACAGACATGTCTATGCAAGAAAGGCTTGCAATCTAATAGAAATGACTCAAAAGGAGGAGGAATGATAGAGGGAAGGAGGCGGCTCAATGGAACATCCAGGTTGAGAGGCAGCATACTTCTAGATCAGGGTTTCCCAAACTTGGGTCTCCAGCTGTTGTTGGACCACAACTCCCATCATCCCTAGCTAGCTGGACCAGTGGTCAGGAATGATGGGAATTGTAGTCCAACAACAGCTGAAGACCCAAGTTTGGGAGACCCTGCTCTAGGTGCTGGTGATAGTCAGCCGTATTTATAATCTTCCCCACAAGCACCCAAGCAGTCCATGTAGACAACCAAATGCTCTCAGCAGATGGACCTTGATTTCATCCAGTGCGTTAAGGCTAGCTGCTCCCACACAACTCGCAGGCCGCAATTTCCGCATTCCTGATTTCCAAAAGCAGATTGGGGATCCTGAGAATAGTGTAAAGGAAAACCAGGAAACTGACACCGTGCATGTGCCCATGGGGTTTTCTTTTCAAACTCTCTGGCTTCTGTTTAAAGTGGGGAGATTTGAAGAGCAGATTTGGGGTTCTGAAAACACAGCTCCTGGAATGGACAATCTGTGAAATGTGTGTGTGTGTATTGCGTCCCTCTGGATCATGGCTGGCCCAAACAATTCAACATTGGTTGCCCCTCATCTCAGGACTTGTGCACACTTCTGCTTGTCCCAGGGGCATAGCATGGGGGGGTACCAGGGGTGCCGTGGCCCTGGGCGTACAATTTTTGTGGGGATGTGAACCAGGTGCTCCCACGCAGGTAACTCCAGGTGTCCCTCTCCGCCCGCCAAGGGCCATGTCGGTGGCTGGGCTCCTCCCTGCTTAGGTGGGCAGGCAGCTCAGTGTGGCCCTGCTTTGCTCCAGTGGGCGTGGGGTCGCTCCAGTGGCGAGGGCTGGGCTGGTGCCCCCTGCCCAGGGCATGTGCACCTGCCCTAGACACCAACAACTGACGCTATACCGCTTACTTTTCCTACTGCTTTCCCCTAGGGAAAGCCCACTGTTTACCATTGAATCCGAGCAAATGTCAATTGGGCTTTCCATGGATTGACGTTTGCTTCATCTCAGCAGTAAAAAGTGAGTTTTCCTGGGGGGAACAGCGGGACAAACCAAAAGCAACTCAGAGCCATGCCTAAAAAGAATGGGGAAAGCGGAAAACCTATTGGATCCATGCTTTCTAAGCACAGGACAAGCAGACGTGTGGATGAGCCCTTTTAGAATGACGTGATGAAGTACCTTTTTGATTCCAAATACAGTGGTACCTTGGTTCTCAAACACCTTGGTACTCAAACAACTTGGAACCCAAACACTCCAAACCCAGAAGTAAGTGTTCCGGTTTGTGAAATATTTTTGAAAGCCGAACGTGCTCTGTTTTGAGTATTACGCTTCTGATTTGAGTGCCACGCTTCCGTTTTGAGTGTTAAGCTGAGCTCTGTCTGTTGTTGTTATTTATTTTTTGTTTTTGTTTTTGTGGCTCTTTTTTTGTTTTGTTCTTGTGACTGTGTGAATCCCAGATCAGCTACTGACTGATTGAGTGTGTGACTGCGGTACATTGTTTATTGCTTTCATTTTATGGATCAATGGTCTCATTAGATGGTAAAATTCATGCTAAATTGCTGTTTTAGGGGTTGTTTTTAAAATTCTGGAACGGATTAATCCATTTTGCATTACTTTCTATGGGAAAGCGTGCCTTGGTTTTGGAACGCTTTGGTTTTGGAACAGACTTCCAGAATGGATTAAGTTTGAGAACCAAGGTACCACTGTACTAGAATACTAACACAGTGCACAAGTTGCTGAGAAGGCCTCCTATGAAGGTCCCTGTGAGATGAATGGATGTGCAAATGTACAGCAGAGTTGCAGAGCTTAGACAAGGAGACTGTGCTTTGTATCTTCCCTCGTTTGGAACCTCCATTATTGGCAGGTATGATATGCATTTTGTCTGTAAAACAGACGTGTCTAAAACAGAGAGGGTTATAAAATCTAGACAGTAATACTAGGCAAGCAGTATAATAAACCATGTACAGAGACAGCCAGATTGGAGAGGTCTTGACAAGTGAGATCTTTTCTCTAACCAGCCCTTGGAAGTCATCCTTTTACATATCATGGTTGTTTCTTATTAAGAAAGCTGCAGAAATTATTTTCCTGCTCAGATTCTTTGAGATGCAGTTCCTGTTGTGTCTGGTGAAATGGACCATAGTTCGCAAAAGCTTGTGCTGTAATAAATGTGCAAATCTTTAAGGTGGCACAAGTCTCTCCTATTGTTTCTGCTGCAGTGGAATTCAAAATATACGTAAATACTGAGAAGGGCTAAGAACAGCAGCGTTTGTGGGGTACAAGTTGGAAGATTTGGGATGAACAAAAGAAAGTACAGTACTTTTTTCACATTCTTAAGGCCAAGATGAAAAACTTAGCCAAAGCATTTACAGCTTGCAAAGGGAGAGAAACAACAGTGTCATATAAAACTGTTTCTTTCTTCATACATTTGTATGCGTACACAGATGATGATGAAATGATGGTATTATTTAGATGCTGTCCATCTGACCGGGTTGCCCCAGCCACTCTGGGCGGCTCCCAACAAAATATTAAAAACACAATAAAGCACACAGCCCTAAGCCTTTCCTCTCCCTCTGAACCCCCAGCGAAAGCTTGGCATGGCTGCCTGTGTAGAAAGAAAACCTAATGAGGAAGTTGTGGGAATGGAAGGGAGGGCAGCACCTCTTACTTCCTATTCTGTTATCTCCACCCTGGGAAAACCCTCTTGAGCGAGGCTCTGCCCATGTTCTTAACACCCTGTTCCTGCAACCTCAGGGTGACCCAGGTGAATTTTCTGGGCTGCAGCAGAAGCTCACTGTTGTGGCTGGGAAAGAGATTGTGGGTTCTTCCCCACTTCGCAAGAAAACCTCTGCTGTCAGTTCCTTCAGCTTCAATCAGAACCCCAGGGCAGCTTTTTGCTAGCCTTGGGGGATATCTGATCACGTAGCTACACAGGAAGCTGCCTTATATATCCAGTCAGACCAGGGATCTATCCAGCTCCGTGTCTTCAGTCCCAGGGATGGAGAACCTGTGTGGCTCTCTGGATGCTGCTGGACTCCAACTCCCATCAGCCCCAGGGATGAAGCTGGGGATTTGAAATATACTTGGAGTCGAGAGTGGATTTCATGCTCTTTATTCAGCTCATAGTGGTGAGGAGGAATGGAAGTTCCCCCAGAATGTCTGCTTTACATTATTTACACAATGGGCCCCATGTGATTGGCTAATTCCAGGATTCTCCTGAGGGCCAATCAGGTAGCGGATTCACTTCCACCTGGAGCTGGATTGGGGGGTTCCTGTGGACCAATCAGACTGCTGCATTCTGAATCCTATTGTTCTAGGACCAGACTGCTGCATTCTGAATCCTATTGTTCTAGGACCAATCAGACTGCTGCATTCTGAATCCTATTGTTCTAGGACCAATCAGACTGCTGCATTTTGGATCCTATTCCACTCAGTACATAACAGAATTGAACCTCTGACCTTTAGTGTACTGAACATGTGCTTCCCCGCTAAGCTATGGACCTTTCTCGAGAAGGCATGCATGCAGTTTTACATTCCCTGGTTCAGTGGGAGAAGAGGAAACTGTGGCCTCTTTTGTCTGTTTCTCCCCTCAACCTACCACCTTCTCTACCAGCTCCGCCTCTGCAGCCTACTTGAGACCCTGCTTGTTACAGTATGCGGGCCAGGCAAGGTAGGCAGGCAGGCAGGTTTGGAGGAAGAATTGATGGGGAGAAGCTGTGGCTGCCTCTTTTTCTCCTGTTACATCAGGGGATTTAAAAGGCGCTCCTGCTGCACCAAGGTTGTGGCCTGGCAACTGCAGCTGGCTTTCGGGGCCATTCGAGTTCCCCAGTAGCCCTTGCATAGCTACATACCCTCTAACATGTCTCTGATGAAAATAGGGTTGTCCTATGTGGGTTAAACCACAGAGCCTAGGGCTTGCCGATCAGAAGGTCGGCGGTTCGAATTCCCGCAACGGGATGAGCTCCCGTTGCTCGGTCCCTGCTCTTGACAACCTAGCAGTTCGAAAGCACGTCAAAGTGCAAGTAGATAAATAGGTACCGCTCCAGCGGGAAGGTAAACGGCATTTCCGTGCGCTTCTCTGCTTCACCAGAAGCGGCTTAGTCATGCTGGCCACATGACCTGGAAACTGAACGCCGGCTCCCTCGGCCAATAAAGCGAGATGAGCACCGCAACCCCAGAGTCGGCCACGACTGGACCTAATGGTCAGGGGTCCCTTTACATTTATTCTGTTGTTGTTATGTTTATACCCCACCCATCTGACTGGTTGCCCCAGCAACTCTGGGCAGGTTCCAACTTATATGAAAACGTAATAAAACATTAAACATGGAAAAACTTCCCTATGCAGGACTGCCTTCAGATGTCTTCGAAAGGTTGCATAGTTACTTATCTCCTTGGCTCGGAGGTTGCATAACTCCAACATTTCTGCGATGAAAATAGGAGTGTCTTAAGGAAAAGCCGGGACATTCCAGGATCAAAGCAGAAACTGGGATGCCTTCAGTAAATCCAGGACTGTCCTTGGAAAATAGGGACACTTGGAAGGTCTTTAACTATTGATGGGGAACCCCTTCAGCCATATTTCTTTTCCCACCCCTGCAAATAGCTAATTAACTGGTGGAATTATTATTTATCCAAACCGTGTATGAGCTGCCATTCCTGCACTCGGAGTGGCGTGCAGCGAGATATAAGCTCATCAGCCAACAAAAGCAGAGAAAGGGCACCGGTCAAGACAAACAAAGCCAGCCAGCTGAGCAAAAGGCCAAAGGGAAGTGACGTTTTTATGCAGATGCACACCACCCCTCCAGAAGGCCAGTACTGAGGAAGAAGGACAAACTGCAGGGGGAGTGCATTTCACAGCCTTCATTCTCCTGCGGCTATGAATTTCCCCGAACTTTTCTCATTTCCTTTTACTCTTTCACAACAGATGAGCAGAATGTAGGCCAGGGCCTGTCACTTAGAGAAGGTGTGAGGGGCCTTTTTTCAAACCAAGGGCCACATTTCTTCCCAAGCAACCTTCTGGGGGCCATGTTCCAGTGGCAGGCAGGGCCCCCGGTGAAAGCAGCCTGAGCAGTAGATGTGAATGTTAGCTTTATGTGGTAGGTTAGTTTTTACATACACTCTTTGCTTGAAATTAGCCAGGCACCAGGTGCATTATCCACCTAGCTATTGACCACTTGTGACCAAGTGAAGATGTCTGGGCGCTAGGATAGAGCCTGACATCTCCACCATCTGGAGGTGCATACCTGGGGATCGTTGGATCTGGACTGTATTCAGACACTAATACAGTGGTACCTTAGTTCTCAAACGCCTTGGTATTCAAACAACTTGGAACCCAAACACTGCAAACCCGAAAGTGTTCCGGTTTGCAAACTTTTTGCCAGACATGCTCTGTTTTGAGTGTTACGCTTCCGATTTGAATGGCACACTCCGTTTAGAGTGCCACGCTTCCGTTTAGAGTATTATGCTGAGGTCTGTCACTTTTTGCTATTTATTTTGTGTTTTTGTGGCTTTTTTTTGTTTGTTTTTGTGACTGTGTGGAACCCAGTTAAGCTATGGATTGATTGATTGTGTGACTGCAGTACATTGTTTATTGCTTTCATTTTATGGATCAGTGGTCTCGTTCGTTAGTAAAATTCATGTTAAATTACTGTTTTAGGGGTTGTTTTTAAAAGTCTGGAACAGATTAATCCATTTTGCATTGCTTTCTATGGGAAAGCGTGCCTTGGTTTTGGAACGGACTTCCAGAACGGATTAAGTTTGAGAACCAAGATACCACTGTACCCCATTCTGTAGAATTCTGTCAGTTATATTTTATCTGCACAATCGGAATGAATTTCTGGAACCAAAATGATTTTTCTGTGTAAACTGAGCAGGAGCAGCCACGCTTAAGGAAAAGAGGTCAGAATAGGCCAATATGTATGTGGACTGTCCCTGGATCAAGCAACTGTTCTTCTTTAAGTTCTTCACATTCTTAACTTCCGTATTTTTCTCTCTATAAGACGCACCAGACCACAAGACGCACCTAGATTTGGGAGGAGGAAAACAAGAAAAAAAATATTCTGACTCTCAGAAGCCAGAACAGCAAGAGGGATCGCTGCGCAGTGAAAGCAGCAATCCCTCTTTCTGTTCTGGCTTCTGGGATAGCTGCGCAGCCTGCATTCATTCCATAAGACGCACACACATTTCCCCTTACTTTTTAGGAGGGAAAAAGTGAGTCTTATAGAGCAAAAAATACGGTAGCTCAAGGTTGTCATCTGGACTAGCCTGAGGCTTAACTGAGAATCACAGTCAGTCCATCATTTGAAAGAGACTTGCCTCAAAAGTGGCAACTAGGCATTCCATTTTGGCGACCTCAACCTTGGTTTAAGGAGCCATTTCGCCTTGCTAATATATCTGTGTTTCTAACACTGTTTGTGAGTCCTTTCCTATCCTCCAGCCAGGCAAGCAAGCAATATTATCAGAGCTTTCAGGTGGGTGCACTCAATGTGGGTGCAAGACAGGGCTGACGAGGGGGGTGGCTGGGGATGATGTGTGGTCTGGGGAGATTCCCAAGGACCAGGTAGAGAGCCCCCCCAAAAAAACTTAAGATTCCCCATTCCTGATGTAGGGCCAGCTGGTTGCTGGAATTCTTGCACAGAATGTTGGACAAGGTGAGCAAGAAGACACACTCAGGATCACTTAACACAGATGAGTTAAGATGCAAACTGTTAAGGGGCCCCAAGTATGGATGTTTGCTTTGTGAATCATATCATCTTATAGGGCTTCCCATTAAAACAAAAACAAAAAAGTAGGCCACGTAAGAATGAGTCAGCCAACCCTCCTGTCTTACAATATATATGCATGCATTTTTGCAATTCCAGTCCACCCACTGATTGTTCACATATGCTATAGAAGGAGCCCAAGGTAGCCCTTCTTTTGCAGGGCTTTCGTTGCAAAACACCCTCCTGCGGCGAGGCGTGTGATGTCAAGCAACTGGTTGCTTGAATTGCTCTACAGCCCAATTATGCCCTCATGTCCTTCCTGGTTATTTGCCGAGTTAGGATATAAACTGTTTGAACTATGCAGAGCTTGCTCTGGAGTCCCAGAGGTGCCGCAGCTCAAAACCTGCTTCGAGCGCCTAGCAACTGTGTTGGAAAGCCCTGCCCCAATGTGTGCGGAAGTTCAAGGGACACAGCGTGGTGGCTGAAGGTTTCGCTTGGCGTCAGAAGCCGAGCCCTGGGAGGATATATGTCAAGGAATGAGTTGAGCCTCGTAGTCAAGGCGTGGTCTGGACAGGTCAAAGGTCAAAGCCAGGGAACTTGGCGTATGACTTGTGCTCATCAGGAGGTTTGGACAGGGCTCTGGGTCTTACGGCATGCCAAGATCTGACGCCGGAGGGAAAGCAGTCAAATTATAGCGAGTGTGTTTGTGTGTATGTATGAGTACCAAGGGGAAACAGGAGAGAGGCTTACCAAATTATGTCACGGAGAGAAATTGATGGGCTGTCAGTTCAGGACAAAGAGAAGTGCTTCTTCACATAATGGAATTTATTCCCATGAGAGATGATACCTCTGTTGGTAGAGCACGGGTCTCTTTATCTCAGGGTTGTGGGTTTGAGCCCCATGTTGGACAACAAGATTCCTGTACAGTGGTGCCTCTGGTTAAGAACTTAATTCGTTCTGGAGGTCCGTTCTTAACTTGAAACTGTTCTTAACCTGAAGCACCACTTTAGCTAATGGAGCCTCCCACTGCCGCTGCGCCTCCGCCGCGCAATTTCCGTTCTCATCCTGAAGCAAAGTTCGTAACCCGAGGTACTATTTCTGGGTTAGCGGAGTCTGTAACCTGAAGCGTCTGTAACCTGAAGCGTCTGTAACCCGAGGTTCCACTGTATTGCAGGGGATTGGACCAGATGGCCCTTGTCGTCTCTTTCAACTCTGCAATTCTATGATTCAGTGTTGTGGTGCACAGAAGTATCTGTGCAGGTTGCGGCAAAGTGAGACGAGACTGATTAATTCACAGCTGTTAGACGCCATAGCTAAGAATGGAACTCCCATGTGCAATGGCAATATACCTTTAACTGTTGGGGGCAAATGAGTAGGCTGTCTCTTGTCACGACCTGTGTGTGAGCACCTGGAAACATCTGGTTGGCTGGCCGCTGTTGGAAATGTTGCTGAACTTTGTGGACAAAGTAAGGGTGCCCTTCAGTTCACATCATGTTGGTAGAGGAAGGTTTGTCGTCTGGAGTGCATGGCCTGTGTTATGTACTGAGTGAATAGGATCCAAAATGCAGCAGTCTGATTGGTCCTAGAACAATAGGATTCAGAATGCAGCAGTCTGATTGGTCCTAGAGCAATGCAGCAGTATGATTGGTCTGCAGGAGCCACCCAATCCAGCTCCAGATGGAAGTGAATCCACAACCTGATTGGCCTACAGGAGAATTCCAGAATTAGCCAATCATGTGCAGCCCATTGTGTAAATAATGTATATAAAGCAGATACTTTGAGGAGACATTCATTCCTCCTCACCAGTAGGAGCTGAATAAAGAGCATGAAATCCACTCTCGACTCAGAGTATATTTCAGCCTGGAATGTGGACTGACTGAAGTGTAGATTAGTTGACCAGGTATTCAGAGGTGGCTTGGGTGAACAAGGACAGCAGCATTTGTTAGATCAAGATGCTATCGCAGGGTCGCCGTCGTAGTCCACTGCAGAAAATTCTGAAGCCCTCTAACTCAGAGGCTCCTAGTTCAGGGTCTTTGTCCTCGGACAAGATTGCTGTTCAGAAAGCCAGGTACAAATGCACTCGGTTTGCAGGAAGCTTTTGAGAGGGGCAGAGCTGAGTGCTACAAATCGATCTCATATTTGGGGACTATTCATACCCATCTTGGTGCGATGAATGAACATCCTCACAATTTACACTGTACTCAGTTGCCTGACTTATTACTCCGTTTGCAGCCTTCGGGCTTGGCTTTTGAATGAGAGCTGTTTTCTCCAGACCTCAGTAGGGCTGAAATGAGACGCCAGAACCCAGGAATGTCATGGTATCAACCACACCGCACCCTCATGGCGTCACCGCTGAGGCATCTTGTGAGAGCCTATGATGTCATTTGCCGTTTCCGCTGCGGGCCAAAAACGCTAAAGAAGACAGCCTGCTCCAGTCTTTCCTCTGTCTCTCTCTCTCTCTCTCTCTCTGAAACAGTCAGAGGCTGTTGTGTGAGATTGTAGGTCGCTGTCCGTCTGGGTGTGACTCATCAGAGTGTCATTACAGGGAGTGATTTAGCAGAGCAACTTTCATCCCGGCGGCGTGGGAGCTGTGATTCATGTTTCCTTTTCCTTTTCTTTCCCCCCCAAGTTGGTGTAAGCTTGCATAACCAAAAGTTTGGCTGCTAGATTCTTAAAGTCAGACAGGACCATGGAGATCATAGAACAGGGTGGTGGTTAGAGTGTCATGCTCAGAAATCCCCATTCAGCCATGGAGTTCAGTGGATGACCTTCGACTAGTCACTCTCTCTCAGGTCAACCTAATTTCCAGGGTTGTGGCAAGGATAAACTGGTGGTGATGGTGGGGAGAATCAGGTAAATGTCCTTAAGCTTCTTGAAGGAAATTTGGAATGTATGCATGATAGCTAAATAGTTCGGGGAGGGCCATCATCTCTATTCTCTTTGTTTAAAAAAATATTTTTTATTCATTTTTAAACAGATTAATTATCATACATACCACAAAATTTCACATCTTATACAATCTTTTTGGACTTCCATCAACACCTCTGATGATCCCCCATTTTTATCATTTCTTCCGCATTTCTTAAATTCATATTGCCTTTAATTATCTTAACTAATGTCTCCCTTTTTATCCAATTATGCAATAATTCAAATTATTCACCTCACAAAACTTCTTGCGAACCTACAAATGTAATCTGGTCGTCACAATTACTTTTCAAATAGTCCGTAAATTTACACCAATCTTCTGTGAATCTCTGGTCCCGCTGGTTTCGAATTCTTCCTGTTAGCTTGTCTAATTCAGCATAGTCCATCAATTTCATTCCTCCAATCTTCTTTCGTCGGTAATTCTTCTTGTTTCCATTTTTGTGCCAATAATATTCTTGCTGCCGTCATTGCATATAGAAACAGCTTACAATCCATTCTGTTCATATCATCTCCTACAATGCCCAGTAAAAATGCTTCTGGTCGTCTTCTCTATTCTCATGAGCTCCTTTATTTTCTAATCATGGCCTAGGAGCCAGAGATATGTTTTGCTACCCGTAAATAAAGTTGCTGTCATTTTGCAGTGCGTGAGGGATGGCTTTCCAGACATTGTTGGACTACAACTCCCATCATCCTTAGCCATTGGCCATGCTGACTTCAGCCAATTGGAATTGTGAAGGGCTGCAGCTTCCTCATTCCTGCAGTGTGAGCAGCATATGTTCTCCAGCAAATGTTCACAGCAGATACGCGCAATTTGATCTACAGTGGTACCTCGGTTTACAAACTTAATCCCTTCTGGAAGTCCGTTCTTAAACCAAAACCGTTCTTAAACTGAGGCGTGCTTTCCCTTATGAGGCCTCCTGCTGCCAGTGCCCTTCCACCATTCGGATTCCATTCTTAGACCGAGGTAAATTTTGCAAACCTGGACACTATTTCCGGTTTTGCAGAGTTTGTAAACCGAATTGTTCAAAAACAGGACTGTTCCTAAACCGAGGTACCACTGTATTTTGTACTTTCTAAATAGAACATTTTTGGCTTTAATATTCTATTTCTTTATTTTTTTAAAAAACACACTTTTATGCCACCACATTGTAAAATAGATCAAGGCAGTGTACGCTTAACACATCATTTAATATTACCCAGATGGGTGGGGTAAAATAAATAAATAAATAAATAAATAAATAAATAAATAAATAAATATTTATAAATATTTATATTTATAAATAAATATTAGTGCATTTCAGAGGGTCTGTGAGTCTTCCACTGCTTCAATTAAGGAGCGTTGCCACCATTTACATCTGATGCTTTTCCTGGTTTCCGTGTCACTCCTGTAGAGAAAAACCTCCCAGTTGCTCATAGTCACCGGCAGATAGCCTCAGGTGAAATTCTGTAATGTGACGTATCAACCCAATCATTCCATATTATCTACCCCTCAACCCTTGGAAGTATAGAGAAATAGATTTTAAGATCGTGGTTAATTATGTGTATAGAAAGACAGGTAGGTAGGTAGATAAGTATATATATATCTGTATGTATCTATAAAGTATGTAGATATGTATAAATATGTATGTGGAAAAACAAAGCCCCGAACAAAGGCATGACATCTGCTGCTACTGGCATATTTTGCTGAACTTTCTCTTTTTATTTCCCTTTTCTCTCCTGTAAGAGTTCTGCAAAACAGAACTATTGTACTGGAATCCATTCCTAAGGAAATAACTATCTGTGACTTGCAGATGATGGCATCTGTTAATAATGACCAAAGAGATCCTTCCATATAGAGGGGAGAGGGGTTGTCTCTTTGATTGTTTTGGTTTTAAAAGAAAGGATTCCTAAAGGCGTACAACCCTGTAGGAAGACAGTGGGCAAAGATCTAGAAATGCACTTCTGAAAGATCACATCTGTTCACAGACTGCATAAAAACTGCAAGGAGGTTGAACTGTGCTTGCAGATCCACCTTCTTGCATGGCTGTTGGTCAGTTAAGAAAACTGATGCACAAGGCCACTTAAAAACCACATTTCTGTCTTTTGTACATGCAGGGCAATAGTGAGGAAGCCCTTAACAGTGGCACGTGTGAAATTGTTCCTCACTTTATAAAGGAAAAAAGGATCACTTGAAGTTATTCCCCTTAACCAGATACCTTGAGGTGACTTAAACCTCGTGTTCAGGTTGTCTCCAATTTTTGACAGTGTGAAGATGAGTGAATGACGGCAACGAAAAAAGGTTTTGCTAAAATTGACCTAAGGTTTCCACTTTTCTTCCTTTCTTTGGAAGCATCCGGTCCGGGGCACTGAGAATATTTGTCTAATGCAGTCTGGCATTATATTCCCCACGTGAAAGTAAAAATAGCCCTACTAGGTCAGAAAGTCCTTTTCGGGAAAGACCTCTACCTGAGACCTTGGAGAGGTGCTGCTGGATAGAAAAGATAATTCTCGGCTAGATAGACCCCCGCAGTATGGGGCAGCTTCATTACAATGCTCATTTCCAACATTTCTGCACTGTGCTGACAAGCACAGGGGAGCTTTTTTTGCAATTTCCCCCTCCCTGCTGGCAAGGGAACATGCTTTGGACTCGACCATAGTTAAACCTAAAACTTCTCAAGAGAGGGGTGAACAGCTAGCTCCCAAAAGCCAGTGTACAGAGAGAGGAAGACATCAGAAACATAAGAGCACCACTTCTGGAACAGGCCAAAGGCCCAGGAGAACATCCTGTGGAAATCCTACAAGCACTCTCTCCTCTTATGATTTCTGGCAGCTGGTATTCAGAGTTATATCGACAGTGGGGGTAGAACATAGCCATTGCGACTAGCAGTACCATTGGCAGACATCAGATTGCAACCTCCGAACATGCATACCTGGAAAATGATGTGAAAGAGGTGGCGGCTGTTGCGTTTCCATGCTGCTGTCCTGCTGTCCTTTTGCTAAATCACCTGTTCCCTGTGTTTGCAACCACATTGTACAGTGGTACCTCAGGTTAAGTTCTTAATTTGTTCTGGAGGTCCATTCTTAACCTGAAACTGTTCTTAACCTGAAGCACCACTTTAGCTAATGGGGCCTCCCGCTGCCGCCGCGCCGCCGCTACACAATTTCTGTTCTCATTCTGAAGCAAGTTCGTAACCCGAGGTACTATTTCTGGGTTAGCGGAGTCTGTAACCTGAAGCGTATGTAACCTGAAGCGTATGTAACCCGAGGTACCACTGTACACCGCTTAGCGGCTATGGTGTTAAGGGGTATTTAAGCTTCTGAGATACATACATACATACGAACAACAAAGCATATTTGTTAGTCTTTAAGGCAGTGTTTGAAATTAGCCAGGCACCAGGAGTGTTTTGCTACTGACACAGGTCCAACTGCGACCACATGGAGATCTCTGGATGCCAGATTAGTGACTGATATCTCTGGCTGGCTGGCCTTTCCAGCTTTCTTAAGCAGGTAGGCTTAAGAAGAACTTATTTAATGCATTTATATCTCAGCTTTTTCCCCAAGGAATACATGGTTCACCTTCCAACTCAGTTAATCCCTACAACGCCGCTGTGAGGTAGGTTAAGATGCTGTGACTGGCCCAATGTCACCCAGTGAGCTTTTTGACTGAGTGGAAATTTGAACCCTGATCTCCCAGGTCCTAGCCCAACGCTCTAACCAGTATACCACATTGGCTTTCTAGAGTACAGTGGTACCTCTGGTTGCGAACAGGATCTGTTCCAGAGGCCCATTTGCAACATGAAAAGAGCGCAACCTGCAGCGGCGCATCTGCGCATGCGCAGGTTGCGACCCACCACTTCTGCACATGCACGTGATGTCATTTTGCGCTTCTGCGCATGCGCAAGCGGTGAAACCCGGAAGTAACCCTTTCCGGTACTTCCGGAATGCCGCAGGACGTAACCTGAAAGAATGTAACATGAAGCAAACGTAATATGAGGTATGACTGTATTTCTGCTATGGGGCAGCTCTATAGATGAAGTAGGTAAATAAATATGGGGAAAGCAAAATGTCACTTATAGAAGGATCTGAAATATTTTCCTTGAAGCTTGAATTTGTTTTATTCTGGATTGTTTTATTTGATGTTATAATGTGTTGAGATTTTTTTCTGTAAAATATAAAGTGGTAAACTGTAGAAGTGAAATTAATAATAATAATAATAATAATAATAATAATAATAATAATAATAATAATAAATCCCATAGCAAAAAAGGCGCCTAGACATTCCGTTCTGACTGTAACCTAGGTATAAGGTGCCATTTGGTGATTAGCTTATATATCTGAGTTTCTAACACTTCTTTAAGGTGCCACAGGACTCTATTGTTTTTGCTGCAAGAGACTTAATTTCTATAGACATTGTTATATTTATGCAGTGGCTACATAAAACGTCCAATTCTGGTGTCACACTAGCGACACGGATCAGTTTAAAGAGAATTCACAGTTAAAGCGCTGATCCCTACTATGTTCAGTTGAAGATATCAGTGCAAGTCTTCCAGTCCATGCTGTTTGCCTGTTTACTGCGAAAAGATGTTCATTGTGCAGTAATGTATCCCACAAATAAGTAACATTTCTTTGCAGCTCAAGGCTGATTCTGGTTCTGGGTTGTGACCTTCCTTGCCATGTTGGAACAGTGTATACTAAAGAACACAGAGCCTGGAAAAGCCTTAAGTTTCGGAAACCCTCAAGATTCTTTTGACACTCGCTTCCAGTAAGGAGTGACAGTGTGGGCTGAGCCCGAGTGTTGGTTTGAGTCAGTAACATAAGGCAAGGCAGCTCGTTCTAACTTTCCCTTACATTCCACTAAACCTCCTCTTGGCTAAAATGCTCTCTCCCAAAGGGGCTAGCTCCCAACCCATTCATTCTCGTCTCAGCATTTTGCAGATTTTTATAGTCACAGAAAATGTCTTGGAATCTTGCTGGTTTGCAGAATCTTGCCATTTTGGCAGAAGGCGCCCGTGGCTGCTGAACATTATGTGCATCAGAAGCCAACAGCTGCTACCAGCTGGTGGAGGGGGGGGGGGAGAGAAATAAATGTGGCAGGCGTTAGGACCTGGAGGATGCCTCCAACTCGAGGCTCAGGCAGTCTTTGTGGCAAAGACTGAGCTGAAAGCAGCAGCTTGTGAATCACTTCCTCCTTCTGTAGCCAACACCCCCTGCCCTCTTTTTACCTCCTGCGCCTCTTAAAGGCCCCCTCCCTGCCCCATGCTTCCTCAAGCAGCCCATCCTCCTTCACTGTTTACCCCTGCCAATCCCCCACCCCCAACTGCACTATACTGTATAATGAAACCTCAGCAACGAAAAACATGCTAGCTGTTGATCAAATAGTTATATGCTTCTTGGGGCTTTTCTTTTCTTTTAAACCATTAATGTACAGTTACTGAATGTTCAGAGAATCCTGGCATCTACCATCATGGAAAACCCTCCAGTTGGAAAGAATATTAATGTCTCCCCGCTGCTCCCAAGCATAATAATAATAATAATAATAATAATAAATTTATTATTTATACCCCGCCCATCTGGCTGGGCTTCCCCAGCCACTCTGGGCGGCTTCCCAAAAAATATTAAAATACTGTAATACATCACACATTAAAAGCTTCCCTAAACAGGGCTGCCTTCAGATGTCTTCTAAAAGTCTGGTAGTAGTTGTTCTCTTTGACATCTGGTGGGAGGGCGTTCCACAGGAAGGGCGCCACTACCGAGAAGGCCCTCTGCCTGGTTCCCTGTAACTTGGCTTCTCGCAGGGAGGGAACCGCCAGAAGGCCCTAAGCGCTGGACCTCAGTGTCCGAGTAGAACGATGGGGGTGGAGACACTCCTTCAGATATACTGGACCGAGGCCGTTTTGTAATAGGGACTCCCCACCCCCAACACACTTCCACCGTGCTCCTCCTAAGTAAGCATTTTATTGTTTCAGCCATTCGGTATAACAATGCAAAGCAATAAAACTTTCGATAATATTTTGACAGTGGCGTATTATGATAACAAATGCATTGCCGGCACACAGCGCACAGCGTTGCTTTCTGCACTTTGCTGCTGCAACTGGAAAAGCAACCACATTCCTTCAAGCAAACTTCTCATCCTTAAGTAGGAAGCAGACGTCTTCTTTGAAATGGATGAGTCCGTAATTCCAGACAAGCTCCAGTCCTGGTAACTCCTCTCTGACTACACTAATGAGTGAATGTTGAGAGCACCCTATTGGACAGTTCCCATAACATCACTGCTGAGGAATCACATGTTTCTCCCTACCTCTCTCCCCAGCCACACAGGACATTTTGCAATTTTAACAAATGTAGTAAGATTTAAGTTTGGGAGGGCTCATGTAGCCATTCAGAGTTAAAAACTCCACCAAGGCTATCATTTCCTGCTTTTGGCCAGCCAAAAGCCCTTTTCTGTCCTTATCTTGTCTTGCATTTTCATCTTCATCATCATTATCATCATATTTGTATGCTGCTTTTCCATAGATAAAACCGTGATCAAAGGCGGCTTACGACATGAAAAGATTTACGTATAAACATAGGCATAAACATTAAACAAAGCACATCAAATAAAACACTTCCCTTTGTTCACTTCCCTTCTGCATTGAAATAAGAGCACATTCTGCAGAATACCATCTCCTGCACAGTGCAACCCAATAGGGCATATATGTTTGCCCAAATGATGGAAACATTATGCATTAATGCACCAGTATGTCTTTTTCATATAAATTTATTTATTATTGTAATTATTGGTTGCTTTTGTAATGGAAAGTGAACCCCAAGCAATCTACAGTATAATAGAAAAATGAAAACAAATATAAAATGAAAAGAAAAGAAAAACATATACATAAAAATCTGTCTAACACATGCCACCCACTAAAGGAGGACACAGTATCTAAAACTCTCCAGGTTAAGGGCCAAAAACCTGGCTGAAAATAAATATTTTTTGCCTGGTGCTTAAAAGCAGCCAGTGTTGGCCATGAGTCCCTGGGGAGAGCATTCCACAAACAGGGAGCCACCACTGAAAAGGCCTGTTCTTGTGTTGCCACTCTTCGCACCTCCCTTAGTCCATGCGGTCCTGGAATCCTGAGCCACATAAGACTTTGTAGGTCAAAACCAGCACTTTGAATTGAACCTGGAAATTGATAGCCAATGCAGTCATGCCAGAATTGGTTTTATATGCTGGTTCCAAATTTTTGCCCTGCAATCTCCCATTCCACAGCTTACCCAGGAGAGGAGGCATCCTTGCTTGAGCTCATGATGCCTTGTGGTCAAGATCATTAAGGCAATTCGCTAAGAGCTCCACTTTTCACAGAGATGCAGAGATGCTTGCCTGGTCTGTTATGCATTTGGAAATCCAGCTTCAACCAGTTTTTTTAAAAACCCTAATGTGTTTAAAGCCACATTAAAGCCATTCACACATGCAGAACAGTGTTTCAAGAGAGGCCCGAAGATGCTTTTAGCATCACTTTTGGGAATGGCCCAACTCCAAATTTCATTAGTAAGTCAATCCCACTCTATGCATTCTCCAGACACCCCTGCACCCATCTATCATGTTAGACTACTTTCCTCACTGTTGGCTCAATCCACTGGGAACAGCTCAGTTTTCACCGTTAGCTTTGAAAACACGTGAGCTCACTGTTTGGAAAGTATAGTGGCTGCAATCCTGCACATTTCGTAGGCTTTCTAGACAGGCCTCTGGCCCAAATAGGCAAACAGAACTGGAGGACAAGGCAGGGAGCGTTATAGAAAAAGGCTGGTAATCATGTCACAAAGCCAACAGACTAGTGAGAATCATGGCAGCTGTAGCCTGTCCTTGGGCCTGTTGGCTCCCTTAAAGGTAAAGGTAAAGGGACCCCTGACCATTAGGTCCAGTCGTGACCGACTCTGGGGTTGCGGCGCTCATCTCGCTTTATTGGCCAAGGGAGCTCGGCCAGCATGACTAAGCTGCTTCTGGCGAACCAGAGCAGCGCACGGAAATGCCATTTACCTTCCCGCTGGAGTGGTACCTATTTATCTACTTGCACTTTGACGTGCTTTCGAACTGCTAGGTTGGCAGGAGCTCACCCCGTCGCGGGGATTCGAACTGCTGACCTTCTGATCGGCAAGTCCTAGGCTCTGTGGTTTAACCCACAGCGCCACCCGCGTCCCCTGTTGGCTCCCTTACCTTGGTCCTTATGCAGAATTCATTTCAGCAGTTCATTATACTCCACCAGTGGCAGAATTGTGAAAGGGTTGAACTTGGAATCAGCTGTTTTCAGGAGCTTTGGCCCTTGGGGAGCTCCACAAACAGCCTCAGCATAGCAACATTATGCTCCTCAAACATGCTGGTAATCAACAGGATAAAACTGTGATATAAAAGTGCCAGCTTTTCCCAATCACAGGTAGGTAGGTTAAGGCTTCTCCTGCCACCTAAAAGATCCCTCCCCATAATGCTCATCCCTCATAGTGTAGCCTGTAAATGTATGTCAAGTATTTCATGCATTCATTCAAATCACATTCCTAAATGTGCCTTAAAAGCAAAAAACTTTGCCAATGTTTTAATTACCGGTAAATTGGATAAGAGAGATTCTTCCAGGTGTTCTATTCTGTTTGTTAGTACTAATCTAACTGAAGCCAACCTCTTGCAAAACTTTATTTAACTTTGAAGGAGTCATGCAAAGAGTTTTTGCCTGACCTTGCTTGACCTTGCAGGTCCTCTCTTGCAGTGCTTCTCTTGTATATTTTTCCTGATTATTTATAATGCTGCTAATAAGTTGAATATATTCTTGTGCTGTGTTGCACAGAAGCTTTTGATAGCCACACTTTGGGCTTCTCCAGATTGGTGTGTTTTATTGCCGGTGTCTTCTGCAACATGTTCTTCACACAATAATAGCGCATTAGCGGTGGAGTTATCCTGATCCCTGATGCTAGCACGACACACACAAAAACCCCAGACCATTTGTGGTATGAAAAGTTAGGGGATTTCAGCGGAAGAAGGTACGTGGGGTATGCACTGATTTGAAATGAAGCAGTGTGACCGCCCCAAAACTTTGGCAGACACAAACAGTATTGAAAGCAATACTATCCCAATACCGTTATGAACACAAATAATAACAAATGCACAATAAAAAGGATGTCTGGAGAGCCCTAAGATGTCGCAACTCAGAGGTGTCCACCTGTTTGTCAGTTCCGTCGCGAAGCTGGAAGGAAACTGTTGGGAGTTATTGTAGGTCTGTCTTCACTCTAATATAGAGCTGGCTTCACAGGCTTCCACGGGGTAGAGAATTCCATTGTGGGGAGCAGAGCACATCACTGAGAAAACCCTGCAGCTTCTCACCCTCATTTTGATGTCAGGTGGCAGTGGAAGTTGAGTAGGGCTTCATTTGTATACCTGAGCAAACAGAGCAGGTTCACTATGGAACTTCCTTTCTTCAGATTACCTCACATTTAGCCTGGGCCTTCACTTGTTCAGTCAGTACAATTTTCCCAGTATCTCATTAGGTTTTATTATATATATATATGTTGTTGTTGTTGTTTAGTCATTTAGTCATGTCCAACTCTTCGTGACCCCATGGACCAGAGCACGCCAGGCACTCCTGTCTTCCACTGCCTCCCGCAGTTTGGTCAAACTCATGCTGGTAGCTTCGAGAACACTGTCCAACCATCTCCTCCTCTGTCGTCCCCTTCTGCTTGTGCCCTCCATCTTTCCCAGCATCAGGGTCTTTTCCAGGGGGCCTTCTCTTTTCATACACCCACCCACCCACCCCATGTTTTTCTGTCTATAAGATGCCCCCATGTATAAGACGCCCCCTATTTTTGGGGACTCAGATTTAAGAAAATGGGGGCAGATATATCCGTGTATAAGATGCCCCCTAATTTTTGACATTATTTTTCAGGAAAAAACCCTAGTCTTATACACGGGAAAATACGGTGTGTGTGTGTGTATTATTGGTGGTTTTTTTTGTAAAATTGCAAAAACAAAACTCAAGTGTTAAATAATTGGTTTAAATAATAGGAGAAAATATATATAATAGGAAAGAATATATATATATTGCTGTCACATATAGAATTCCTTGGTTGCCCTTCAAGTCTTTTTACTGGCTATGTTTAGATTCCAAGTCCTTTAGGTGCAGACACGTTCCTTGAATGTCAATTGTTCCAAGTCACCCTGGAGCCTGGATATAGGACAGGCCATAGGTCTAAATGAATACTAAAATAAGCATAACTAGGAGCTGCCCTGGAATTGTGGGTACCCTAAAACGTGCCCAGAGAGGCCTTCCCTGGTGCCCCCCAGGGTTGAAACGAAGCTTGAAAAAAGCGTTGTAGCCAGTAGTTATGGGGTGCCTGTGACCATTTCTCCAGTTTGCAAATGTGCCCACAGGCCCCCCCCAAGGCCGTAAACCCCTGGCGTAAAATTAGGGGTCCAGATCCGCGGCCTCCTGCCCTTCTCACGTTTGCCCTCCCAGCGGGTCTGTCTGGTTAGAAGCATACAATGGCGTCTACTAGCAACCACACATTTTTTCCTGCCTTGGAAAATGGCCGACTGGCTCAGCCTAGGAGGCTAAAGAGGTAGCATGGTGGTGAGTTTGCCCGGGCTCTGTCGGGCTGTTGCCCAAGCCGGCTCTCCTGTTCCCTCTGGGAGCAAGACATTGATGTGCATATGACAGATGGCTTAGGGCAGAGATTTTAGACGTGGAGGCTTCCTGTACCACAGCTGCCCACCTGAGGAGTCCTGTCCGCCTCCCAAATTTCCAACCCAGAGGTGAGACGGGATTGTGTGTGGATGGGGAGCATTGCTGTGCCCATGGGCCTTGTCAACAACCCCTTTGGAGGTGTGGGGAAGTGGGGGCACGGCCTTCATGCCTCAGAGCAGCCCTCCAGTTGGACTAACCCATGGGTAGGCAAACTAAGGCCCGGGGGCTGGATCCGGCCCAATCGCCTTCTCAGTCCGGCTCACGGACGGTCCAGGAATCAGCGTGTTTTTACATGAGTAGAATGTGTGCTTTTCTTTAAAATGCATCTCTGGGTTATTTGTGGGGCCTGCCTGGTGTTTTTACATGATTAGAGTGCTTTTATTTAAAATGGGTTATTTGTGGGGCATAAGAATTCGTTCTCTCCCCCCCCAAAAAAAAATATAGTCCGGCCCCCCACAAGGTCTGAGGGACAGTGGACTGGCCCCCTGCTGAAAAGTTTGCTGACCCGTGGACCAACTACAGGTCAGGGGCCTGGGCTGGGCTGGCTTTACAAACCACCTCAGTGAACTACAGTTTATAGCTTCCACTTCTGAGGGACCTCGAGTCTCGACTACCAAGTTTCAATTTTGACATAACTGCTTAAAAAATAAAAGAAAGCAGACCCTAAAACAGTTATGATTGTTCTGATACAACATTTCTTATGAAAACAGGCTTGTTGCAAAACATATGCCATACCCTCCAACATTTCTCTGATGACAATAGGGATGATGTCCTGTTCCGTAATAATAGTTATTATAATCAAAATATTATTTAAACCCCACCTATCTAACTGGGTTGCCCCAGCAACTCTGGGTGGCTTCCAGCATACAGTATATAAAAACATTTTTAAAAATTAAATCTTTCCCTATACAGGGCTGACTTCAGATGTCTTCTAAAGGTGGTATAGTCACTTATCTCCTTAGCTTGGAAGTCGCATAATTCCATACCCTCCAAAATTTCTCTGAAGAAAATAGGAACGCCCTAAGGAAAAGTGAGGGACGTGGGTGGCGCTGTGGGTTAAACCACAGAGCCTAGGACTTGCTGATCAGAAGGTCGGCGGTTCGAATCCCCACGACAGGGTGAGCTCCCGTTGCTCGGTCCCTGCTCGTGCCAAGCTAGCAGTTCGAAAGCACATCAAGTGCAAGTAGATAAATAGGTACCGCTCCGGCGGGAAGGTAAATGGCGTTTCTGTGCGCTGCTCTGGTTCGCCAGAAGCGGCTTAGTCATGCTGGCCACATGACCCGGAAGCTGTACGCCGGCTCCCTTGGCCAATAAAGCGAGATGAGAGCCGCAACCCCACAGTCGGCTACGACTGGACCTGATGGTCAGGGGTCCCTTTACCTTTACCTTTAAGGAAAAGTGGGACATTCTGGGATCAAATCAGAAACCGGGACATCTTCTGTTAATCTGCCCCTGGAAAACAGGGACTCTAGGAGGGTCTGCAGTAAACTACAGTTTATGGCCTCCATATATGGGGGCCTCAAGTCTCAACGCATACTAAAAAACTACTAAATTTCAAATTCGACACAACTGCTTTAAAAAAAAAAGTAAACGACTCTAAAACAGACATTGTTGCTCTGAGACAATATTTCGTCTGCAAACAGGCTTGTTGCAAAATATATGCTTTATTTAGATGGTTTGCTTTTAGTTGGTTTTTTGTACCAGTATATTTGCAGAAGGAAAAGTTTATTTTACATTTCCATTGTTGTCCTTGATGTTAGAATAATTTTTTGGTAATGCTATGAGGCCTCAGTATGTCTCAATCTGGCCCTGGGCCTTGGTTTAGAGGCCTGCGGCTGAAGAATGAGTTCTGTGGGCCTGGTGTTTCTTAGAACCCTTTTGGATGTTGATCTGTATCAACATATCTTCACAGTTGAATGAATGAAACGTTATTGTTTAAAGCCATCCACCACCGCAATATAAATACAGCAAACAATCATTCTTGACATATTCCACAGATGACAGATATACAAAAGAAAACAGAAAAGTAATACTCTGCCCTCCCATATGAATCACACATTATCCCTCCACAATAAACTATAGAAGTGTTAAAAATACAACGAGCAAGTTGTATTCTCAGATCTTCCTTGTGCATGAAGTGAAAATGGGAACTGGAGTGAGTGTGACCATGTCAAAATAAAAAAGCAAGTGAAGACACAGGAAACTTCCGGTTGTGCCACACTTGACAATTGTTAGGTCTCAGCCAAATCGGTCTCATACCAGCGAGCCTGCAGGGCTATCCACAGAAGAATATCATTCCATTTTAATTCACTAACCTACCTGGAAAAATGAAAATGAAATGTCAGCCCACTGCTTCTCGGGAGTGGTTTACAAATTGCTGTTAAAATGTGAAAAGGTGGGAGTTATCCTCCCCTCTGCCCAGAGCAGCCCTATGCGCTGTGCTGTGCTCTGTGACTCTTCTGGGCATGCTTTCTTATTGAAAGGAGGCAAGCAAGCCTGTAGCATTAATTTGCACAAGGAAGCAACAGGCAGCTCTTTCTATACAGGGCTAATTCTGAGTCTCTGTATGCGGAGTTGGTGAACGCTCCTATCACACCTGCTAGGGCAGAATTACCCATTGAATCAGAGACTGATTAGAAGGAGCTGATGGCTGAGAAATAAACCACGCACGATTGCAGCAGGCAGCCCTCCTCTGTGGGTGGGCACTCGCAGGAGTCTTTTTAAGTATTTTATTTCTGTTTATTTTTTTGTGGCACACTTACACGCCCGGCACTCAGTTTGGGACTTACTAGAGTAAGCGCATATCCACCCACCACGACGAAGTGACGTCTTTATGTTGCATTTGCTCAATGGTTGCTGAAATCAGCTGGATAAGGGAAAGGGCCTTGTGCTGGAACAGTTGCAGGTTGACAGGAACCAACATATTCTCTATCAATAAAACTAGAGGAAGTGGGGATGTAACGCCGCGTTTTGATTTGCAGAAGGGAATTGCCCAATAGCACAGACCCTGTGGGAGCCAGCAGCTGTCTCAGATTTCTTTATTGCTGCCTCCCAGACCTATTTAGATTATTTTCCTAAACCTAGGAGAAGAGTACATAACTAAACTGAAGTTGCCTGCTATGTTGTAGCAGGAGAAGTAGAAATGGAGGGACTGGTTGGAAGGCCAGAAGGTGAAATGGGGGTTGCCGACAAAGCAGGGGCAATAAGTATCCAGAGTGCCCGTTTTTGAATTTACAAAATTGTAGGCTCCAGAACTATCTCTGTGATTGCATAGGGCATTTCTCTTTTGAATCCAGGTATTATTTCATTCGGGGGGGGGGGGGGATAAATACTGAAAAACTAAACCAAGAGTTTCAATAACAGCCCTGCCAAATGAGGTTCATGTGCAGTGTTGTTCCCTATATTTCACATTAGCAACTACGGCAAGGAGAGCGATTTGTAACAGCTCTGCAGTGTAGTCCACTGAAGATTGCAGGTTGGGGCAAAAGGTCTGTGTGGATTAGCCTAAGGGGGAGAGAATGGCTTACAACAAACCTACAATTATTATAATACCTCGGTAGCAGTTTGAGGATTGGGCTGAGGGGCTCAGAGAATAGCTTGCAAACAACCTTGCAGCGTAGCCCACTGTTATTGTTACACTATTGCTGGTTGTGGGGCTGTGCTGAGAGACAGTACAGTGGTACCTCGGGTTAAGTACTTAATTCGTTCCGGAGGTCCGTTCTTAACCTGAAACTGTTCTTAACCTGAAGCACCACTTTAGCTAATGGGGCCTCCTGCTGCCGCCACGCCGCTGGAGCACGATTTCTGTTCTTATCCTGAAACAAAGTTCTTAACCTGAAGCACTATTTCTGGGTTAGCAGAGTCTGTAACCTGTAGTGTATGTAACCTGAAGCGTATGTAACCTGAGGTACCACTGTAGTTTATAACAGCTCTGCAGTGTAGCCCACAGTTAATGTTACAGGTCAGAGCTGGAACTGAGGCTGGTTTCAATTCTTAAGTCAAACATCCTCCATATTTATCTATTTTAGATATTTATATTCTACTGAATATTCATAATGTCTAAAATGTCCTGTAGTTTGCAGCAATCTGGTTAAATTGTCCCCTCAGTTTTCCTTCCCAGTCTAAGGGCTCGTTCACACTTCTGCTTGTTCCATGCCTAGAAAGCAGGAGTCCTAGAGGTTTTCTGCTTGCCCCATGCTTTCTCGGCATGGATCCGAGCAGTTTTGCATTTGCCCCACAGCTTTCCCCTGGAAAACATACGCTTTACCACTGAATCAGAACAAATGGCAATTCAAGGAAAACTCAGTTGCCATTTGGTCTGATTCAGCAGTAAACTTCAGGTTTTCCTGAGGAAAGTGGCAAGGTAGTTGGAGGTGTGGCGAAGCCCTCAGTTTCATGCAGAAGCACTGTGCTCAGTTGATCTGCTTGCAGACAGGTTAAAGGTAAAGGTAAAGGGATGCAGGTGGCGCTGTGGGTTAAACCACAGAGCCTAGGACTTGCCGATCAGAAGGTCAGTGGTTCGAATCCCTGCAACGGGGTGAGCTCCTGTTGCTCAGTCCCTGCTCCTGCCAACCTAGCAGTTCGAAAGCATGTCAAAGTGCAAGTAGATAAATAGGTACCGCTCTGGCAGGAAGGTAAATGGCGTTTCCGTGCGCTGCTCTGGTTTCTCCAGAAGCGGCTTAGTCATGCTGGCCACATGACCCAGAAGCTGTACGCCAGCTCCCTCGGCCAATAAAGCGAGATGAGCGCTGCAACCCCAGAGTCGGCCACGACTGGACCTAATGGTCAGGGGTCCCTTTACCTTTAAAGGTAAAGGTAAAGGGACCCCTGATTACACTTCAAAATATTCAAATATTCAAAATATTCAAAACAAAACCCCTTTCCTCCACACAAACTAAGATCCCAGTCTGAAAGAGTAGTGACTCCCATTTTTGCTGCTACCTGTTCCTTTTTGGGGAGGGTACCCATTGTCCATATGCAGGCACATTAAAATGTTGACTTCCTCAATTGTTTTCTCCAGGCAGCTCTCAATTCCACATTGGTGAAGGTGTTGTTTTTTTAAAAAAAGTTGTATTCCAAACCATAAATTCGAAGTATGCCTCTCTCTTCTGTTTTCACATCTCTGTGAGCCAGGCACAGCCTTCTGGGACAGCGAGCACAGCACCAATCAGATCCTGTGAAGGCACCAGAAAGCGAAGCCAACTTGGCCATTTTTGGCTGGGAAGGGGGGGGGGAAGCCCAGCAGCAAAGCAAACTGTTCACCTAATTCGCAAAGCTATAAATAAGTAAGCAAGCAAGTTGGCCGGGCCAGGAAAAAATGACCTTGCCCTCTGCTTTTGTTTTTGGCTAAGCAGCCCGCAAACCTTGACGCAAGACTGGCCCTGCAGCCAGATCAGTTGAATTGCCCCCTGCAACTACCTAGGGTAGTGCAATAAAGAATAGCTTCCAGGTGCTTCCAGGAAGCCCGCAAATGCAACATGAAGTTACTGCCAGCACTCTTGCTTGCCAGTCTACATGATAACAGGTATTCGGAACAAGCTCTCGCTGAACCTGAACATTGCATCAAACCTTCACTGCAGAAGAGGGAGTTTTAGGAAGTTTTGCTTGCCAATTCAGAGTGCTTCTGGGGCAAGAAAAGCTGCACTAGCTGAAATTCTCTCTTCTGCTAAAGCCATTAAAGGCACAAGGACCCAATTTTCTCTTGCTTTTGATGACGTTAGTTACTTAACTTGGTGTGCTCCTTAACTCCTTTACTCCCATATCTATGGATGTATTCACAATAACAGATAGCTGCTAGAACTGTTGTGCAGTCCTGCTGCTCTAAGGCTTTTGCTTGGCCAGTGGTAGTTTGGTGTACGATGGTTGCATGACCTAGCAGCAGTTGCATGCTGTTTTCCTTGGACTGCTTGAATAGTTCAGGAGTAGTATATAACTCCTGTTCTGCTGGGAAGAAATAGCTGTGTGATTCCCTGCTGTCATGCCATCACCCAGTACCTATTGCCAGGGGCAATGGAAGATTGTGCCTGGGATCAAAGCAGGGGGAGAGAACAATAATGTGCTCCTCACTGAAGCAGGGTGGATAAAAATCTGTTAAAAATTACAGTGATCAGATTTTTAAAAACTAAACCTGAGAGGTTTAAATCCCACCCCACCCCACCCCAGTTTAAAGTTGGCATTTAACCCAGTTGTATTAACAGTGCAATCAAATTCATTGCACTGGGAGAGGCCGTCAATACCATATAACACTGGTCCTGAAAGACCTACATTGGCTCCCAGTACATTTCCGAGCACAATTCAAAGAGTTGGTGCTGACCTTGAAAGCCCTAAATGGCTTTGGCCCATTATACCTGAAAGAGCGTCTCCACCCCTGTCATTCAGCCCGGACACTGAGGTCCAGCACCAAGGGCCCTCTAGCCGATTCCCTCACTGCAAGAAGTGAGGTTACAGGGAACCAGGCAGAGGGCCTTCTCGGTAGTGGCGCCCACCCTGTGGAACACCCTCCCATCAGATGTCAAGGAAATAAACAACTATCTGACTTTTCGAAGACATCTGAAGGCAGCCCTGTTTAGGGAAGTTTTGAATGTTTGATGTTTTATCATGTTTTTAATATTCTGTTGGGAGATGCCCAGAGTGGCTGGGGAAACTCAGCCAGAAGGGCGGGGTATAAATAATTTTGTTGTTGTTGTTGTTATTTGTTTGTTGTTATTTGTGTCTACTCAGACATATGTACCACTGAATTGAGCTGGACTTTCTCCCAGGTCGGTGGCCATAGGACTGCAACCTGAATATCTCTTTGTGATAACGACCTCATTTAAAAAGAAATCTGACTTTAACACAAACCAGCGTGTTAAGCAGAGCAATCCGTACTGGGGCAGAGAACAGAGGGATGGGCTAGAGCGGAACAGTGAATCCACTGTCTGCTGCCCTACTGGCTTGTGCTGGTCAGGACAGTCTATGCCAGCTCCAGGCTGGTGGTAGCAGTCCTGAAGATCAGGCCCCTTGGGGGGATTCCCATGGCTTTAGATTGCATGGATCCCCACCCTGAAAGGCACATTGGGGCCTTCTGCTGGCTACTGCTTTCCTTCCATCTGGGTGGTACTGACATCACCACCACAGGGGAGGTCAGCGGAGAGGCAGCTATGCGCCGTCCAGCCCCAGCCCCATCAACATGGAGGGCGTGCATGCATGCGTGCTAGAATTGCACCGCAAGTCTGCCTTTAAAAACCAAACCCATGTGTATGATGGCCAGATGCATTGTTCAGAAGAGGGGAGCTTCAGCAGTTGTAACATACATGACAGCTATTAAAGGTGAAGGAATCCTATCAGCTTTTGCATCTGGCCGCCCTAGAGACAGGTAAACAGAAATCCATTCATTTTCACCATTGCTCATATTGTCTCTAATCAATCAATCAATCAGTCCAAAGGTGTTTGTTTATGTGCCTAGATTGTATAAAGGTTTTATTCTGTGTTAAACCAATTCATTTTTATTATCATGGTAGTCGTATAGTAATTATTATGGTACTATACATAGCCTTGTTCAGGTAGTATAACTTGCACAATAGAAAAAAAAATTGTTTTAAATCAGTTGTTCAAATTGATACATTTTTCTTGGTAATTACAGCATGGATCAAAATCACATTTATTTAACTCATCCACCCTGCGCTGATACGGTAGGGCAAACAGCGCAGTATTAAAGTGTTTTGCTGTGGGACTTATTTCTTCTTCTTTTTTAAAAAATAATAATATTTATTAAAAGTTTAAGAATTAAAGGGGGAAAAAAGAAAAAGAAAAAATAAACAGTACAAATCAACACATTACAGTACATATACATAAAAAAGAAAAGCATAAAAAACACAATACATGCTGTGGGACTTATTTCTTGAGGACTATCTCTTGAAAAGTTAGTTGTAAACGCGCCGCAATAATAAGGGTGTTTAAAAGTGATAAAAGTACATTTTTCTATCCTTTTAGTGGATGGTTAACAAGCAGTGGAGGTTGGTTTTGGTCCTTGCTAGTGAATTCAAAGTAACCAGGGTGCAGCAGTGAATTAAAAAGAGCCTACAACGTTCTTTTGCATTGCCCCTGCTGTCCTTGCATGTGGGTTTCCCCTCCGCTCTGACTTTGCTGGTGCTCCTCTGTCTGTTCCTTTCCGATCCCAGCTTAGGCCTCTCTCGAGCATTTAGCAGGCCTGCTGGATAGCATAGCAGTTTTGCAATATGAATACCCCACCCAGAATTGTCCCAGTGGGCAGGGCAGACTCGGTGACTTCAGCAGCACTTAGCAAATGAATGATGGGAACGGAGCGTCTCCATGCGCAGCCAAACACATGTGCATCTTGTCTAGCCCCACACATGCCCCGGAGCAGAGAAATGACTTTGAATGCTCAACAACCCAGTATTTTAGACTCCTTCCCCTCCTCCTGCAGTCACAAGACCTTGACAGCGGCCTGAGGAACGGGTAATGTTCTGAGACGCCACAAGGATCTCTGCGAAGAGAGTTGAGCCGCTGTGGCTTGCTCTAGGAAGCAAGCTCGGAAAGATAGAAGAAATAATACTTAGTTGCTCCTCACGCGTGGAAAAAGGAAATGAAATATGGAAGGATATGGATAAGGTTGCCAAGGTATATACAGTATACCAGACCCTGCTTTTGTATCATTAACAGCAGCTTGATCTGCAGACATTGGCAGGTTCTAATGTTTATCACCGTCCTGTAAAAAGAAGCAGCTGCTTATTTCTGCAGAACAAGCTTCTGCTAAAGGTGCAGGGAACAGGCCAAGCCAGTTTTTTTTTCCTGGCCAGTTGGCAACTTTAGTCTTCAAGGGACTTTCCAAATTATTTTTTTAAAAGATTTTATTCAAAAGGCATAAGGGCATATCTTCATTCCAAACATTCTTCGGTTTCCATGCAACTTTAACTATCTTAGCTTTCCCTAAAGGATCCTGGAAATTGTTGTTTGATGGTGTTCTGAGAATACTGTTGTCCGTAACCCTATTTCATAGAAGTACAATTCCTAGGATTGACTGGCAAGAGGAAATGAGTGTTGAGTTCACTTGTATGAGCCCCAGTTTACTGCCAAAAGCATCATAACACATTCTTTTTTTTTTAAAGGGGCTGGAACAGGGTAGCAGAAGAGCTTTTTTTTTCTAAGAAAAGATCAAAATGGCATGGGCAGGAGGGGATGTGTGGCTTATGCTGAATTTTGTAAATGGGACATTCAGATACTGTAAGCAATTTAAAAAATAAACTTTATCAGTGTTTTCCTCAAAGGGGTAAATCTGGATTAAATGGGGGGAATGCAGGCTGGCATTTTGATGTCAGTGATGTGTGGTTGCTGTGAAAAATTTGCTTGCCTGAGGAGTACCCATCTCACAATAAAAACCCACCTGGAAGCACCTTTGGTATCAGGGAATAATGCTGTACATAGCAATCACCATTAAGAATGGACGTGCTAACTAAAATAAGTATTAGATTTTTGGAGCAATAGTAATAAAAATAAATTGTTGTTCAGGGTACTGAGAAAGTCTTTTGTTAGTTAAAGAAAAGGATTGTCTACAAACCCCCCGAGATGAGAATGTTCCAACTAAATTTGCTTGTTGACTGGCGTGATTGTGACATCAAAGGTGGCTTGGCCAATGGTAGAGAGGCAGCTTCCCCTTCCTTTTTGTGCTCTCTTCTCTGATGGTGGCAGTGTTGGGGGGCTTTTGTTGCATTCAGGGGTTAAGATCCATTGGGAGGGTGGAACTTCTGATCATCCTGGATGAGGAAACCTCCTTACTTCTCCCCATCAGGGGACTGAAGGCAATTGATCAGGGACCTCTTTTGGCCAGGAAGGGTGGTATGAGGGAGAAGGACTCAAAGCTCCCTGAAGCAAACTTGGCATAGGCCACCCTGATCTCACAAATGCATGTTGGTTGGTTGATTTTAAAGTACGGGTGGAAGAAGAGAGGAAGTGCTGGTTAGCCCTTTCATTTTTGTCCCAAAAACCTCTTTATCTGATGCTGTCCAAGACTGGCTGCACCTCAGAGAGCTTATGCAAAAAGGAGACAATTGAGCCTTCTGTCTTCTACCAACTCCCTCTCTCTGCAAGGCATTCTGCACATGTATCTCTCAGTTGCAGCTCGCTTTTTTATATACCCTAGGAAGTTTAGGAGGAAGTGAAAGAAAGAGCTGAGTGGGGGCGATTTGGGTTCCACGTTGCTCCTTCCATGCCCTTGGAAGTCTAGTCCCCTATTAGCAAGTTTACTATATGCTGCCCTAAATCTTTTTGACCTTTCCCCGCAATTCATCTGCACCTTCCCGCAGTCCCAGACCCTCATTTTGTTCTCTTCCTTTGCCCTGCAGCCTTATGTCTCAGTGGCCCAGCAGATGGCACCCCCAAGTCCCAGTGGCAGCAGCAACAACAACAGCAGCAGCAGCAGCAGCGGGCCAGGCGGCGGAGGCGGCGGAGGGGACCAGCTGAGCAAAACAAATCTCTACATCCGGGGCCTGCACCCGGGTACCACAGACCAGGACCTTGTCAAGCTGTGCCAACCGTAAGTTACTGGGACGAAGAGACCTGGGAGGGCAGTGTCATGCTGTAAACGGAAGCTGAAAAGAACCGGGTCAATAATTTATTGCCCTCCCAACCGTCTCCATGGCAACCTCTCCCCAACCCGAGTGAAAACCCCAGTCTTAGAGAAGATGCTTTCATCAGCCCCTCTAAGGCCAGGGTTCTCAAATGGAGGCATTAGCATTTAAGCCGCCCAAAACGTATTCCCTGCAAGACAGACATCGGCAGTAAACGGCTTTCAGAGATTCCTCCTATGCTTACAAGGGGTGGGGGCTACTAAGTTAGATCCAGTGGGACCTCATGGGCCAACAGGAGGGATTTTAGGAGAAGCAACCACGACAAGAGATCCAGTAATATCACTGCAACTGACAGCACGCTGCATAGCTCAGCTGGTTAGAGCGTGGTGCTGATAACACCAAGATTGCAGGTTCAGTCCCCGTAAGGGACGGCTGCATCTTCCTGCATTACAGGGGATCGGACTAGATCATCCTCAGGGTTCCTTCCAGTTCTTCAATTCTATGATTCTGTGTGGATTAGGAGGAGAAAGGATCGAAAGGATCGAGACTTAGGGGTTGAGGGTTGGTTGTGGCCAAAGGAGGTTGCTATAGGGAAATCTGCTAAATCAGTAAGGAAGCCTTAGTTACAGTAGGTCAGGGCAGGCCAGATCCAGGTCATGCTTGCTTATTAGAGCAAACAGAGAATTAGAGCAATTCTGCTGCTGCCTACAGATCTCCCGTTGCCTTTCTGTCTGTGTGTGTTCTCTTCTGGTTTATTTTCCCTCTTGACTCTCTACACCTTTGCCTCGCCCCTCCCTTCAACTAAACTGGAGCCAAGTCATCCGTGGATCGGTTGGCTGGCACTTTGCCTCCTGGCCCATTGAAGGCGCTCCATGTGGAGAGGTCATGGGGCTAGAAGAAGCACAAACTGCTTTTGGCCGTGCCGTTTGCACCTTTCCAATGAGGCCCAGTCCTTAAATGCGAGGAAGGCAAACGGGCAGAATGGAATCTGTATCCTGACCTCCAGTCCAGGTTTTACATTCCCACCAAACCATCGTGAAGAGGAGCACCTCCATGCACAACAAGCTATTTTAACTATGATTATATATTTATTTAGGATGCGGGTGGCGCTGTGGTCTAAACCACAGGGCCTAGGGCTTGCTGATCAGAAGGTTGGTGGTTTGAATCCCCGCAACGGGGTGAGCTCCCATTGTTCGGTTCCAGCTCCTGCCCACCTAGCAGTTCGAAAGCACGTCAAGTGCAAGTAGATAAATAGGTACCGCTCTGGCGGGAAGGTAAATAGTGTTTCTGTGCCCTGCTCTGGTTCGCCAGAAGCAGCTTAGTCATGCTGGCCACATGACCCGGAAGCTGTCTGCAGACAAATGCCAGCTCCCTCGGCCTACAGAGCGAGATGAGCGCCGCAACCCCAGAGTCGTCCGCGACTGGGCCTAACGGTCAGGGGTCCCTTTACCTTTATAACAAAGCCACTCCCTTGCCCCCACCACCCCAAAATCAGATTTACTGTGGAAAGGGAAATGCCAGGATAACGCACTGAAAAGTGCACTATAGCAATTACTTGATGCAGTGTCACATAGCCTCCCAGCAAACTCTATGCAAGCAAATCAGGATGAATGCTCAATAAGCAGGTTGTCTGGAAGCAACCCATATTTGAGACCCTGCAACCCTTGTGGCATAACATGCCTCCTAGTGAGCACACCTCCTTGCCCCCGCGATTGAGGGAGCCGGGGCTGTGCGACGTCAGCAGGCTGTGTGCAGATGCCGCGGGGGAGGGGGTTGCACTCAAGACATCAGCACACCCCGCTGATGTGTTGTGCACATGCCCCGTGGTTTGCGGCGTGACACAAGCACACCTCTTGGAGTGTGCACATGGCTGCCAGGGAATTTTGAGGGGGGCCGGCCCCTTCCTTGAAATCTTTTTTGGGGCCCTGCCAGATGGGACGCCTGCCTGCCAGTGGTGACCTTCGGGCAATCTTGTTACCCATCACCAATGCTCCAAGGACATGTTGTTGTTTAGTCGTTTAGTCATGTCCGACTCTTCATGACCCCATGGACCAGAGCACGCCGGGCACTCCTGTCTTCCACTGCCTCCCGCAGTTTGGTCAAACTCATGCTGGTAGCTTCGAGGAAACTATCCAACCATCTCGTCCTCTGTCGTCCCCTTCTCCTTGAGCCCTCAATCTTTCCCAACATCAGGATCTTTTCCAGGGAGTCTTCTCTTCTCATGAGGTGGCCAAAGTATTGGAGCCTCAGCTTCAGGATCTGTCCTTCCAGTGAGCACTCAGGGCTGATTTCCTTCAGAATGGAGAGGTTTGATCTTCTTGCAGTCCATGGGACTCTCAAGAGTCTCCTCCAGCACCATAATTCAAAAGCATCAATTCTTCGGTGATCAGCCTTCTTTATGGTCCAGCTCTCACTTCCATACATCACTACTGGGAAAACCATAGCTTTAACTATACGGACCTTTGTTGGCAAGGTGATGTCTCTGCTTTATAAGATGCTGTCTAGGTTTGTCACTGCTTTCCTCCCAAGAAGCAGGCATCTTTTAATTTCGTGACTGCTGTCACCATCTGCAGTGATCATGGAGCCCAAGAAAGTAAAATCTCTCACTGCCTCCATTTCTTCCCCTTCTATTTGCCAGGAGGTGATGGGACCAGTGGCCATGATCTTTGTTTTTTTGACGTTGAGCTTCAGACCATATTTTGCGCTCTCCTCTTTCACCCTCATTAAAAGGTTCTTTAATTCCTCCTCACTTTTATAAATAAGCCCAATAACAGCTACAGCAATTCCAGTTGTTCCAGCTTTGCCGTCCTGTTTTGGGGGCTCAGCCGTAGTCTGTCTAATACCCTAACTCTAAATGGCAAGAAATGTCATTTCTTTGGCTTACCCCTGATCTCATGAGTGGCCATGTGAAGATAGCTGTACCCCAAGTAAAGATTATCGCAAGGGATTTTGGGAGGCGGTGGCAATTAGCGGGCCTACTAGTGTGTGCATTCACTGCAGTTATGATGTATTGACATAAGGACGCCTTTGTATTTATGTTCTCTGCCATAGCTTGCCCGATCCCACTTCTCCTTGCCTGGAGAAGACTGAAATAGGCTAGAGTGCTTAAAGCTAAGTGGCTAGGAGGGGCGGGCAGGGGGCTGTTCCTCTCTTACCTCAGCTCACCCCAGCCTGGAATGCTGGATCTGGCCCGAAAGCCACACTTGACAAACACGCCTCCTTCAAAACCAGGAATCTGCCCGGGCTGAGTGTGAGGGAAGGGATCTCTGCAAGCTGCTTGTGAGCAGGGGGCGGGGAGGAGATGGGGAAGGGAATGGGGCCTAGAGGCTGAATGCTGGTAGTGGCTTGGAGCTGAGGATTGTGGGTTGCATTCCTGGTTTTGCCACTGCCTTGCATCACTTGCGTGCAGTGCCCTGCCGCCTCTCGGTTCCCACATCTGCAGAGCAGCAGCCTCCGCCACCACCGCCCTCCCCAAGCCTGAGATCTCATCGCTGCAACCACAGCATTCATCCTGCTCTTGAAACCCTGCAGCTGGATTCCCCTGTGTGCTGGCTGGGAGGCGCCAGAACTTGGCTGTTCTTGGCGCCGGTCGGATTTCCTGGGCTTGTCCTTTCCTGGGCAGGAAATCCTGCTCAGGGCGAGCAGGAAGCATTGGTGGGGGGGGGGCGCGGTTTGGGGTTGGAGGGGGCAGCTGGGATGGACTCTGAAGGGTTCATTGTTGGGGGGAGGGGAAGGAGTATTGGACTCAGTCGCCTGTTTTGAGAAAGGCTGACGGGTTATTGGTGGCTGCGTTCACACTGGGTTTTTGCAATAGGTTGGAGATGTTTAAGCGCTGCAGTCCTGTATACATTAAGCTGGGAGTAGCACTTTCTAAATAAGCATTTTGTGTCTGTAAGGCAGCGACCCAGGGAGAATCTCCTGCTGAAGTCAGTGGAAGTTACTTCTCAATAACCATGCCTAAGACTGGACTGCACCCTCACTTCACATAACAGTAGTTGGAAGGAATGCTTCTCTTTGGGAGGAGGGGTCAAGAGGTTCAAAACTTTTCTGGCCAGAGAGGAGTCAACCCCAGCATTGTTAAAGACAATTTTCAATAGCTCCGGGGCTTTCTTATTCTTGCCTTGGGGCATGCTGGGAGGATGGGCAACCCATTTAAGGGCACTTTTAATGTTCTGATTATTTTAAAGCAGATCGCTATAAAGGCAATTTGCATGTTTGCACTGGATATACATAAGAGCTACAATCTGAACTCTGTGTGTTCTAAATGTCTGTGATTATATCATGTAACAGTGGGTTTTTTAATATCTGGTGAGGGATTTTAAAAAACCACAGCAGCACCCCCATGCTTCTACACCAAGGAAAGTCCAATTTTAAAACCTTGAGTTTTGTTAATTTGCATACATTTATTCTGCTTTGGCTGGCAACTGTCTTAGGTGTTCCACATCACTCCTTGTTCCTCCCTCGTAGCAGGCAGAAAAGCAGAATAAATTATGCAAGGTAATCATAATTAAGACGCTTGAATTTGGCATTTCCTGGTCTAGAAGTCTCCTTCTCCCTGTTGCCACCTATTCACTGGGCACGGCTTGTGCTGTGTTGTCACTGGTAGCCTGCCCCAAAGTCATACATCACCACATCCATCACTTGGTCCATCTTCGGGGAGTGGGGGGCAAGTGGGCAAGGTAGCTCGTCCGCCCCCCATGCCAGCAAAGGCAGAGGGATCAGGTTACGCTTCAGGTTACATACGCTTCAGGTTACAGACTCCGCTAACCCAGAAATAGTGCTTCAGGTTAAGAACTTTGCTTCAGGATGAGAACAGAAATCGTGCTCCGGCAGCGCACCGGCAGCAGGAGGCCCCATTAGCTGAAATGGTGCTTCAGGTTAAGAACAGTTTCAGGTTAAGAATGGACCTCCGGAACGAATTAAGGTACCACTGTACACTGCAGTGTTGAAAACCCAACATCGCCCAGCCCTGCTAGCCAGTAGCAAACCTGTCTGCCATGTAAAGTGACATTTGGCCCATAGTCAGGCCTCTGTCCAGGAGCTGTTGCTTGCCTGACACTTTTCCTGCCCTGAACCACACCTTCAGCAGTTGCACAATAGGAATTCTAGTGATGGGGGAAAGCATCGCCTACAGAATGTATTAATGTTCTTCGGATTTCTAGAAGAGGGCAAGGCCTTACCCGGTAGAGACATGATTTCTAGGCCGGCTTTTGAGGCCTGTTTAGAAATGTAGCGCTATCTCAGATTTCTCCCCAGGGGATCGCTCAGGCCTGCACAAACCACTAGACGCTTGGAGCTTATTGGACTGCTCAGCAGGGAAGGAAGGAAGGATGTGGCATATTTTTGGATGTTGGTTATGAACAGCAACGGCATTAATTCCACCATGTTCCTTTGTGCCCCACAGATATGGCAAAATTGTCTCCACCAAGGCCATCCTGGACAAAACGACCAACAAATGCAAAGGCAAGTGCAGATTGGTGGGGCGGTGCGCTGCCAACTGGGTGAGGGGAGCACAGTGCAGCAGCGTTGAGAAGGAAGGGGCGTATGGCGCTGGAATCGCAGCTCGGGGCAGATGGGGTTTTGCTTGCGGTTTTGGAGAGGGAGAGCTCAGAGGCCGGGGTGCTTCACTGCATCCTTTACCCGATTGCATTGAGCGGTTCTGGGACCGAGCCTTCTCCCCAAGAAGATACCTTTCCCTGCACAAGTTCTCTCAATCTCAAGGGGTGTGGGTTTGGCAGGGAGGGGGCTCATAAGGAAAGAGGGGCAAGGGAGAGGAAAGGATGAGAATTCGATTCTGGAGCCAAGTTTCTGGGGGAAGATTGGTTCTGTCTGGGAGGTGGGGCTGGGTTATCTGTGTGAGAGGGAGGTGCCACTGGGGGGGGGGTGGGGTAGGGAGTGGAATTCCTGACATGCCAGACATTGCTGAGGGATGGGATGGGATGGGATGGGATGGGGGGGGGGAGGGAGCAGCATCCACTCAGAACAGAGGCTTGGAGAGGGGAAGGGAAATTGCTCTTCTGACAGTGAGAGGCGGGCTCTCCCTCCCTTGCTTTCCTGCCAATGTTTGCTAACTAGCCAGGTAACACAAGCGCAGCATTGCCCGCTCAGAATTCATCTGTGGCATGCTGGAGGGTGTGGCGCTGCAAGGTAATGAAAAGTGTGCGCATGTGCGCATGGTGGGGGGAAGGTCAGGGAAAGGGGTCTACCCCCACCATAGACGTTGGGGGGTGCCTCTAGGCCATGCTAACTAGTAGAAAGCTGAGTGGTTCTCTGCAGAGGCTGTTTGTCCACCTTCAAAGCAAGATACGCAAGGCCTGCCCTCTTATTTCCATCTCCTTAATTTCTGCAGGTTCCTTAATTTCTTCCATCTCCTTAATTTCTGCAGGCTATGGCTTTGTGGATTTTGACAGCCCCACAGCGGCCCAGAAGGCAGTGACTGCACTCAAAGCCAGTGGGGTTCAGGCCCAGATGGCCAAGGTAAGACTTGTGCCCCAGCACCTATGGGGGAAGATGCCAGTCCTTCCATCTCCAGGATAGAGAGGGAAGACAGGAGGGCAGCCTCTGGGCTGCAGTTCAAATCCCAGGCCAGCTCCCTACATAATGCAGCAAACATGCACAATGCAAGCATGTCTTTTTAAACATCTGTGTACATGTGTTTGGGAACTGTGATTGGGGCAGGCTTCCCAGCTTCCATATATATATCGGGTTTTCAAATGAATCGTCCACACTGTGTAGCGTCGTAATACTTGCATGCATGCATGCAACAGACATAGCTGTCTTGTCTGCTGCCTGAGGGCTCAGCCACACTTCTGCTTCTCCCGGGCCTAGAAAGCATGGGTCCAAGTGGTTTTCCACTTGTCCCACATTTTCTAGGCACAGGTCCAGGCTGTTTTGCAACTTTCCCCTGGAAAACATGCTCTTTGCAGCTGAATCGGAACAAACCTGCATCATTCCTACATTGCAGCGGGGTTGGACTAGATGGCCTTTGGGTTACCTTCCAACTCTACAATTCTATGATTCTATGAAATAGCAACCTGATTGCCGTTTATAGTGGTAAAGAGTGGGTTTTCCCGGAGAAAGTAGCAGGCCAAACGGAGCTTCGGGCGAGCGCTAACTCTCTGTATGAAATCATGGGTCCCCTCTGATACGCATAAATCCTAAGCCTTAAGCTGCCCTGTAATATCCCAGTACAGTGGTACCTCAGGTTACAAATGCTTCAGGTTACAAACACTTCAGGTTACAGACTCCGCTAACCCGGAAGTAGTACCTCGGGTTAAGAACTTTACTTCAAGATGAGAACAGAAATTGCATGGCGGTTGCACGGCAGCAGTGGGAGGCCCCCTTAGCTAAAGTGGTACCTCAGGTTAAGTTAAGAACAGTTTTAGGTTAAGAATGGACCTCCAGAACGAATTAAGTCCACAACCAGAGGTACCACTGTAGTGTGTTTCTCGACAGGGCTCTCCAGGGCACAGACTGTGATCACGGACCATATTCTGTGCCTTGCCTCCTTCTTAGGCGTTGAGAGTCTTTGTGATATGACGGAGGTTGGGAAACTGCCAGTCTCGTGAACTGAGGCAGGCTGCGAATTTGGGAAGGGAAGGGGCGGCCTGAAAGGAACGAGTCCCCAGGGACGGGATGGATGATTGCTAGGCAACAGCCTGACTTTCTTGTTTCCATAGCAACAGGAGCAGGATCCCACCAACCTCTACCTGTCAAACCTGCCTCTGGGCATGGACGAGGCTGAATTGGAGTCGATGCTGAAGCCCTTTGGACAAGTCATCTCCACGCGCATCCTTCGCGACGCCAGCGGTACCAGCCGGGGGGTCGGCTTTGCCAGGTCAGGAGGGTGGGCTTTCTCTGTCTACAGGCAGATTTCCTTGTGCTCCAGCCCTGGCTGGGGTCTGGCTTCTTAACTCCTGTGATCTCGCCTCACACAATGGTGGCAGCTTACGCCAGTATGCTCCCTGAGGCAGGCGTGTCTGTGCACCTTCCCATGCAGACATGTGCTCACTTGTCTCTGTCGCTGCGCCGCTCTGCTTTCACAGAGACCCAGAAATCACTGGCCACACAGAGGCTGGCAAGCCCACACCTGGCCGAGTCTTGACCCAGACGCCTTTGTCCAAGCGTTTGTTTCCACAAGGGCTTTTGCACAGGGACTTGCTAGGACAAACCCTCCCTTATGTATGGAAGGTTTGCAGATATGCTGAACAAACACACGCTCCCTCACCTGGGGGAATGTTTGCATTTCCACTTATACGATGGATGCCCTATTCCTAGGGCCTAGTGTGGATGGTTATTATTATTATTATTAAATCAAATAATTTACCATCCTGTACCCACAGGTCTCAGGGCAGTTCACAACATGAAGACGCAATATAAAAACACAAAATACATAATAAAAATAAAAAGAGCAACCCAATAACGCCCCCCTCCCCAACACATTTTAAAAGGGCATCTGATCTTAATCAGCCAAAGGCCGACTGGTTAAAGGGGAACGTTTTTGCCTCGCACCTAAAGGTGTATAATGAAGGCGCCAGCAGAACCTCCCTGGGGAGAGCATCCCACAAACAGGGAGCCACTGCAGAGAAGGCCCTGTTCTCGTGTTGCCACCCTTTGGATGTCTCGAGGAGGAGGCACACGAAGAAGGGCCTCAGAAGATGATCTCAGGGTCTGGGTAGGTTCATATGGAAAGAGGTGGTCCTTGAGGTATTGCAGTCCTGAGCCGTTTAAGGGTGTATAGGTCAAAACCAGCACTTTGAATTGGGCTCAGAAACTAATTGGTAGCCAGGGCAGTCGGACCAGGATCGGTGTAATATGCTCAAACCGTCTTGCCCCGGAGAGCAAGCTGGCCGCTGAATTCTGCACTAGCTGAAGTTTCCAAACTGTCTTCAGAGGCAGCCCTACATATAACGCATTGCAGTAATCTAACCTTGGTCTGTCTGTTTCTTGCTCACTTGGACCACAAGGTTGTCCAAGGCTGCAGTTTTCCTTCTGAGCTGATCTAGGCATTATGTTCAACAAGGGGATCCACATCCCTGTGTCTGTTTTCCCACATACCTGCAGCGGCCATATTGTTAAGTGCTGGAGTGGGAAAACTAGAGGTTGCTGGATTCCAGCTTCCATTATCTCTCCAACCATTGGGCATGCCATGGGCTGAGGTTGATGGGAGTTGGGGCCTAGCAACATCTATGGGGCAACAGGTCCCCTTCCCTGGTTTATTGCAACACGCTGTGTGACTCACAATACAGTGGTACCTCGGCTTTAGAACTGCCCTGTTTACGAACTACAGTAGTACCTCAGGTTACATATGCTTCAGGTTACATATGCTTCAGGTTACAGATGCTTCAGGTTACAGACGTTTCAGGTTACAGACTCCGCTAACCCAGAAATAGTGCTTCAGGTTAAGAACTTTGCTTCAGGATGAGAACAGAAATTGTGCGGCCGCGGCGCAGCAGCAGCAGGAGGCCCCATTAGCTAAAGTGGTGCTTCAGGTTAAGAACAGTTTCAGGTTAAGAACGGACCTCCGGAAAAAATTAAGTACTTAACCCGAGGTACCACTGTATTCAGTTTACGAACTCTGCAAAACCGGAAGTAATGTCCCGGTTTGCGAACTTTACCTCGGTCTAAGAACGGAATCCGAACGGTGGAAGGGCACCGTTGGCAGGAGGGCTCATTAGGGAAAGCACGCCTCAGTTTAAGAATGGTTTTGGTTTAAGAACGGACTTCCGGAACGTAAACCAAGGTACCACTGTATTGAGTTTTTCAATCAATCCCCTTTCTGCAAATGCCAAACTCACTACAAGGTATTTGCCAGGCTGTAGAAGTACTTTTGGGCAGACAAACCCTGGTGGTCTTCATCTGCTCAGACACATCTGGGTGGACACAGCCATCTCAGTTCCCACATTCCCTGCTTCCTCTACCAGCTGGGACAGCTTCTCCTGTTCTGTCCTACAATGCCCCCTGCTGCCAGGTTTCCATTTTACACCAGATGGGGCCTGGCTCCTCCTCCTCCAACCAGCACCACCTTGCAGCTTTCTCTCACCGTCAACATACCCAAGGGGGGCACTTTGGATTGCACCATTCCCTAAATTAGAATTAGGAATTGTGCCTTAACAATGGCTACTTTATTTTCTAGCCGGCTGGTGGCACCAGACGTCATTGTTCCTGATGGGATAGGAGAGAAATTCGGATAGTTTTACACCTAATTCCAAGTTTGCATCCTCCTCCAGTTTGTCCTAGCCAAATATTCTCCTGCGCCCCCTTGTGGCAGGGAATCAGGAACTGCAAGTCCAGTAGCTCTTAAAAGCTAGAAGGGAATGTGTGCAGTCGTTACAGCGTAGCAGTGTATAGACACATGCCAACTTTGCAGCAGCTCCTTGCAGCCCTGGATTTGATGCATCTGATTGCCCGGAGATGAAAGCGATTCTAGACAGGTCCTCAGTCAACAAAATGGAATGAATCGCAGTAATTTGGGCTTTACAGGCCTGTTTCAATCTTAAGTCTTGAGCTCTTGGATTCAGTTTTAAAGAAATGTTCATTGGAAATGTACCACCTAAATAACTTTCCCAAGTGGAATCTGCAAGTAGGGTCCTTAAGAATCCTGTCTGTGGGTTAGATTCTGGTAAAGTCACATAGAAAGCTGATTCCTGTCTTAACTTTTATTTACATATGTGCTCACTGAATCACTTTTAACATGTGAATCCTGGAGCAGAAAGGAGTTAGAAACTGGTTATACGATAGAAGTGTTCTACTTAGGATTGCTCGCTCACCCCGGGCAGTTTTCCTGACAAGCAGAAATCCAGCAACTAGAGATTTCCCATCTCTACACATCTCTCTTGGGGGAAAGCATTACTGTTGAATTCCTCTCTCACACACAACCATTACAGGCACAGAAGCCCTAATGGGAGAAGGTGGGTGACAGCTTTTAACATCAGAATGTTCTTCCTGAAGTTTAGTCGGAATCTCTTTTCTAGTAACCTGAAGCCATTGGTTCCAGCCCTTCCCACTGGAACAGGAGAAGAAAACAAGCTTGCTCTACCTTCCATGTGACAGCCCTTGAGATATTTAAAAATGATTATCATATCTTTTCTCAGTCTCCTTTTTACCAGGCTTAACATACCCAAGTCCATCAACTATTCCTCCAGATCCTTGATCATCCTGGCCACCCTGCTTTGCAAACGTTCCAGCTTGCCAATATCTTTCTTAATTTGTGACACCCAGAACTGGACACAATACTCCAGGTGTGGTCTGACCAAGGCAGAATAGAGCAGTACTATTACTTCTCTAGATCTGGACACTAGACTAACAGCCTTAGCTCCCCCCACCCTTTTTATGCCACTGTTGCCTCACATCTGTAGGAATCTCAGCGTGACCAGGAGCAGGCAGGCTATAACTTTGCAATAAGTGTGGCTCTTCCACTTACACTGACGCCCTCCCCAGCCCAGCATCACCAATGGTTTCTTCTCTCTTCTTCCCCAGGATGGAGTCTACAGAAAAGTGTGAAGCTATCATCACGCACTTCAATGGCAAATATATCAAAACCCCTCCAGGGGTCCCAGGTGAGAAGCACAATTGGCTATGAGGGTTGGGTGGTGGTTGGGAGCCTGGCAGCTAAGACTGTCTCAGGAGGATGTGTGGACTGCTCTTGTGAGGAACAGCGAGGAAGGATTCTGAGCCATTTTCTGCATGCCGCGGAGTCAAGCGATAAAGCTTTTCCAATGCTGTATTGTTTTGAATAGCATGGAATGGAATGGAATGGAATGGAATGGAATGGAATGGAATGGAATAGAATAGAATTTATTATTTATACCCTGCCCATCTGGCTGGGTTTCCCCAGCCACTCTGGGCGGCTTCCAACAGAGTATTAAAATACAGTGGTCTGTTAAACATTAAAAGCTTCCCTAAACAGGGCTGCCTTCAGATGTCTTCTAAAAGTCTGGTAGTTGTTCTTCTCTTTGACATCTGGTGGGAGGGCGTTCCACAGGGCAGGTGCCACTACTGAGAAGGTCCTCTGCCTGGTTCCCTGTAACTTGGCTTCTCGTAGCAAGGGAACCGCCAGAAGGCCCTCGGCGCTAGACCTCAGTGTCTGGGCAGAACGATGGGGGTGAAGACACTCCTTCAGGTATACAGGACCGAGGCCATTTAGGGCTTTAAAGGTCAGCACCAACACTTTGAATTGTGCTCGGAAATGTACTGGGAGCCAATGTAGGCTTTTCAAGAGACCTACATTGCAGTGCAGTTGGGAAACTGCATGTCGTGATTCCCCCTCACAAAATGCTCCTTTCCCCTTGCAGCACCTCCAGATCCATTGCTTTGCAAATTTGCTGATGGCGGCCAGAAGAAGCGCCAGAATCAGGGCAAATACGTGCAGAACGGGCGAGCCTGGCCACGGGAGAATGACACGGTAAGGGAGGGGGCAGCAGGGAATGGGGGGAGGCTGCAACAGTTGGAGACCAGTCCGTTAGCCACATGCGGCAGTCAGCCCAGAGCTCAACAACCATCTCGTATGAACATTTTGCTGCATGTGTGAAACTGCAAAAACAGAGTGATTGTCACACTCCTGGCTGGCTATTTTGTGTGGCTGGTGGACGGCCTTTGGTTTAGTGGGCTGGCCATAGGTTTTGCAGGCTTGGGGATTAGACATTCTCTTTAGGACAGGGGTGAGGGACCTCCAGTCCACAGGCCGAACAAAGCCTGCCAGCGCTCCCCATATTTTGGAAGCCACGCCCACCTGCCCTGCACCTGAGATAATACACGACGTTAGCTGTGGGGCAGGTAAGAGTGGAACTTCAATTCAGAGCTTAAAGTGAGCTCATTTTGTTCCTTTGATGGAGCAAAGTGCGCTCCCACCTCCATCTGTCAATGATGAGAGTGTGCTTTGATCAAGGAAGGTAAAGCTGTTTCCATTCAGTGGAAACCGCTCCTCCTTCCCAGTACTGCTCTTTGAATGTCCAGAAACCAAACAGGCAGTGCTGGGTTGTATGAAAGCCCTTCACGAGCTCTTTAAGCCTTCAATTTTTGGAGGTTTAAGGAGTATCACTGCACTGCTTACAAAGGGCTTTCAAACAGCCCTGTGCTGTGCTTTGAAGTCCCGACAATTGGGGCTTCAAAGTGCAGGATTGGTGAACATTACTATGATGCCAGGTAATTGGCAGGGGGACACCCACCTGCCCCATTTGGCCTGCCATGGGTTGGGGAGATTAGGATTTGGCACACTGGACAGAAAAGTTTTCCCGCCCCTGCTTTTAGGGTCCTGGCTGGCTGCAGGAGGCTACTTGAGGTGGCATCATCAGGGGTTCCACTAAGCAGGGCGAGGCTTGAAACCTGCCCCTAGGAAGGCACAGAAGCAGTTGCTGATTGGTTGAGCTGGGATCTTAGTGGGTCAGGAGAATGGGAGGAGCCACGTATGAACTGTCTACTATTTCCATGCAGGGTGGGATGACCTTGACCTATGACCCCACAACGGCACTACAAAATGGGTATGTCTTCTGCTTTCCCTGTTTCTTCACATTGTAACCAAGAAATAGTTTGGTAGGCAATCGGGCCATAGCCTTCAAGGAGACCTGGCAGAGTAAGATCTGCATATGTGTGAGCTTATGGGAAGGGCTGTACATTCAGCCTCCTCTGAAGCTGTATGAAGCAATTCAACGATTTCTCCCCATACCCTCTGCAGGTTCTACACAACACCCTACAGCCTGGCCCCTAACAGGATGATTGCCCAGACTGCGCTCTCTCCTTATCTCCCGTCACCTGTTTCTTCCTACCAGGTAACTTCTCTCTTACTCTTACCCCCAGCTTTGTATGTAATCAGCACAGTCCTTGATTTAAACATCTACTGTCATAGATCTGTTTTGGGCCTACGAGTGTGAGCTGCAAATCTGGAAGCCTTTGCTTCAAATCTCACCTCAGCCACTTATCTCACAGCCCTTTCCCTATCAGTGATATGGGGATAATAAGACTGGTCGACTTTTAAGAGCTTTTTCAAGAATTACTAAGTGAAATGTGTTACTGATAATTATCTACTTCTATTACTCTCTGTAGGTTCACAGCCCGTCATGGATGCACCATCAGTCATACCTCATGCCGCCCACGGTGAGACCCCTTCCTCCCATAATATCCACCTGGAGTTCTTGTCTAAGGGCATTTTATTTGCAAGTAACACCCTTTCTGTTTGGAACATAAACTTACTTGGATGCAGAATGCAGAGCAGAAGAGCCAGTTTAAAATCAAACGTTCGTGAAGTTTGTATTTTGCAAATGCAGGAGATGCAAAAAGCATCGCATGAGAGAGCAACCTAAAGCTTGAGGCCCTTGTCCAGTTCTGGTCCAGGATATTAGATGACACCCTCTTTCCCCAAGGCTGGCTAGGTATCCTCTGCACCCAGAAAGCTGAGGGGACCACGATGAATGTAGAGAAAACTTCACCCTTGGCTTACAGCCAGCATACACCACCTAATTATTTTACATCACAGAGGCTTCTTCTGACTTCACTTTCTTTGTCGTCATCATCTTCATCATCATCAAATTTATACCCCGCCCATCTAGCTGGGTTTCCCCAGCCACTCTGGGCAGCTCCCAACAGAATATTAAAAACATGATAAAACAGCAAACATTCAAAACTTCCCTAAACAGGGCTGCCTTCAGATGTCTTTTAAAAGTCAGACAATTGTTTATTTCCTTGACATCTGATGGGAGGGCGTTCCACAGGGCGGGCGCCACTACCAAGAAGGCCCTCTGCCTGGTTCCCTGTAACCTCTCTTCTCGCAGTGAGGGAACTGCCAGAAGGCCCTTGGAGCTGGACCTCAGTGTCCGGGCTGAACGATGGGGTGGAGATGCTCCTTCATGTATACTGGACCGAGGCCGTTTAGGGCTTTCAAGGTCAGCACCAACACTTTGAATTGTGCTCAGAAACGTACTGGGAGCCAATGTAGGTCTTTCAAGACCGGTGTTATGTGGTCTCGGCAGCTGCTCCCAGTCACCAGTCTAGCTGTCGCATTCTGGGTTAGTTGTAGTTTCCGGGCCACCTTCAAAGGTAGACCCACATAGAGCCCCACCTTTAACTGCTGCCAGTGTCTCCTCTGCCATGAGTTATTCCAGGCTCTTTATGGACACTTCCCTCTCTCCATTACCTTATTCCCACAATAACCTCTCTCTCTCTCTTGTTATTGCTAAGCAGGGCACAGTGCTGACACCTGCCATGGACCATGCGATTTCCATCCAGCCCACTTCCATGATGGGGCCCCTAACTCAGCAGCTGGGCCACCTGTCCCTCAGCAGTGCTGGCACGGTAAGTGTCTTCTTCCTCCTCTACCCTTGCCCCTTCTCGGAGAGGCTTTTGCCCTCATCTCCTGTGCCTTTTTGACGTCTCCTCTCCCTCCGTCCCACCAGTACATGCCAGCAGCAGCAGCTATGCAAGGAGCCTACATCCCCCAGTACACACCTGTGCCTTCCTCTAGTGTCGCAGTTGAGGTAAGAGGCCCTTTTGTTATTTCTGCCTAAGTTGGGGGTGCATGCCAGGCACCAATATATCACACACACACACACAAACAAACAAACACACACACATCACAGCTGGGGGCTGTTTTATTATTACTGATCATTATTATAAACGTTATTTCTAGACCGTTCTTCATCTGACAATCGCAGGGCAGAATCCTACACCAAATACTACTGTATTTTTCGCTCTATAAGATGCACCAGACCACAAGACGCACCTAGTTTTTGGAGGAGGAAAACAAGAAAAAAAAAATCTGAATCTCAGAAGCCAGAACAGCAAGAGGGAAAGCAGCAATCTCTTTTGCTGTTCTGGCTTTTGGGATAGCTGCGCAGCCTGCATTCACTCCATAAGACACACACACATTTCCCCTTACTTTTTAGGAGGGAAAAAGTGAGTCTTATAGGGCAAAAAGTATGGTATATTGCAAAATACATAGTACAGTTGCACCTTGGATCTTGAACGCCTTGGCTCCCGAACAAAATTGGCTCCCGAATTATCAAAACCTGGAAGTGATTGTTCCAGTTTGTGAACGTTCTTTGGAACCCGAACGTCTGACGGGGCTTCCGCGGCTTCCAATTGGCTGCAGGAGCTTCCTGCAGCCAATCAGAAGCCACGCTTTGGTTTCTGAACGTTTTGGAAGTCTAGCGGACTTCTGGAACGGATTCCATTAGACTTCCAAGGTACGGCTGTACAAAGTATTTCACAGCAGGCACCATCACAGCCAATTCTGAATATTTTGGAAAAAGCTGAATGCGGCGCACTAGGTCACTTTTTTTCCAGAAACCAGGATGGGGGAGAAAAAAATGCTTTCAAAAGATGACTAAAGGCAATACTGGCCAGTCATCTCTCTAATGGGAAGGAGTTCTGTAATTGCTGTGATGGCTTTGTTCTGGGTGCCTATAACAGACATGGCCAGCAGGGCCTCCCCACTCATTTTAAAGCCCAGGTCAGATGTACTGGGAGAGGCTGTCTGCCATGTACAGTCATACCTCGGGTTAAAGATGCTTCGGGTTAAATCTTTTCAGGTTGTGTCCCGCAGCGACCCGGAAGTAATGGAACGGGTTACTTCCTGGTTTTGCCACTCGTGCATGCGCAGATGCTCAAAATGACATCACGCGCATGCGCAGAAGTGGCGAATTGCGACCCGCGCACACGCAGACAGGGGTTGTGTTCTGCTCAGGTTGCGAACGGGGCTCCGGAACGGATCCTGTTCGCAACTAGAGATACCACTCTATTTGGGTCCTAGGCCGTTTGCATCTTTAGACAACTGAAGACAAAACTTTAAATCAGTCCCAAGAACCAGGGCCACTCCTGAAAGATTCCACTTTGGGACATCATACAGCAGGCATGGTAAACCTTTGGCCCTGCCAGGACTCTTAATGTGCCCCACAAAGTTACTATCCCCCATCCAGGAACACACCTGTCACTCACCTGACATCAGATGAAGCTGAAGCTGCAAAGGAACAATTGAGAGCCTTAGAGTGAGTTCCTGATTCTGCCTTCACAAGTGTGGCTGGCATAAGCCACCATTATACGTGGGGCAAGCTTTGCTCCTGGGGTTGGATCAACGCAGGAACCCACTAGCATTCATTGCCAAATTTAAAGGCTGCTAAGCGCAAGATATGCTCGCAAAGGAACAGTTGGGAGCGCAGGCTCCTGGTTGCCCCTTTACCAGTGCTGCTTGCATTTAGCCCTAAACGGCCTCGGTCCAATATACCTGAAGGAGCGTCTCCATCCCCATCGTTCTATCCGGACACTGAGGTCCAGCGCCGAGGGCCTTCTGGCAGCTCCCTCACTGCGAGAAGCCAGGTTACAGGGAACCAGGCAGAGGGCCTTCTCAGTAGTGACACCCGCCCTGTGGAACACCCTCCCACCAGATGTCAAAGAGAACAACAACTACCAGACTTTTAGAAGACATCTGAAGGCAGCCCTGTTTAGGGAAGGCTTTAATGTTTAATAGGCTATTGTATTTTAATATTCTATTGGAAGCCACCCAGAGTGGCTGGGGAAACCCAGCCAGATGGGCAGGGTATAAATTATTATTATTATTATTATTATTATTATTATTAGCACCAAATACAAGACTTGCTTCTTTGACAAGGGGTTGGGCCCACCAGGTGTTGTGTGAGGTCATGTGATTGGCAGTCCTGCCGTCAAATGTGATTCATGAAGGGTAGACCACAGTTGCATCCAGCCCACCAACCAAAAAGGGATTCCCCGCCCCTGCTGTAAAGTAACCCAGCTGCAGCATTCGACGCTAGTTTCTGCTCCTGGGTTGCTTAGAACACAGTGCAGTAATCCAATCCTGAGATTATCAGAGAGTGGATTATAGTGGCCAGGCTATCTTGGCCTAAGAACAGCTGTAGGGATGAGGCACCTGTTTGTGTTTAAAAGAGGCAGGTGGGTGGGTGGGAGGGAGGAATCCAGTGTGTATACACACCCAGGGCTTTTTCCCCCTAGCCAGAACTTGCAGGAACTCAGTTCCGGCCCCTGTCAGGTGGATGCCATTGCCATTCTAAGAGAACAAGGGAGAAGTTCACTGCGAGCTCCGGAACCCCTTTTCTAGAAAAATAACACTGTATACACCATAAGTTTAAGGCACATTTAAGCACCCCCTTCTGAAACAATCTTAGGATCTGCACAAAGCTACCATTTCAGCACCCTTAACAAACTGCAGTTCCCAGGACTCTCTGTGTGTTTGTGTGTGTTTAACACACTTTAAATTATGGTGTGTACACAGCCCAGGCCTAGACACCAACCACCGTGTTCGAAGGCAATGCTTGCACGCATGAGAAATAAGCCAAGTTCCTGATCCCACTGCCAAAATGGTCTGGCCTGTTTGGACCTTTGTGAAACCATCTTCCTCCCCACTACTGCCCTCTGGCTTTAGGAGATATAAAGTACTGTGGTACCTCGGGATGCGAACGGGATCCCTTCCGGAGCCCCGTTCGCATCCTGAACAGAACGTAAGGCGCGACTGCGCATCTGCGCGTGCCATGTTTCGACGCTTCTGTGCGTGCGCGTGACATCATTTTGACCGTCTGCGCATGCACGAGCGGCGAAACCCGGAAGTAACGCGCTCCGTTACTTCTGGGTCGCCAGAGAGCGCAACCCGGAAATGCTTATCCTGAAGCGTATTTATCCCGAGGTATGACTGTATCGTTCTACTGAACCATTTTAAGTTGGGGTAGGACTTTGGTTTCCAACTAATGTTTAACAAGGATCATCTTTGTAGAGGGGGCAGCAAGATCACATTGCCTGCTGACTGCTCTTTTCCATACGAGTGGAGGCCTGGCCAAAGGGCCCTTTAACCCTCTCTTGCCAAGCAACAGAGGCGGTGTCAACATTTCTCTGCTTACACGCCTTAGCAGCAAACTCGTGTGTGTGTGTGTGCCACAAGGAGGAAAATTAGAGAGAGCCGCCGAAAAACACAATACGGGAAGTGAGGGGATGGGGCGGAGAGCAAGGCTACACTAGGAGATTGTCACAAGCTGTTTGGACACAGAGGAATGGTGCGAGGCAGCAGCTGAGGAGCCCCCAAGGGAAGAAGGCTCAGAGCCCGGGAATGGTGGTGGAACAACAATGCGTTGTCAGAAGGACAAGACTAGGAGAAGGAGGAGCTGGCAACTGAAGAGGCAACAGGGCTCAATGAGCAGGGAGAGTCTGTGGCCGAGAGAAGTCCAGAATCAGGCAGAAGCTGAAGCAGGAGGGGAGCCAAGAGGCAAAGATGAGACAGGCTAGTGAAGAGTCCTGGGGTCTCCAGCTTTTGCTGCAATGAGCTCCTCTCCCCGCTGGTCTCCCGGAACCAGGAGAGGCATGAAAAGGGCAGAAGAGAAGTTCACTTCCTGGAGGCACAGTCTCAGATTGCTTGGGGGAAACTCTGGAGAGGAGGGGACTTAGGCAGCTGGGGGGAGGTGGGGAGCTTCAGTCTCCCCAGCTGCTTCATGGGGGCAAGACCTACCAGAGATGAGTCGCTGCGCACATTAGGCCTGATACACCCATGCAGATCCAAGTCGGCCTTGCTTAACTTGGTGGACCTGATAGGTTCGGGAGGAAACGTGTTGTTGTTGTTTAGTCGTTTAGTCGTGTCCGACTCTTCGTGACCCCCTGGACCAGAGCACGCCAGGCACTCCTGTCTTCCACTGCCTCCCGCAGTTTGGTCAAACTCATGCTGGTAGCTTCGAGAACACTGTCCAACCATCTCCTCCTCTGTCCTCCCCTTCTCCATCTTTCCCAACATCAGGGTCTTTTCCAGGGAGTCTTCTCTTCTCATGAGGTGACCAGAGTACTGGAGCCTCAGCTCCAGGATCTGTCCTTCCAGTGAGCACTCAGGGCTGATTTCCTTCAGAATGGATAGGTTTGATCTTCTTGCAGTCCATGGGACTCTCAAGAGTCTCCTCCAGCACCATAATTCAAAAGCATCAATTCTTCGGCGATCAGCCTTCTTTATGGTCCAGCTCTCACTTCCATACATCACTACTGGGAAAACCATAGCTTTTACTATACGGACCTTTGTTGGCAAGGTGATGTCTCTACTTTTTAAGATGCTGTCTAAGATGCTGTGTTTTGTCACAGGAGAACAGTGGCCAGCAGAGCCATGTGACAGTGGAGTCCCCATCGGATCATGCTGCCTACTCGTACCAGTACAACAAGTAACAACAGGTAAGGTGGAAGTGGGGAGGCATTGTGTGGGGCGTGGAAGGACAGCTCCATCTCTCCCAGAGGGCAAAAGCAACATCCGCCTAAGGCTTGGTTATCAGCCAGTTCCGGGAGGGCTGGGGATGGTGCCAGAGGCTGGACCACTTTGACTTGACCCCGGGGCCACAAGCGCAGCAGGGGCCAACTCAGGGTAGCACCCGCCCTCGTAATTACCTCCACTTTCCATCCTTCCAGCACCATCGAGCAGCTCAGCTCTGAGCATTCACTTCGAGGGAGACAACTTTTATTTTTGTTTAATTTGTGCTGCGTTTAGAAGATGGAACCATTTTTTTTTCCTGCAAAGAAAAAAGGTTGTTTTTGTTTTTGTTTGTTTTTTTAAAAAAGGAAATAACCGCAATAGACTTTTGACACCGAGGAACCAAAGGAGGTTAGCGTGGGGGTGGAAAGGCTATGGCCCCCCGACCCTTAGATGTACAGATGGACTAAGGACTATTTTAATACAAGGAAAACATTTTTGTGTGTGCGTGTGCGTGTGTTTGCGCGTTAATTTTCTTGTTAACAGCAAAGTCAAACGCTTTGGATGCCACAAAATTCCCCAGAGAAGAACAATTGTTATTGTTTATTTTTTTCCTCGCTCTCTTTTTTGGAAAGATGGCTCTCCAACTCTGGGAGGAATTTTTTTGCTCCTTTGAATTTGTTTTATTTTCTTTGGTCATTTAAAAGATTTTTTAAAGGACAAATATGCAAAAGTGTTTGGATATTTTTTGTTGTTTTATAAGAAAAAAAAATGCTCTGAGAAAGCCCCACCTCGCAGCTGTTAGGAAAAAAAATCAATGCAGACTTCTTCTTTTCTTCTTCCTTGGGGTGGGAGTGGGGAGGGAGTGGGGATTTTGCTTTGAAAGGATTATTTTATTATTTCAAGAGGGTGATTTTTTTTTTCTAAAAAAGACAAATTTACAAAAAAACAAAAAAGGAAACCTACAAAAAAAATCTACAAAAAAGGAAAACTACAAAAAAAATATATGAACTTTTGACGGCAGCAAGAGGGGCTTGCATAAAAACTTGTCAAGTTGGAGGGAGATGAAGTGGCTGGTGGCTTTTGATGAACGGACTATTTTGCGGGGGGCAAAAGTTCTGCCCCAGCTGAGAGAGAGAGAGAGAGAAAAAGAGAAAGAAAGTTTGCTCCAGACCTCGATTTCTGCCCTCTACCCTGTCCGATGGGACCGGTTCTTGCTGGATTGCTTTGGACTCTGTTTTGAGCTTCTGCGCAGACCCTTCTTTGCTTCCACACGGACTTCCCCCTCGCCCGCCCTGCTCTGGATCAGGGGAACAATAAACTGATTGAGGAACCTGCTGCCCCGTGATGTGTCGTCGCTTCCGGACTCTTGGACACTGAATGGACGCATTGCCAGCAACAGTGCTTCGCGCTCCTGCCCTCTCCTGTCCCCCCTCCCGACCCCCCCTTGGGACACACACACACAGTGCCTTCTGCTGCCTGCGGTCCGGACTGTGCTGCCGTATGCCCCGCCTCCGACTCCTGCATGCCTGTCAAACCCAGGTGCACACAGCCTCTCTCTTTTCTTGGCAAACCAGTTGGGGGCGCTGAGGTCGATGCTTCCAGCTGGCGGGGGGGGATTGGGGGGGGCGGGGGCGGGGAGGTCTGTTCCGGTTGCTTTAAAAAAACCACACACAAAACAGGGAGCATCTTGCACCTTGCAGGGGATGGCTGAGTTCCCCACCCCCACCTCGAAACGGATATCCTAGTTACTATGCACGTTTCCCTTCCTCACCCCCCCCCCAAAAAAACAAGCCCTTGGTTGCTGGCTCCCCAGATTCGCAATAGCAGGAGACTATGTGCAATAATCCAGCCCTTCCTACAGCGCGTTTCCCTGGAGAGCCTTTCAAAGGTACCAAGTGCTTTAGACCACCTCTGCATGTTTTCTCTCCGTCCCCCCCCCCCCCCGCTTTCTCCCAACCAGATGGTGCTAAAAGACTTATCCTCTCTTCCACCATAAAATCAGCCCTGCTGGCATGAAGCTGACCCTTTCCACCTTGTTTTTAGATGTTGCTTCCCGCTTCCCACCCCCCCTCCAGATGTGATCATGAGAAACCTTTCCCCCCTCCTCCTTTCTTGATGCCCAACTCATACCTTTGACGAAATAGCTCTTATGCAGCTGACAATCAGGGAGGACTTAATTGCAGAGGCCATACGGGTGTCATGTGAGCCAGGGATTGAGAGCGTGGAAGTGTGTGTGTTTGTGTGTGTGTGTGTTTGTATGTTTGTATGTATGCACAGCACATGTAGGATGGCATTGGGAGAAGGTATCCCTGCAGAACTGGGCTTCTTTCCCTTTGTTTTTAATTTTGCATTTCTCAGGACATTGGTATTTTCTTTTCTTTTTAAAGGATTAGTACTTTGTCCTGACTGTTAAGTGGGATCAGGTTTTCCTCCCTAACAGGAGTGTTTGAGGTTTTTGGAAAGATAAGGGTTCAGTACACCGACCCGCCTTGCATAGCTCCTTAGTCATATGCTTCTTTGTTGTCTGTCCTCCTCAGCCACGCCCCCCCCAAATTTGCACCCTTAATTGGTGGCAACGCAGGACTGAGGCACCCCCATTTAATACCTCAGATATCGGCAAGGGAGAGGTCTCGGTATAAGCAACCCGAATCGCTTCTTGTAACATCAGTCGATTCCCAGAATGCTGTTTTTGTGCCCCTTCCCCGGCCTGGAGCTTAGACCGAATCAAATCAAGCTGACAATTTTCCCCAAGGTGCTGAGCTAAACTGAAGTGCCTTCATTTGGGCAGAGGGCCCCCGCACACCTTCGTCGCTGAAAGCTTTTCGGCAGGGGCTAAACTGACTTCTGCAGGGTGAGGCCTAACAGCCGGCTGAGTAGGAGAAGAGATTTAGGCTAAAATTAATCAGCAAAAGGTGTCTTGCGTTTCTGTTGAACTTTGCCTGTCACAATATTCCACTCAAATGGCCAAAAGGGCAGCGCACCATAGAGATTTGGGTGCAGAACAACTGCCCCCCTACGCACATCATCGTCCTGTTACCCAAGTGGCAGTTTCCAGGAAATGAGAGCTGGTTGTCTTATTTTTTCGCAACTCAGTCTTTACTTCATTTGGGGGCCAGCACATCACAGCATTCAAAAACGTAGTTTTGGGGTAGCACATGACACACCCAACTTGTGCCAGCCATAGCAGTTCCTTAGATGAAGCTGTAAAAAGATTCGGGCTCAATTAATTGGTTTTCTAGAGTGCTTCAAATCTGGGCAGCAACCCAAATAATACTTTTGGTCTGCACGAACATTTCCTTTCTTGCACCAGATTTCCTGATATCCCACTCCCACCGCCCAAAATTAAATACATCGCACAGCATCAGAAGCCACTTTCCAAGTTTTCAGCTGAGTCCTCTATGCAATCCCTCTGGATCACACCGATCCATTAGGAATTTTTGTTTGGATTGACATGGCTAGAAGCTTCACAGGAGCACTTCTGCCACTGCCGTTAATTTTAATACAGCTTACGCAGGATAATTTCCTTGTGGGTTCTGCTTGTCCAACATGATCAGGTGTGTTGGGGTTTCAGGCAAATGGTAGTACGTAACTGCTTAGAGAATCACAGGTTTTGAAAGAAGAGAAAAAAGGAGCATGGAGGTTTGTGAAAATTGAGCCTTCTCTTAGATTTACGTCTGATTTATTGCATACCAAGAACCAATTAAGTATGTGAGCATGAAATTATGTTCCCCTCCTATATTGGTTATTTTAATCACCGTTTTATATAAGGCTTCTGATAACAAAGTTTTAATGGATAAACTCAGATAAATTAGCAAAGCTTGAAATACACTAGATATAGACATTCGATGCTGGTGGCCAAAGATGTGATTTATTCAGCCCATGTAGGTAAGATGCATGTGGCCATGTAAAAGCCTTGATCGTCTTCAAAAGCATGTCCTTAGAACTAAGTTGTAACAATGGTTCAATGCAAACATAATGTTTAAACATGGTTCACATTAACCATGGCTTGCTGCTGCCTCTGATTAGTATTTCAGAATATACTGAAACCATGGTTAGCTTCTGTTAACCTGCCCCTGGAGGGCATGTATATAATAAGACACCAGCAAGATCTGCTTGCCATCTTGCAGGCCGAAGGATGGAGAAACTGTCTTAACCATGGTTTGCTCAGTGCAGAAGGAACATTTAACCATGGTTTAGGAAGTCAGATGTAAAGTAACACTTAAACCATGGTTAAGGAAAACAAACCCCACTCAAAACATGATGTCTATATGGGACTCCCACTATCCCTTTTTTCAGCTTAATTCCGTTTCGATTATGACCCTGCTCTGGTTCCACGTCTGCAGTGCTAGCAAAATATAAAACAAAGGAATAAACTCAGTTCAGCAAAAGTTAGTTGTAGCCAAAGGTTCAATCCTCTAGGTCCCATGAATTCAGTAAGTCAGGATTCATAAGATTCTGTTTAGGGAAATAAGGAATACAGCAAAGTCTGACAGCTCCATCAAGGGCGCTCCATGCATGGAAACAGCATTGTGAAGTGCGTAGGGATGTAGTTGCAGATATTAATCTAGATGTACATCTGGATGCAATATTTATCTGGGTCTTACTGAACTGGCTGGATGTGTTCATTGTGCATAGGAATGCATATGCACCTGAAACTGCCCAATTGCCATTTGTGACTAGTTATCTATAACAAGAGCTGGTTTGGAAGCAAGGAATTCCCGGTATCATGGATACAAATACTTAAGTGCTGCTTTCAGAGTGACTGTGCATCACCCTCCATGAAATAATTTCTGCTTTCAAACCGGGGGCTGCAGACTTTAGCCTTGCTGGTGGGGTTGCTGTGCACGCCACAGATTTCGTGGATTGCGAATCTTTTCGGGATTAAATTCCAGTTCAGAAAGGAGTGCATTTTGGAATGTTGTGGGAATGGTCTTTTCAATGTGTGTGCCTGTGTTTCATGGCTGGCATGCAGCTATATTATTAAATAAGTTTCATTTCCCAAAACTGAGGTTGACCTCCATCTCGGCAGTAGCTAACGTTGCAATGTTTTCCTAGGCTAGTTGCATTTTACTTCGGCGTTCCTTCATCTCTCTCACTGCCCTGAAAGACTTGGCTTTACTATAGGATCAGCATTTCACAGCATATCCGTCTTATGCTAGGAACTCCAATCTATTTGCAGAAAGTCTCTCTGCATTTGTTCAAGAGGAGCTGCCGTGGGCAGCCAGCAGCACAAAACTAAACAGATGCCATACAGCAACACACCTGGCAACCCCCTACAAATCTCTTCCATCCAGGTTTGAGTGCAGGATTCTGCGCGTACGAGCCATCCTAAACCGCTGCCCCAGTTTTCTGAATCGGGGCAAATTGCTTAGCTATTGCCCATGCTTCCTTCTCATCCTCAGCCTGTTTAAAAAATAGTTGTTCTGCAGACTTGTTTCATTTGCTTTCTCCTCTGGTGTGGTTAAGAGCTCCCTCTATTCTAGCCTCCCCACTCCCCCCGGTCAGTCGCTCTCTCATTTGGACTAGGAGGCAGCTCTTGGTGGAAGTGGGGTGAGAGGAGGGAACGCAAAGGAAGGGAAGAGTTTGAGTCCCATTTTGCATCAAGGCAGCCTTTGGGACTGGAGACGTTATTTGTGTTTGTCGAAACCCAGCAGAGGAGGACAGGAGCAGCCTCGACTTAAGCGTTCATGCCGATGTCCCTACCTCTTCTTTGCCACATTTTTCTTTTGTTTGCCAAAGATATAAACAAGGTGTCCCAGGGCTAACCTGGTGCCACTCTGCATTTTTTAAAAGAAAGAACAAAAACGGGGTTTCTACCTGAGCCGAGTCTTAAGCCAGATGCAGCTGTCTATTAAGGCCCGGTCCCATGCAGAAAGGAAGCAAGGACTGGTTTAAGAACAGCAAGTAACACAAGACGCGCGCTCGAAAGAGAGGCTGAGGGTAGCGAGGGGAAGGGAGAGATTGTGGCCAGGGCTGGGTGAGTAAGGAGAAAGGATAGGGTGTAAAGGGAAGAATTAGGGTATGCGTAAGGCTGGATGCTAATGCAGTGTGAGAGAAAGTAAGAGTGCAGTGGGGGAAAGGTGGACGTGCACAGACCTGAGAGATTGTGTGCTGCGGGCCCAGATAGAGACCCTACACTTCGCCACTGCAAAGCTTACCCATGGTCTTAAGCCCTGTTCTCACTCCCCACACCTTCCCTAAAGCACTTCCTAGCTTTTCTTTTCCTGAGGGGGACACCTATGACAGACAAACGAGTCATGGCATTTGGGGTCCTTTGATTCCATCGTCCCAGGTCTGGAAGGGGGGTTAGCAGTTAGGAGAAACATCTGAGAAAATCCTACCCCGGCTTCAGAGGCCAGCTGTCGAATGGCATCGCTCATCCCCCGCCCCCCCGACCACGCCAGCCCCAAACTGCTAGGAAGGCTCCTAGCTGCTTTTGTGCAGCACCTTTGCTTTAAGCCTGATCTGCAGCTTTCTCATGAGCAAAGTCGCGGTCTGAGCTTTCCGCTCACATCCTCATCGCTCCTTCCTACACTCTGGGAATCGACCGCTGCGCAAAAGCATGAATTGTGAGCGTGCATGCGTAGCATAGGGACCGAAGGCAAAAAAAGAAGCAAAAACCCTGGGACCTAGGAGCATGGACCTCTGAGCTGCTAGATTTTTTTCTTTTAATCTTGTGCCTTGATTTCCCCTATCCCATTCTGCCAGTGGGGGGAACCAGTCCCTGCACTTTAAACTTCCAGTCTAGTAAAGGCCTCTCCCGACCTGCTCCTTCCCCACTTTGTGAATGAATGACCTTTCAGCCTTGTCCCACTCTATGCCCAACAAGGCCTCTGTGCTCTTCTCTGGCCCAGCTTTCCCCTGCACAAACCAGCCCACCCCCCTTGTTGTCATCTCCTGCATCACGCTTGCCCCCCCCCAGCCTTCCCACCATGCTGGAAGAGGAAGAGGAAGCAGCTGGCTGCCTCAAGAGACCTAGTAGAGTAGACTGTAGATGAGCCTCAAAACCTTTGTCTTTCCTAAATGCTGGTATCTTTTTTTATTAAAACAAAAACAAGCTCCACCATCCAAAACTCTTTGCCTGCCGATTCCATGCTTGCATCAAAACCCCGTCCTCCTTGGAAGTTGTTGGTGCTATTTGGGGGAGGAAAATAAAATAAACCCGGTTCAGAACGTCCCTTCATTTTTATGCACACCAGTTCCAGTTTTTTTTTTGTCATTCTTAGCTACACATCTACCTCACATGTACTTGCAGTTCATTTGTACATCCTGAACCGGCAAACTGCACCTTCTCCAGGGGGGGCGAGTTCCCCCACCTCACCCTTAGAAAACCCTCTGGGCTCCTCTGCTTTTGTTTCGAGGGGGTGGGTGGAAGAGAAATGTTTGTCTTTTTAAAAAAAGATTAATAACCCCTGTGTTGCTGCTAATTACTGGAGAGTTTTGTTAAGATGTACCACATTTTGCTTTTTAAAAAAATTCCTTTGTAAAGTGTGTTGACGCTGCGTTAGTTCGTTTCTTTGAACTTGAGCAGAAATCTTTGATCCACAGGTAGAGCACAGTTTTGTGACCTCAGTGTGAGACCCCCAAGCATGGCAAGAATTAATAAGTGATGAATGCTGCAAGTGATGAAAGTTTCCACCTAGAAGTCCAGGAATGGCATAAGCCATTGTTGGTTTTCAAAACAGCCTTTTTTATTTTTAAAAGGGCTCGCTGAAGCAAAACAGTGGATTTATTTGGACCCCCTGGGAGCAGTTGAACGGTCAAAAGACACAGCACATGGGATCTTGCCTTTAAACCAGCCTGCCATGAACAGGCTTTCAGACTCCATACTCTGGGGCTCTAGCTAAATACTGAGTTTGCAGGAATCTGGTTTCCGTAAGAGAAAGGAAACCACTGGCCCCAGGTTATGCAGGTGGTGACTGCAAAACAACAAACTGAACTAGCAAGGATCCCGTTAGCAAAAAATACTTGAGGGAATGAACTTTTTGCCTTGGGCCATGGCTTGCAGAATCAAAATGAGCAGAGGTAAAGGAAATTTGGTGGGGGTAGAGTACTTGTGGTATTGCTGTGCTGTTAGAATTTCTAGTACTGGCTCACTGGATAGGGAGCTGGATGTATTTGTCTATGATACAGGATGGCTGCTCTAAGCTGCCCAAAAGTGATTGCACAGCCAAGTAAGACACTTGGGAGCTAATGGCTGTCAAACAGCAGCTGTTGCTCTTTGGGGAGCCTCTTCTATCCAGAAGGAAGTGATGCTCTTGACAAATACCAATACCTCAGCTCAAAACACACACGTACCCAGCACCATCAAAGCAGACAGTGGGGTGGAGGCGATACCAAACATGCTAGCAAATAAAGCAGATAGTATTCCAAGCCAATTCTATTCCAGCAGGGCCCAAGGTTGCGCTGTGGCCTCCTGCTTCCGTTTTTGCCATGTGTTTCCTCTGTCAGAGGCAGTACCCCTAGAGCTGTTGGCGATGGTGAGTTGGGCAAAAGGAGAAAAGTCAACGTTTCGTCTTCCAGAAATCTCACTTTTTGTCTGTCCAGGAGCTAAAACAGTTTACGCTACTAACATTCTGAGTGGCAAAAAAAAGTGAGGGTCAGTAACAAGTGTTTCCTCGAAATAATTTACTCGCTAGGATCGCACCAGAATAACGTTTTGTTTTTTAAAGAAAGGGTTTTCTTGATTGCAGAGCACTTGGTGTTCTTCAGCTTTGCCTTCCCGTCTCTAGGAGGAAGCTCTGGTGGGGATTCCAGCTCTGCTTTGAGCTAACGCAAGGCCCAATCCACCCCATACCTTGGGACAAAGTTCATAGCTTGTCGGCACTTTCCTCTGGAGCAATACGCCCTTGGTGGTTCAGATGGTTGCACTGATGCCTTGCCCTGTAGCAAATGGCCTTTAAAGCAGATAGCAATAGGCACCCACTCTAAAGAAATACCCATCTCATGCTGGTTCATGTCTACAGCAGGCTACAGGCTAGTGTGTTTTTTAACACCCAAGTTCGTCATCATAACATTGGAACATAACAGCTAAATTGTTGCTTTAAAAACACCACCACCACATGCTTGCCATGGATGCAAATGAGTCTCCTGTAAACATGCATTTGGCACTCTGAGCGATGCCTCTGCCCTGTTTCTGACTCAAGTCATTCAAAGCTCCCGGGAACTCTCCAAAGGCAACTCTTCTGTGCTTCCATTTGCCACAGACACAGCGAGAGTTCTTGGCCCGCCCGCAACCACAGTCTCAGTTCATTTTACCGGCTAGTTTTATTTATATACTTAGGACTATTTGTACAAGTTTTTTTTAATTGAGAAGTTTCTATAGTTTTGTATCTTCCATGCTACAGCCAGGCCTGTTTCTCTCTCTCAACCCCTGTACACCTTTCCCTCTGTGGAGCTCTGACTGGTCTCATTTTGAACAAATTTTTGTTTTTAAATAAAAGGTGAAAAAAAAACTGTGGCTTGACTGCTTCTTGGAAAGATAGTTACTTTTAGCTCGTCATCATCATTAAGCAGTTTCAAGGAGATGCTGGTCATTCTCTCCCTATTAAAGCGATTTAAGACAAAATATGTCATGATGATTTTCAAACTATGCTCCAGGAAACTCTTGAGGTTCTGTGGAAATTTCTTGGGGACAAGGTTAAGGATGATGGACCAGTGTTGCTGGCAGACAACTTCACCAGCTCTACTGATCCTTTCACTAGTAGTGGGATTGCTACCAATGAAGAGTACTCAATAAATTCAATCAGTCTTGTCCCTGGGACAATATTTGCAATCATCAGATGTATTCTAGATATACTCTGAAATGTGTGGGGCATATTGGAGGGCCAGGTCTCCTGTGAACTTGCAATCTGCTCTAGAACACCTTGGCAATGTAGATAGCAAGATTCCCTGAAGTGGTGGAGCATTGGAAAGTCAAGAGTTTCAACACAATTGAACTATCCTATTATGCACAAGAGGTTCATGTTAAAGAACAGTAAAAAGGCTGCCCCGCCCCTTGCTGCGAAGGCTGTTTCCCCCCCCCCCAACTTGGAACTGAGGACTAATCCACATTCTAAGAAATGGTTGTGTGTGAAGTTTTGGTTTACCTAGAAACTGATGTCTGCATCCAGCACAATATTCTGTAGCCCAGCCAACTGTTAAAGGTCTTCATCTCAGCTTCTTAAGATTGAAAAAAAAAGGGGGGGTGGAGCTACTTGAGGAAAGTGGGAGGTGTATACCAGGTCTTGCATTTGCAAGATCTCCCTTGCACAACTTCCACTTAGCTCTAATGAATAACTGATCTTTCTGCAAGCTACAAACAAAATTGCAATTGACTTTCCATACTGTGGTGGTTACTGAACTTTTTCTGTATGTTCATTTTACCATTTTCTATACACACTAATGGGAGTAGCAACTGCCTTACCATGGAGGTAAAGAGAGGCTCAGGCTATGGGACTTTGGGTGTCATTCAAACCCACAGAATTTAAGATTTCTGAAAACTACAATATCTCTGCAAGATGTCGCTGGGATAGTTCACTGCATCCAAGCCTCATCAAAATGCCACTGCCCTAAAGCACCAAATTTCAAAAGCCTCCATGAAATGTTGCCTGCTATCATGATGGAAATGTTTTTCTCCACCACGGCTGGAGAGGCCTGGCTGATCTTTTGGGTTTTTCCACCTCAGATGACAAATTAAAAGCAGATAAGGCTGGGCTGGATTCCAGTTGTAGAGACTGGGCCTTCCTCCATGTAGGATCCACACAGCTCCAATTTAAGCTATACATACAGGGTCCCTTTACCTTTTACACCCAAGGTGGAGATGGCGTCCTCTTTAGAAATCACAGATCACAGAATTCTAGAGTTGGAAGGGACCCTGATAATCATCCAGTCCAAGCCCCTGCAACGCATGCAGGAATATGCAGCTGTCCTATATGGGGATCGAACCTGCAACCTTGGCATTGTCAGCATCATGCTCTAACCAACTGAGCAACCCAGGTGCCCAAAACACAGCTGGCCTGTATAAACAACACCCAACTTGTAGACCAGGGATACCAATGCCATGAAACATTCAGTGACCTCACCTGTACAGATCATGCAATTTGGAAGGAACTGGTCCACCAGGAACCCCCACTCACCATCCTCCCTAAATTCTGCTGTATCACAATGAAATAATAGACTATAGATGCCCCTGCCCAGTCTCTACTTCAACATTACGGGTGTGTTTTGTTGGTTTATTTTAAAAAAAGACGCATCTTCAAGCTTTCTGGCACCCATTGCAGAGGTCCACATCTTAAGAGGGTACTGAGGCAGGTTGCCACAGAGGAGGGGGAACAAGTCCGTGTCTAGAGTGGTTAATGTTCAGCTTGTAGCAGAGCAACGCCCCTCCCCTCCCGCCCCGAGAAAAAGACAACATTCTCAAGCACATTCTTCTCTATCAAACGTGGGTTGTTTTTTTGTTTATTCTTTGAAACTTGACAAGCACTCTAACATCTGTACTTGTGGAAACATCACAAGGAAACAAACAGGAATTCTAGATTTTTTTTTCTCTTCCTTTTAAACCTTATTAAAAATGAGGTTGGTCCTAAAAATATAGAAAGAAATCAATTTAAATTCACAAAAAACTGTACATTATCAAAAATTCACTAAAACAAACACATTTGGTTATTCATATAAAAAGTGTGATGCCCCTCTTCCTGCTGTTCAGAGCATCTCACAGGATGTTGGGTTGGTTGGTTCCTTTCTGATATCAAATCAAGATGAAGGGGGAAGAAAAAGCCAGTAGTTGGATGATAAGGCCAATTATTCTAGTTGCAATTCTCAAAATCCAGTTTGGGGGGGGAAATGCATGTAACTTTCAAAAAACAACAAGGTATTTTATACACTGACTCCCCTAATGAAGATCAAGATTAGGACAAACCTGGACTCATTCTTTTAAGGTGTGAGGGTTTGAATCTAAAAATTTTAACATTTCCATAACAAAACAAAACAAAAGCCCAACAATTAACACTTCCAAACTCTCTAGAGCTTTCTCATAGCTGAGAAAAAAATCCCAACAGATCAGGGGAAAAAACATTACTTTTTAAAAAAAAACCCACAAAAAGAAGCTGTTACAGCACAAGTTTAGATAAAATATAAATATTTATGCATAATATAAAGTCAGTTTCAAATAGACTTCAAATCTACCTCTTTATTTTAAAAGCAAAAACAAAACAAAACAAAAATCCCAAAATTTAAAATAAAATAAAGTTTGAGGTTATTTGATAGAAAAAGGCTACGTTTTGTTGAAAACAACTGGGGGTGGGGAGTGAGGTTGGGGTAGAGGAAGCACAGTAAGGGAGGTTTCAGTCTCCAGGCTACATCACCTGTGGCTGCATTTTACTTACATCAGTGCTCTTGCAACTGGATTGGTCGACGCGGGGAGGGGAAAACACAAACACACACACACCCCTCATTCAATTGTAGCACAGGTGGAAATGCGGGAGGAAAGCCATCTCCTGATGGGACCCTGCCAGCCGTTTATCTGCCCCTAAGTGATACCCGTAATTTACAATGGTTTGAGGAGCTAGGCTGGGTATGAAAAGCAGCTAGGGAGTTAAGGTTACAGGAGATGGCCTTCCTACCACTCCGATCCACCTGGGTGGTGGAAGAAAAGTGAAAGAAACAAGCTGTTTCCTCTTTTATCTCTCCTATATGCCTCCTTTGCATCTGCACCACGGCCAAGAATACTGGACCAGCATCCTGAAACAGACTGGCAAAAAACCAATGGCAGCAACGCCCCTGTTCCAGGACAGAGGCAGCTGGGGTGGACTAGGATATAAGCCTATGACTCCTGAATACAATACGGGTCGGGTGAATCGGTTTCCCAGACAGCAGTCTCCTTAGAAACCATTGCTCAGCAACAGTGTGAGGCTGGTGCTTTTGGGACCAGGTTATTACTTCAAATACAGATTGCTAGTAGGCATCCGTGCACTATGAGGGGGGTGACTGATGGAGAGTTGCTGAACTGCAAGAAACAAGATGACCAATTATGCTTGTTAACAACTGCCTTGTGGACTGTTTGGGGTATTTTTCTTTTTAAAAAGGCTAGAGACCTAAACATGTATTTTAAAAGACTTTGTTAAAACCGCATTCCCGCTTGCACCAAGTGCGAGCGGGAAGGATCACCTGGCTTCAGCCACAAATATTTGAATCTGCCAAGCGCTTAGCACCAGAAACCCAAATACAGAAAGTATCACAACTGCTTATTCGCATCAGGCTCCTTCTCATGCTTTAGTATGGCAACAATCCACCAGAATGTCTCTTGCATAGGTTGGATAGCAAAGAATCGGACACCTGCACATTCATCTCCATGGAAGCTTGTGCAAGAGCTGTTCTCAGTGGACTGCGCGGGTTGTTAAATCATTCCCCAAAGCTGGAGCAATCCATTGCTTCAATGGAACAGGGCCTGGGGGTGGGACCCTCTACAGACTGCCCTATACCTGCTCAGGCAGCTTCAAAACGAATTCTGGTTTTGGTGGTTCTGGCACTGGAGTTAATGGTAGTTCATTGAAACAGGCTACTCTTGCCCACGTGGCAAAAATAACGATGAATGGAACCACAATTATTTCTCCTCAGAAAACCATCAGAATCCAGTTGGGAAAGGGTTTAGAAAAAAGGCTAAAATGTTAAGAATGTTCACATGGGGTATGTATGAGTGGCGATCTAAGGTAAAATACTATATAGAAACTGTAGACAAAAGCTGAAAGGAAATACCTATGAATTCCAGATCTTTAGACTGAGGGCAGCTGTGGACATTCTGCAAAGGCCATAGTTGGTGGAAGCAGGAACTTTGTCCTTTCACTTGCATGTAATGTCCAAAGCTGCCCTTCTGAATTGAATCTCAGTCAAGGTAACCAAAGGAGGCAGCACGATTTAGACCCCACAGGTTAAAAATATGGTCAGGAGACAGGAACCTAACATGGAGGAAGATGAAATGGTGGCAGTTTTCCCTCCCTTCTAATGGGCTTAATCCCACATCTTGTCTCAAGGAGGAAATACCTATGATAGATTGGGAATGGTGTTTCAAGGCAGGAAACAACAATCCTACCAAACGTACAGATAGATTGCAGATCAAACTTTGTAGACAGTAGCCATCCCTGAGGAATAACGCTGGGGCAGTTGGGGGACAGGGGACAGGGTGGGGACAACACTCAATAAGGCCAGAATCCCATGACATGATCTTCTGAAGAGCTGGAAGGGGGCATCAGAAAATCCTTCCTCCCAAAACGCAGGTTACATCAACCCCACTCCTGCAAGCTCCTTTACTTTGGTCCCTTGAAGCCTAGTGATACAATCCAGCAATGTTACCCACAACTAAGAGGGGGAAATGAGCTGTATTCTTGCAGCTGAGACTTGGGCACTGCAATGGACTCATGAGCTGCCCCTGCTTTAGTGTTCCCTGTGGAATCAGGGGTGGGGAAGAGGCTAGCAGGAAGGTTCATCCAGCTAAACTGTGGTTTGCATGAGGGGGGATTATCTGGTTGATACTGTCTTCTTGGTACACACTCGTTCTGGATTATTCCCATTTTGTTCAACTCCCTTAGAAACTAAATCTGGAATAAACCAATATTGAGCGGGGGTGTGTGTGATGTAGATTAACCAAATATAGGAATGCAAGATCCCACTTTCATACGAAGAGCTCAAGCTATGACCACCCCTCTGGAAGCAGCCCATCTTAGTTGAACCAAGAGAATGTGGCTCACAGGGGTGATACCCTTGAGAAGGGAGTACATCTTGCATTCACATGGGCAGAAGTACCTCGACATCCCAACTCCTCCAGATGAACACCAGCTCTAAGCCATATACCCTTGGTTTCAGAAAGATCATTGGAAACTGGGGGAAGGAACCGTCCACAGCTACAGTGGTTGTTCAGCAGTGGTGGGGAGAAGAGGCTGGTTGAGACAGAGTTGGAAAGGGCAAAGGGGTGGGGAGTAGAAGCAGCATGTTTCAGTGTCATCAAGGTTGTCATTCCCAGAGGCAGGAGTGATCTGCTTTATACATTTTCAACGCGACTCTAAAAAGGAGAAAAACTTAACGTTCACGTTACTGGCCATTAATGCATGGTACTGACACTGCACAGAAAAAAGTGTTCTTACACATTCACTAAGAACTATTGCTATTATTAAATAGCCCCAGCTAAGCTGGGGTTGTGGGTGGTTGTTTCTCCATTTGAAAAAAAGGAAACTTTTTTTTTTTTTGGCTTACACAGTTCAGAGAGTTTGTGTTGTTTAGAGCGAAGAAGTGAGGGGGGGGGGCTTCTGAGGATCCAGGCGGTGAGTGAAGCCGCCCCATCGTTAAATGCCAATCCAAGTCCAATCATTGTGAGAGGGGGAAACATTAATCAGCAGGTAGCAAGATGAGCTCCAGAAGAGACAGTGTGCAGCACAGGGTTTTGAAATGGGAGGGCTTCGCCTTTGGCTCCTCTCATCTCTCCCCATTCTGCCAGCTTCATGGGTTTGTCTCCTGTTTTCCCTGATAAAACTCCTCCCACCGGCTCTCAAAAAACTGGCGCATGGTCAGCCCTGCCTTGCCCACCTCGGACTCATCCTCATTAAAGGTCCGGCAGTTGTCGAACACCAGGGCAGCATCAGCAGCAAACTCCTCACAACTTGTGTACCTGCGGAGGACAAAGAGAGCAGCAGTCAGCTTCCTGGAAGCAGCTAAGACGTCCAGCACTCAGACAGAAACTGCAGGCGCCACAATCCTATCCCTTGGTGGTGAGGGCAGTCTCAATGCACACTGCTTTAGCCAGCTCTGAGTTACTGTGAATCACCCTCCTCTCAAGCTCTCCCCTCCCCTTCCTTCATTTCTTCCCAATGGCTAGAATGCAGGGGCAGATTATTATCATGTTATTACATTTATACCATGCCTTTCCTCCAAGTAGTGCACCTTTTCCCTGTTCTACCTCCACAACAACCCTGTGAGGTAGGGTCTAGTCTTAAGTCACCTAGTGAGCTTAATAACTTAGTGGGGATCGTGCTTTTTGAATCAGCACTCAATACAGTGGTACCTCGCAAGACGAATGCCTCGCAAGACGGAAAACTTGCAAAACGAAAGGGTTTTTGGTTTTTTGAGTTGCTTCACAAGACGATTTTCCCTATGGGCTTGCTTTGCAAGACGGAAACGTCTTGCAAGTTTGTTTCCTTTTTCTTAAAACCATTAATACAGTTGCGACTTGACTTTGAGGAGCAACTCATAGCACGGTGTGGTAGCCTTTTTTGAGGTTTTTGAAGACTTCGGTGATTTTTGAAGCTTTTCCAAAACTTTTCCGACACCGTGCTTCGCAAGACGGAAAAAACCGCAAGACGGAAAAACTCGCGGAACGAATTAATTTCGTCTTGCGAGGCACCACTGTAGTTCAGTTGATTAGAGCGTAGTGTTGATAATGCCAAGGTTGCAGGTTCAATCCTTGTATGGGACAGCTGCATATTCCTGCATGCACTGCAGGGGGTTGGACTAGATCCCCAAGGGTCCTTTCCAACTGTACAATTCTATGATTCGACACCTGCTCTCCCAGGCTCCAGTCCAATGCTAATTGCACCAGCTTCTTTTTCAACAGCATTAAGCTATGGTGTAATTTGGATTTGGGACCTGTCAGCTGTAGGAATGACTCCCTACAGGACTGCAATTCCACCAGTCTTTCCCTTGCTTGGGCTACCACCATTTGCAGGTGTCATTAGGAAAGGGAGGAGGCTGCTGAGCTTGAGCAGCTAGCGGCAGGCTAATTTACAGGAAGGTTTCTCAAGTCCGAGACCTTAATTTACACTGTAAGAAATAGAAAGGAAAGATCTTGTGGCATCTTAAGAACTAACACAAATTTATTTGTGGTGTAAGCTTTCATGAGCAAGAGTCCAGCTCATCAGATGTAGGTGCTTTCCAAGTTGGCAAGTATATACACATGGGTGTGGAAGAGGGGGAAATAAAGCCGTGAAATCAGAGGGAAATAAATTTCTAAAAGTACAGACTGTGACAATTCTGATTAAACTTAAATATAGTCCAATCTTGCATATACAGTGGTACCTCGGGTTAAGAACTTAATTCGTTCTGGAGGTCTGTTCTTAACCTGAAACTGTTCTTAACCTGAGGTACCACTTTAGCTAATGGGGCCTCCCGCTGCCGCCATGCCGCTGCCGTGCAATTTCTGTTCTCATCCTGAAGCAAAGTTCTTAAATCAAGGTACTATTTCAGGGTTAGCGGAGTCTGTAACCTGAAGCGTCTGTAACCCAAGGTACCACTGTCTATTCCTGCCAACATGGGGTAATGCTCCATACATCCAGACTCTGGTCCACAAAATTTCATGCATTAATAAAGGGGTTAGTTTTCAAGATCCTACAGCACTCTTGGATGGTTTTTCTGAAGCAGACTGATACAGCTACCACCCCTCAAGATTTATTTTTTTGAAAAAATCTCTTCCAATATCATGCCCAGGTGGTGGATAAGACACTGCGCCTTTTTTCTAAAAAGTTTTAACTCAAATTTTGCATGATCGCAAAGGACACCAGCTTTGCGATCACTACCTCTGCCATTCCTACGTCACAACGCTTGGCCTCCCCAAGGCAGGCCTTGTCACACACTCCTTTCCCTGCGCAGCATCACCTTTCCCTCAGTAAGCCCTCTGGAGACCTCAAGTTTAGTAACTCTGCAAAAGAAGCCCAGCCCAAGGGCTGTGGTACACTGCATGGGACCACCATGAGGCGCACGCTAGCTCTACCTGCACAAAACTACCCCATTTGTAGCACACAAAACCCTCCAACCAGGACCAACCCCCACAATTAGAAAGGGGTTGTGTGAGCGCCATTTGGATTTGCAAACGCCTTGAGCTGGCCCTGCCACCAGCAAGCTCCCTCCCTGGACTCACCCGCCGCGCAGCAGCCGTGCCCTCATGGTGGCAAAGTCCATAGGGTTTTTGATGATTTTCCGATAGCCAGGCACTAGCCGGGGGTTAACTGGTTCCAAGAAAGGCCAGGCAGCTTCATGTGATTCCATCTCCATCAGGATGATCCTGGCAAAAAGCGGCCAACATAGAGTCAGGGCTAAAGAAACTGGAGAGCTTATTGGTCAAGCTGAGAAGGCCTCCCAATGAGCAGGAGCAGCCCTAGAGTGGATTTACTGACACTCTAACCAAATTATTTATTTGGATCATTCAAATAAATTCAGTAGGATCGCCTAAAAACCGAAGAGGTTCTTACTAATTCAACTAAATAGGCAAGGGTTGCTCTGGTGGGCAAAGGTTTCCCGTCAGCTGCCTCTCTGCTTCTGAATCTCTGGGCCACAGCACATCTGAGAGGAAACAGCTGCTGCAGAAGCCCAATGTAAATCCCTCACAGAGTGGGGCTGCTTCACCCCATGTCCGCTGTGGATGTCTCTATGCGTGGCAGATGCAAAAAGCCCAGGGAAAGCAAATGGGATTTACAAGCCTTCCACAGCCCTCAGATGCTCCAGGCGCCACTCTGCTTCTGAATCTCTAGGCCACAGCAAGTCTTAGAGCAAACGGTCCTTTCTCCTCTCCATTCAAACCTAACTGAAAGCTTATCCCTATGGCATATTCTGCTCCACACCCTTCTCCCCTGGACACCAGGGGAGGTGACACCTACTCGCAGAAGGTGAGGTCGGCACTCTGGCCTCGTGTAGACACTCTTCTTCGCTTGGAAGGAGATAGGCCTTCACCCGAGTATCGGGGCGGTACGTTGGCCAGGTTACTGCGCTGCTGGTTTGCTGCTGACCGAGATCGGGGCCTGAGCTCCTCCTTTCCAAAAAAAGCCCCGGAACTTCCACCTTTTCTTTTCTTGCCACGTCGTGGAGAGCCATAGTCATCCTGGTATTCTCTTTGCATCTGTACCATAGAGAAATTGTAGGGGCGACAGGGATGTGTGTGTGAGAGAGAGGGAAGTAAAGAACCATAAACTGGTGAATTTAGGAATCCCACTTCAGGGAAGGGTTTCCCAAAGGCAGCACAAAAAGCCTAGAGCTATCTGCTAGGGATACGGCACGGTCCCACACTGTTGCACACTCCCCACACGCTCCAACATTCAACACTCCCTCCCTTGGAATGCATCTCAGTACAAATTGTGGAGCAAAGGAAGCCCTGCCAGTCAAGGAGGAAGTATCAAAGAGTTTGGGATGGGACAGATTCTAGCCCACATGGAGCCAGCACCTGAGCGATGCAGAGGGAGCAGAACCAGTCACCGGCCGGCACCTCGGTCATCTTGGGCCGGTGGCAGTAGAGGTGGCAGCCACGATCGCAGCTATCGCATAGCAGCAGGTTCTCATCATCATCCCCTTTCCGGCACACTAGGCAAGTCTGAAGGGCAGGGAGAACAAGGAGGGGTGAGGACCAGCACCACATTCAGAGGTCCAAGGCCAAAGTTGAGCTCCGAGAGCTCTCCCTTTTCCCTTGTCCCCAAATTGAGCTCCTTCCCAGCTAGATTCATCCAAGCCACGGCTCTGCTCTAGCCAACCCCTTTGGAACAGAGAGATCTTTCTGCAGATCCCACAGCTGCTTCATCTCCTCCTAGTACAGGCTTCAGCACACATGTGCCTCTAAAGGCCACACAAGGAGGATCAACTCTCTTCTCTGCACCAGGGATTTCACAAGTTACCTATGTTCACTTTGATTTCTTCATTTACGCTTCCTTATATTTCCTACCCCCAACCCAGTGCTCCTTCCTCACCGCTCTGACAACGGACTTCTCCCAGGCAACAGAACGCTCCAGCTGGTAGATGCACAGAGAAACTTGGGCTGCACTATGGCATCTCTCCAAGGTCTGGCGCCACGTTCGCATCCGAGGTGTGATCTCGTATGAACTGCAGAAGAAAAAATAGCAATCCATTACGATGGGGGGAAGTCAATCCTGCCCAGCAAAGGAAATTCTTCACTTGGAGTCTTTTGGGGCCATTCCAAATGGAAACATACTGTGAGAGATGGCAGGCCTTTGGCGCATCATCTGAAGCTCCAGGATGGAATTGTCAGGGGAATCTATAGCTTCTGGCTCAGAATCTTACTGCTCTAAACCATCTACATCCCTGTTATATTTCGTTCTCATTAACGTCCATCATCGCCTAGCTCATAAGCATGCTAGGTAAACATTAGAAATCTGGTGAACTTTGACATTTATTGTTAAGCCTCAAAGACTTAAGTAGGCCCAAAAGGAAATCTAACAGGATTAAATGTCAGTAGCCTTAAGTTCAAATCATTCTCATTTCCATCATATGCAGCAAAAAGGATATTTATCATACCTCAGGCCTGAGAGAAACAGATTCTTGCCAATAAGATTTCTGACATTTCCTGCTGAGCCTTGTAAAACCGTAAGACTTACTGGTAAATGTCAACATTCACCAGATTTCTCACTTTTGCTGCAATGCACACATTTACCACTTTCTATTGCCTAAAAAGCCTCATGTCAAAACAACCAACAGCAGCAGCTTTTTTCCTTTCATCTTAGTATCTTCTCAATGCAAACAGACCTGGAATTTATCAAGACTCCTGCCCCAACAAAGTCCATATTCTCCCATTTCCACAAGAGGTTTTTTAAATGTTAGTTCCTGTGGGTTTTTACTATTTTACTTTAATGTAAACTGATTTAGGAGTCCCTGGGTTAAAAGGAAAGGTATTAAAAAAAGCTTTTTATAAATAGTGAGACGACCCTGATTCTCATTAGGAGTGAGGCCCTGGCAATTCAGTCAACAGTAAAAGAATACACCTACATTTCTGTGGTACCCAGCTCAAGGTTACTGGGGTTACTCAGCAAAGCTTTTTCTACCACCACCTCGTGAGGAGGCCAGAGGGGCTCTCTGAGGTATCTCCGCTCCAAGTTTTGCTCTAGCTCTGTCAGGCGAAGCACAGCTAGGTCTAAAGGGTTGGTGGTTTCACGCTTCATAGCTGGTCCTTCACGCCGGTTTTTTATGGTGATGTCTTCCAGAAGCTCCAGCTGATGCTCACAGTACTGCAAGTCGTTCCGAACAGAATCAGGTTCTGGACTTGTCCAGCCCTGGGGGGGAGGTGGAAAGCAAAAACGTGAGATCAGGGCATGGCAGGAAGAAGAGGGGGTTGTGACACACTCTGGGAACCCCAGATGCATTTGTGAATCTTCTTTCCATGTACCAACCGAAACCAGTTCCTGCAGGTACACAGTTTTCAAGGTTGTGCTACTCCTGTTGCCAATGAAAAATATTTGCACCAAATAATGATGGTGCCTCTGGCACAGATGTGCAAAGGAGCCCCCATGTACCAGAACACTCACAGTCTTAAGATAGCCCATCAAAACAAAGAACCTTGAATCGTCATATGGTGCTGCCAATGTACATGGACCTCTAAAGGTGCCACAACAAAAAAAGAGAAGTCTTTGCTCTCAAATTGATTAGCTTTCTGCAGGGCAGTGTAGCTGCAAAGGTGCCAGCTGGGGAGTAATGCCCACATGCAAGAATGGAAATGCCAAGGTAGGATTTTAAGTTGACCTGGGTCATTTCTCTCCTCAGTTTTCCAACTCCAGAAACAAGGAAAGATCTGAATGTATGTTTTAAATTGTTACGGCAGATCTAGAGATTAGCAGGCACCCCCCAGGGTGATCTGTACAACGTGAGATCATCCCCCACCCCACCCACAATAATAAGAAGAGTTATCAGGAGGGACTCAGCCTACCCTGGACCATGGTACCTACTCGGATCTGTAGATCAGCCATGAGTACCCGCTGCTCCAGCTCCTCCACCCACTGCAGAACAGACAGGTCTGCCTCAAAGGCCCGCTCAGCCATCGACCACTGGGCCAAGGTTTCCTGAGAGACAGGGTGGGCGGAATCCTCAGGATGGGTCTGGAAGATGGGATCTAGGTGGGAAGACCAGAAGAGTCCATTAGAGAAGTTAGGGATGTGGTAACGTGGCTCCCTGCCTCACTCCAGCCATACGATGAGAAGTTCTTACCGTTGGCAGCTCGGGCGCACACCTCCCGTAGGTACTCCTTGTGCTTGATAAGGTGCTTGTGCAGGGCTTTCTCGCGGATCCCTCGTGGGTGCAGTACCTGCACCACGGCTTCCAGCTCGTCTGGATCCTGCAGCCACCACCAGCCACTCTGCATCTCTGCAAGGAAGAGAAGAATGGGGAGGGGGAGGTGAACCAGCTCAGAGTCTGGGGCCACTGAATAAGCCACCGTTTCCGCACAGCATGCCTGTTAGCTCCCAAATGCTGCTCTCTGGGTCTTGTGTCAGGTCAGCATGCATGCAAGGAACTGCACATCAGCTGCTTTCACGGTTCAGGAAGCCTTTAATGTGGAAGACAACCATATCTAGTGCAGTACTTGAGGGGGTTGTCCTTAAGAACAGATTTTTTAGTCCTCATGGGGAAAACGTGAAACTGCATAGGCAGTTTCTACAAGGTCCTACAAACTGAAGACACTGTGGGGTGACGCTTCCAGGGGTTAGGAGATACCTATGGTCACTCATGGCGGATTCTCAGTCGCGTCTTCTTACAAATGGTAAACCATTTCATCTTCCCTCACAATCCTTTTCCAAACCATAGTATCAATAACTTCAGAGTACGCATAGTACAAATTATACAGAAGAAAAGGAGATGCAGGTTTCCCTCACCTGGAGGTATAGGCTGTGCTGTCAACTGTGTCAAATATTTCTGCTCAATTTGCTTGAAGAGTTTTGTAGGGGGGCGCCCCCGCCGTCTCGGCTGCCCTAGAGGTTCCTGGCCTTTAACGGGGACGTCCTTGGCTCTTGAGGAGCAAGTACTGTGAATCCTGGAGCTGGAATGGAGAGGGGTGGAGGCCAGTTGTGGCAATGCTGGGCTGGCGGTGGAAAGGCCGTTCAGCTGTGAAGAGGGAAAGATCAGGATGCATCAGACAAGGCATGAGCTCTACCAGGGCTTTCAAGTCAATCTTCTAGTGGAGTTGCCATCTGCTCAAGGAGCTGCCTGGCTGTTTTTTCAATCATGCCAACACTTATAGGTTACTATGGGGGCTTGAAAAAACTCAGCTACCTCCTTATCTGAAGTCATTTGTTGTCTTATTGCTAGCTATTATATACGAGTGGAAGGCACCAGGGAATGGTGTATATTAGCAGGGTAAGAGGATAACTAGATAGAGGACAATGAGATCAACAAAGGATGTTATAGTTTATCTATACCAAGTTGTGTCCTGAGGCAGGGCAATCTTATAACCTAAAGCATCTCTTGAGAGATGCCACTTCCACTTTTGCCTTGAAAGCTTCGCAGGAAGAGATCTACCCACTCAACGAGAAAGCTCATTCTAAATGACTTTTCACGGTTAGGAAATCCTTCCTGATGACAACTCTAAATCTACCTCTTGAATTCTAATCTATTACTTTTTGTCCGATTCTCTATGAACAGTAGTTTCCTGACATTACAGCTTCCTGTCTGATAGTTCCTACCTTGAACAGATAAGAAATGCAAAGCAATTCAGAAATAGCATTACCACCACCAACCCCATGCTCTAGTTGTTACATGGAAACAGACCACTCACAGGGAACTGTCCCCAGGATTCGGGTAAAGGCCCTGCATTCAATTCCTTGTATTAATGCAGGCACCATGTCCTTTGCTCCTCCACTGAAACAGGCACGATCAGAATTGGAGCTTGCATTTCCTGGTAATGAAAGGTCTCTAGATGACACTCACCTGCCGGGGCGAGGCCTTTGACTGGTCCCTGGTCGGGGGCTTGCAGGTATGGGGGGCAGCTTTTATAGAGGGTTGTTCAACGGAGGTAGTAATTGGAGAGTCATTACAGGGTGCCCGGGGCAGCAGATTGAACCAGGCAACCTGTGTTTCTGTGGCACTTTCATCCTCTGCGGCAGAGTCTGGCAGCTCATCTGGGGGTAACGGGTCCCCTTTGCCAGGGCTGCTGTCTGGGGTAAGCACAGAACTGTTGAGCAGAGAGGATGCCTGCTGTGTCTGGCTGAGCCAGGACAGGAAGGCCGACTGGCTGAGGTCATGCTGGGATTGGCCCATGGGCACACAATCCTCCAAAAATCCATTGACAGACATGGGGGCGGGCTCTGGCAACTTGGGCTCCGACGACTCAGGCAGCAGCATATTGTCCCTCCACGGCCGGCTCCATGACCAAGAAGTTGTGCCATTTACGTAATCAGTAACCGGTGGAGTCTCAGTGGTCTCTTGTTTGATGGGCAATGCCTCAGGTTCTTCCTCCTTCAGGGCCTCTTCCTTCTCTGGCACGTTCTTGGGTGTCTCAGGGGAAGCTGCTTGGGAGGCAACAAAAATGATATCTCCCTAGGTTTCGCCACAAGATGGTGCTAAAAACTTATCTCAAAAATACAATGTCAGGGGTGGGTGCGGGGAGAACCTGTGGCCCTCCAGATGCTCTTCCATCAGCTCCAAGCAGCATGGCTGATGGTTAGAGACGATGGGAGTTGGGAAGGTCCAATGTCACCTAAAGGGCCACTGCTTCCTCATCTCTGTATGGAGTGAAGGAGGCAAGCACAGGTACAGCAGATCTTTTTTCTTTTGGAAATTATCTTCCCTGCCTCCACCCACTGACTGCAAGACAAACACTGATTCAAATCATTGGTGGATGCGGGTGCAGCTTTCTTGAGCGGGTAGAACAATGAGAGAAAAAGCAGCTAGCGCCCGAAAGATCAAGCATCAGCTTTTCAACAAGGGAGTCATTGGCCAAATGTTATATACAGCTGGAGTCTAAAGTGCGATTTAGTTCGCAGATATAATGCCCTATTAAATTACTCCACCCATCCAAATATATCCCATGCTGCCTCTGCACCCTCAGCAAACTTCAGTCAAATTGGCATTTCAATTTAAAAAGTGATATGTGGCCCACAGATTTAAAAACAGACATACAACCCTCCTGGCTCCACTTCCCACTTCTACTCTGCTCTTCTTGCCCCAAATTCTGACCTGTCCCATGGCTCTTTCTAATTAGCCCATTAATTCTGATCTATTTTGCCAGCTGCAACAATCCTCGTGGCCCCAAGTTCTGAGGAGGGAGCCACCCCACAAAAAAACACGGAACACCACAAGAAACATGGGTTCTTCCTCGTCAGACCAGGATCTACAGTGCCATCTCTTGCTTTGTAATAAAAAAGCAAACCGATAAATAAAAATAAAATAACTATTAGGGCGAGGCACATATTAACAAAAACCACAATTTGTACGATAAAACAGGAACTATAAAATCGCATATCAATAAACTGTAAAATAAACTAATAGGCAGACCCCAACTCAGTAATGCCACCAGTACATTCCAAATTCCTGCATGAAGAGTCAGGTTGTTATTGAGCGCTGAAAAGAAGCTGCCATTGGTGCCTCCTGGGCCTCTGGGCGAAGGGAGAGAATTCCAAGGCTCTCTCCAACATCCTCACATAATGTATAGCTCCCAAGGAGCCCCTCCCCGCAGGAGAACTTAAATGTTCAGTCAGGACGATATAGGAACAGGAGTTCCTCAACTATCATGGCCCCAAGTGGTTTAGCCTTTGTACATCTTAGGCTCTACATACCTGCTGAAACCTCACAACCTTCTACGAAGACCCCACCTAGGTGAGGCAGCACCCAATACCGACGTCGATATCGATCCTGCCCCAGGGATGAAGCCCGTAACAGCTGTGAAGCATGGAGCAACTTCTTGCGGAAGAACATCTGGCGCTGCAGCAAGGAGGAGACCAGCAAGAGCACCATGTGTTATAAAGTGCCTGTGCAAAGCTCTGGTTACCACAGCAAAGAGTAACACACCTCCCTGATTATTCTACTGACAATCGCCAATATACACTTTAAAGTCTAGCTGCTACTACAGCTCCTTCCATTCTGTACTTATCTTTTCAAATACAAGCATTTACCTTGGAAAGCTTTTCAATTTGTCTCTCCAGCTCAGGCACACTGGAAACCGGAGTGTCATGCTGGGAAAGAAAGAAGATAACTTAGAGCCAAACCCTCGTGTTTCCCAGAAAATCTAGGCTGAATTGCTTTGGATACATTAAAAAAGATGCTAGAAAGAAGAAAGTGGGAAGTGATGAGCGGAAGGGAGGATCCAGCTGCTGCAACTTATGAAGTTGCAAAATCCACTAAGAGACGGGGGGAGCCCTCTTATTCTACAAAAGGCAACACAGAGAATATAGACTCACTTCTTAAGACTCTTGCATCTTGCTAAAAGAACTGGTCGTTTTGACAAGCTTAGATCTGCCTCAACGTCCATGGCAGAACATGATTTTTACCAAGGGTCACACTACTTTGAAGTTATTAGAAAGCAGAGGCAATTTAAATCTGTTCTAAAATATTAACTTTTATATGTTTTCAAGGATGGTTGTGAATTTCTCTTGATTTTATTGTTTTATCTTTTTGCGAACCGCTTTGAGGTTTTTTTGCAATCAAGCGGTGTATAAATTTTATGAAATAAAATAAAATTAGTTGGTCCAATAAATGTTATTGCTCAAACTGTCCTGCATCTCATGCCGTATGACCAACACTGCTCCCTTCAAACCTGCACTTTGCTATTAGAACAGATATTCAGGGACACTGCATACGCCCTTCTCAGTTTACTCGCTCACACCTTCACCTACCTCATTGTCTTTCCGTGTCCTGCATGCTCTGCTTCTCTCCTCCTCCATTTCCATGTCCTCATTCTCTTCATTGATGCGTGAGCTCCGTCGCCACCGCCCTTCCTCCAAGCCTGTGATTTCTGACTCGGGGCGTCCTGTCTTCTTGGCTAGAGCAATCTTTAACCTACAGTGCAACAACAAGGCACCAGTAATGGAGAGAAAAGGGACACAATACATTACAGCGAGGGACTCTGGGATTGAGACTCAGGGCAAGTGTTATCCAGTTACTGCGCCTGCATGAGCTGATGCACAACTACTAGCCATCTGGAATTATTTCCTTAGGTGACCCACATACCAAAGGGAGGAGAACCAGAGGGGAAATCCTCTGGTAAATCCAAGAAGGTGGAAAATAAAGCAATCAATAATCACTTTGGCTCCTATAGTAAGATTCCACACCACCAGAGATTACTTGATTTAAATAAATATAAGAGTGAAATGATCTCAGCCCTCTTCATCTAAGTGCCCCTCCCACACCCACTGAGCTTTCTGGTTACACTGGGTCAAAACTAAATCCATCAATATGTACCTGCGCAGCTTTCCTTCAATGATCCATTTATTTCTCCTGTGGTTAGACATGTTCTCTAGGGTCTTGTCAATTTCACTGCAAGAGTTAAACAAAAAATTAGAACGAGAAGTGGGGTGGGGTTCAACTGCAGAGAATTGGAAAATATTCCCTTTTTATCAATATATGCACAATGCTCATTCAAGATCCATTACCCACCCCACTACACATACACAGTCCAGTCTACAAGAGAACCTGTCAGTGGAAGAGTAAGGTAGCCACTCATTTCTTTAAGGCAGACATGCAAAGCTTATGTAGGGACATTTGGACGTCCAATACTATTCTAATCTGTTCCCAGTGGTATCTTCCCAGGAAACAATTTGTTCTCTGTTCAGCATGTTTTCTACACAAAGCTCGGGTGCAATCTGGGTGGCCACATGCTAAAGTGCACAAAACCATTTATCTATTTATTTAACAGCATTTTTGCCCCAATTTTCAGTCAAAAAATGCTCCCAGTGCAGCTTGCATAAAATCAACAATGAACAAGATAGTCCCTGCCTACAGCCGTGCAACCTTACTGTGGTCACTAAGCATCTAAGATATGCTGAACCATCTAGCTCCTCTGCTTGCTTTCCTCTCTCAGCTCAAGAGAGTAAGATAGTATCATGGGGGAGGATGCCTCCCCATCCATATCTACGTATTAAGAGCTCAGACTGTCACAATAATATGGCCATGAGAGACACAACTCAGCAACTTGCCTGAGCTATCACCACTTACTTGATGATAAGGGCACTGCTGTTAAGTTCATTGACGAGGAAGGCCAGCACAGCAGCCTTTTTGTCAGGGGCTAGTGCCTGGAAGGGTTTAGTGCGCAAGCAGTCACATAGGTTCTCATCTGCCCCATAGGCTATGAGGAAGCAGCGAAGGATCTCAGACACAGTGTCACGGTTCAGGCTTATCTCAGAGAGTTTCTCGCCGAGGATCTTCAGCGACTGGCAGAAGAAAGGAGAGGACAATAATCAAGAAGTGTCTGCCATGCCAACAGGAACATCCTGCACAGCATTCAAGACTCTTTCAGAAAACTACCACCACCTGTAGGAGAAAACTACTACCACCAAGCCAAACCTCACTAGGCAGTGATCTGTTCATGACAACTGGGCAATAATTAGCCACCTCCACCACCTTAATGTCAACTCTAAACTGTTCTTCTTTAAAAAAATAATAGAACAAGAGTATGGCTGGCAATATGTGTTGGGTCCATAATGTATTGAGACTGCCCCATGGTTAGAACAACGGTTCTAAGCGAAACAGGCAAATGTGCTAATACGTCCAATTTGCAGGATTTCTTGGCGCAGAATTTTGATTAAGCTGCCTCCCTCAACCCTTTAAAGTACAAGTTTACATAGGGCTAGATAGAATTGATGGCAATAAGTAGAACAGATGCAAACAGATCACTAGGGAGGAAAAGAGTCATGAAGATCTCACACCATGGTCAATGAAGCCTCCCTCCAAGCTCCCTCTCATAAAAATATTTAGCAGATAATTCCATGCAACTTTTAAGTTCTCCCTGAAACCTTGAATGCTAGAAGCATTCTTTTTTAAAAATAAAATAAAATGAAAAATTCTATTCTCAGGAACCTGCACTGCAAGCCATAGTCTGCCACTAGCAGCAGGCTTGCAGCTATAGCAAGCCAGCATCCCTGACAATGATGCTTCTTCCTATCCTCCATAGACAGCAATCTAGTCTACATCCTACTCACAAAGTAGATACAGGAAAAAACCACAATAGCCAGGCCTGCATGTATACCACAATTCCACGGGAGAACAGGAAACTTGCATAATGTGGTATTGGGTGCAGCTTCCTGAGACTCTCAGCTTTCATTTCAATTAAAAATACACAATGTTTTTCTAGCTTTCTGAGCTTTTCGTTTGCATAAAAGTGTGTAGGCAATGCCTACTAACATCTCAGAAGAGGGCTTGTTGAAGCAGATTCTCGGTGTTTGGTGCAGAGTTTCAGTGCTTTGCACAGTTTGCTGCCCTTCCTCATAGTGAACTCAGAATATGCAAAAATAAGAGAAATTGTGCAAATGTATTCAATTTTCCTTGGTGCAAAATTGGGGGGTTGTCTAAACTATGTCTCTCTCTCTCTCTCTCTCATATACACACACACACACACACACACAGCTCTGATTATACCACTAGAATATTCGGCATGCACCAAACTACAAACCCATTCTGTTTTCACACCAGTACTTCAGTCCATATGATTTCTTATATTCAAACATGCAGATTGATGTGACCCAGAACATACATACATGGGCCTACCTGGCAGAAGGGAGGGAGGCCAGGATCATACAGTGCAGCCTTCACCAGCTTCACCAGGAGGTCTAACACTTCACCCAAACTATCGCCTACATTGAAGAGGCCCTCTTGCAGCGTACTCAGACTGGGGACCTCCCTGGCTACATCAAAGCCCAGCACCTTGCCATAGTTGTGTAGGAATTCCACGATGGCTAAGCAGTCTGAGAAAGCATGGCTGGGCAAAACCAATCCAGGGATGCGAGAAAATTCTGGAAGAGGCTGGGAAAGACAAAATATCAGTACAGAGAGCATCAGTACAGACTTGTGATCTAGCGGAATAGCTAGCCCTGCTCATACTGCAACTCAGCCACACGAAAGGCTGATAATATACAATGTCTAACAAGGTAGAAAATCAGAGAACATTTTCCCAGTGTGGAAAGCCTGCCAGCCCTCCAAAGCCAGGTGCCCAGATTTCCCTGTCTCAAACTATATTAAATTCCACCAGATCAAGTCCATTCAGCAACATGAATAGATACAGAGAAGAACTCAAATGCCACAGAAAAATACTTTAGTGTCTCAGTGAGATAGAACTGAATAGCTCAGACAATCTTAGCCTTTTGGTGGAAGAACTAAATGATCAACCCAGTAAATATATGACAAAACACTATATCAGACGCTAAAGTCTTATAATTGGCCATAGGTGACAGAACAATGTTGTGAGACAATCAAGTGTCTCAACTGAGCAAATATAGGAAAGTACTGAAAGGCTCGCATATTTAGACAAAAATGCATTGTTTGTTTAGTATTGGTACAATTAAGGAATCTGGTGCAGAAAACTGGCATCCTGAGATGTAAACATCTGAGCCAGAGTCACCGCCTCAGTTTCAGTGCCAGATATCATTTTGTGGTAAACCCAGAAGACCCCCTAAGCTGATGCTACACAACAAAATAGTGTTGCTTGGGCGGGAGTGTCTTGGTAAGGGATGAGGACTTTCATGTTACAATAAACACACAGCTGCTACAGGTTTGAAAATTTCCCCTTCATAATATTTGGAACAGCATGGTATAGGCATGGTGCACTGTTCTATGCTGCATTTTTTGCTACTGTTAGCATGCAGAACAGAAACATACCATACTGTGACTTCATAACACTGGTTTAAAACTGATTTAAATAAATAAATAAACAAATGGAATAGGGGGCTGTCTCCCAACCTCTAAAAAGCCAAGCAATTCTATGCACCTGGTGGTCCCCTAGACACATATCCTCAGTGGGCTTCTTCATTTCCTCCAGAATCATTTGCTGCCGCTGTCGTTCTTCCTGACGCCGAGCTAGAAGATTCTTATCCACCTTTCGGGGAACCTTGGCTGGTACTGGCAGCTTTTTTTCCTTGGGCTTCACTTTTTCTTTCAGCTTTGCCTTCTCCTTCAGCTTCTCTGGCTTATTCTTTTCTGGCTTGTTCTTTTCCTTCTTTACCTGGAGAGGAGGAGAGACATGGCAAGGTTTACATGCAATTATTCAGGACCTGCCAACCTTCCAACTTTTCAAAGGGCCATTCCTGACCCACCTTCGGCTTCTTTTTTACTTCCTTGGCCTTGACCTCTTTGGGCTTGAGTGCCTTGGCCTCTTGCCTCTGCTTATTTTGCACCTATGGAAAAAAATAAGCATGAGGAATTCTGTCAAGGAGAGAATCCACTCAAAAAGAAGAAACCTAAGGGGAAGGGGAAAGCCATTGCTCTGTCTTTACAGTACTAGCTCCCAAAACATTTACTAGGAACATTTATCAATTAAAGTTTGACTGCTTTTTGGCTTAACTGGGAGATTCTTTTCCTATATTTCATTAATTTATTTTCAATATGTATAGACTGCTTTTCAATGTAAATGTGGTTTCCAAGTGCTTTACAAAGCAATAAAGAAATGCATCACTGCACTGACAACACATCAGTCAAATAATAAAACAGGTGTTTTAAACAGTAAAAACCACAGGTAAAAACCTAAAAGAAGTCTCACACAACTTACTTAAAATATCTAATTGAATAGAAAGCTCTTTGTCAAGAACCTGTAAGTTCAACAGAGAGGGGGCTTGTCTGATCTCAGCTAGGAGGGGACTCCACAGAATTGGGCCCACAATAAACATGGCTCCTAGTGGATACAAGCTGAGCGAGGAGGGATCAATAACAGAGACTCCCCTGCATATCTTGTGATCAGGCAGGGATATAAGGAATCAGGCTGTCCTTCAAGTATCCGGCACGCAAGTTGTTAAGGGCCTTGGAATTTAACAAAAGAACCTTAAACTTGCCCAGAAATATACAAGCAGTCAGTGCAAACTTTTAAGGACTGCAGTTATGAACTGGTAGTGTGTCCCCACCAAGAGTTTAGCCACAACATTTTGCACCAGCTGGAGCTTCCAGCCAAGCCCAAGGGACAGACCCTTAATGCCCGTTCCACAGCTAACTAGGGTAGCATACATTCACATACTGCTTAGATTCACCACACAATCAATGGTGGGATTTGGCATTCTGAGCATCTCAACTGTGAGTAAATGCTTCTATCCCTCATGACTGTAGAGAAATGCCTAGAATCGCACCGAATTAGCGCACAAGCAGTGGGAAACTTATTCCTTGCTTTCCTGTCCCTAAAATACAAACCCATGTAATTTTTTTCCTGCATTCCACTACGCAATTCAAATCCTTTGCCAAAAAATAAATAAATCCATCCTTTTAAAATGTGAAAGCAGTCTTATGCCAACTGACTTGGACATATTCCAGACTTGGGTGCGCAATTTGGAATGTTTGTCTTGGGGTACACAAACTCCTTACTGGCAACCGAAGAAGGAAGCTCTCATCCCCCCCCCCCACCTTACCCCTTCAGCTTGGGAAATGCTCCTTTCATCCCAAAAGCATCCCCCTCTTGCATAGGGAGAGAATACTGTGACCCCTTCCCACCAAGAATACACTGTCCTGTTCTATTGTATGTACCTTTTGCCTCATTTTCTTTTTGATCTTGCTCATCTTCAGCTTATCTTCATCACTGAGTACCTCTGCAAATACAAACGGAGAATGAGGGAATTTTTAAAAAATTGTGAGACTAGAACAGCCCGCCATTCCATACCTAATAGTATCCTTATGCTTTATAGCAGGCTTCCCAAAGTTGGTGCCCTCCAGATTTTGGGAGCAAAACTCCATCCATGATCAGGAATTAGAGGAGCTGTTGTCAAACAACATCTGAAGGGCACTAGGTGGGGTAAGGCTGCTTTACATAAGGTACCACTTCTCCAAAAGATGTAGGCTTAGGGTGATGTTCCTAAGATACACAAAAGGGGAGTGTGTCTCTATCTCAATTGTTAAAGTTTTATATCCTTCTCCAAAAATGCCTCTTATTAATGACTGCAACCCTGAATGAGCATCCATAACCACAAAATCTCTCATTACTACCTGCTGTGCTATCAGTCTACATAAGATCCCAAGATAAGACATAAACCAACATGTTCTCTTTAGTTTTTTTTCAACTGTACAGATACAGTTGACAGGAATCACCAAATCATTTCTCACCCCTGAAAGTCACCACTTCTCTCTCAGGCACACCGCTATAGATGGGAGGTCTGTGTTCAGGAAAGCAGCAGTGCTCCTTCCCGTTTCCTCCTAGCCATAACCCATGTCTTTGAAAGGTAAGTAGAGAGAGCATTTTCCTCTCCCTGCCACCCCCCGCAGCCGTACTGGCACTCAGAGGACCTGTCTGTTTATCTATCTGTCTGCCTGAATGTGTGTTGGGGCGAGGAGTAGGTCTGAATGTGTATGCATGCTGAGTGTGTGTACGTTTGTGTAAACGGACATGTGTAACTTGGCCATGCACACTTCTGATCACATCCGTTGCTGGCATGCAGCCCTCAGAGGGTTAGGAAAAGATTAGCCAATGCTAACTGGAAGCTACTCATGATGCACCAGGATTGACCACAATCTGTTTAAAGATTGCTTGCGTGCAACCCACATAGAATTCTAGTCATATTTCTACTCCTGAATCTCTGAGCTAGTCTTTAAAAATATATATAAAGCACAAGTTTTTATCCCTCATTGCTGTGGAGACACAAAAGAAAGCTAGGAAGACAATGTCTGCAAGTACTTCCAATCCTCCAGGGCAGAGCTTTTATGCCATGTTTAGCTACCTGCCCCTCCCCTCAGTCTCCAGTCATGTTCTCTTACCTATATACTTTTACTGCCCCTTGCTTATCCGTTTCTCTCTTCCTGCTGCCACACCGCTCCTTGACAAGAAATTCCAAATTTTGCAAAAACTCAAACATTAGTTTCCAGAAAAGGCATGCAAATGGAGATTGATGTAAAATAAGCAGATTTGCATGCATCTTGTTGATATATGCTTTAGTTTTGAGAGCAAAAATTGAATTTTCTTGGCACACAGAATGAACAGCCCTGCCTCCAGAGACTGACAAACAACTCCTGCCACAAACTAAAGCTCTTTCTTGTGAAAGCTCCCGGCATGCAGAAGGGGCCTGTCCAGCTGGTACCTTGGGCTTCCAGTCTTTTCAGAACCCTGGCATCCATCTTGCTCAGCAGGTCAGGCACTTTCACTTTGGGAGGACGGCCACGGCCACGTTTCACCTTGGGCATTTCCTTGGCCTTGGCTTTCTCAGTATTGCGGGGTCGGCCACGTTTGCCTGTGATGGCCTGGATCCGGGAAGGAATTTCCTCAGGCGTCAGCTGCACCCACTGCAGGCCCTGTGAAAGAAAGAGAGAGATACAGAAATAGATCCCTCCCAATCTCTACGAACTTCAACTGGTGCAGAGGTTTTCAGATTTTCCTCCTGCAAGGAAAAGTGATGCTTCCCAGTGGTGCTTCCTGTACACCCCAGTAAGTTCAGTCATTCCTGAACACAGATTCTGAACTGATGTCAAGAAAGGGACTGTGAGGTAGGGAAGAGGTTGGCAAACTCTTTCTTCACAGTTTACCAACCCATAGTGCCAAGGCCCTATGATGGCACCAGTACCTGGTTTTGCAATGATGTCACAGGAATTGGAGAATGGAGCTATGCTGTCCTTGTGTCACAGTTATGAAACTGATAATAGGCACAGAAACATCTTGCGCCTTATAAAGCTTCATTTGTATTCCCTCCCCTGAAGCACATGATCACCTACAGACAGCTGTAAACAAGATTGGTGCCAGTGATCCCTAGCAAACTCCTGGACTAATACCATTACTAACCTGGGGTGTATCTCGCTCTTCAAAGAAGTCTCCTACTGGCATTCGAGGACTGAAGCTGAAGTGTTCACGACAGACATTCTGCACAATGTTTCTGCTCAGATACTGGAAGGGAAGTAAACGGCCAAAATATGAGCTGATCAGATCCTGTGTAGCATCTAGTCTCTTACTAGGGGAGGGGCTCTCTACGAGGTGGACACCATGCCCTTTGGCGGTAATGAGACTTGGTGAATCCATCTCGAGAAGAAAAAGGCACCCAAGAAATTCATGCTGGATGTTGCCTACTGAAAGGGCTAATGTATTAACAAGTAAGGCCACTTGCAGTCTGGTAGAAAGAATCTGAAGAGGGTGAAGCCGATTTCTGGACTGATGCTCTAAAGCAGAAATCACATTCAGCACAGTTAATAGTTCCCAAGCTCCCAAGTGACTACTGTGAGTCATGTCTGAGAGGAAGTAACAAGGCTTGAAGCAGGGGGCAGGGGAAGAGACTGAAGAGTCATAGGCTATCTGAAATGCAGGACCACTGAACAATAACAAAGAGAGATAGTCAAGTAGTGCTGATCCCCATACCACTTTGCTTTCCAAATAGTTCTCTATACCAGTGGTTTTCAACTAGTATGCCGTGGCACCCTGGTGTGCCTTGACTGGTCAGGGATGCCGCGGGCAACACTGGCCTCTGTCCCTCTTTCCTTCCCTCCCTCCTCTGATGCTTTCTCACACCTGTGCCTCCCAAAGGCTTGTGTGGCTGTTTGCTGCATCAGCCCTGGCTACAAGTTCAGAAGGCGAATGGTGCCTCTGGGTCTGGCCAGTGGGTGCTGGTTGCCTGGAGCTGAGGCGGCCTCAGAGTAAGCAAGCAAGTTGGCAGGGGAGCCCAGCCACCCAGCCAGCCCTTGCTGTTGGGAATGGACAGACAAGTCCCAGGCCCCTGTGAGGCAATGTGAGGAGGCACCTCTCTTTGGGGTGGGGTGGGGCAGCTCAGAGACCAGGGGCAGGGGCTGCCTGGAGGACTCTCAAGGAGAGGGGTGAGGAGAGGAGATTGAGGGAACACTCCACAAGGGAATGTGTACAAAAAAGGCTGCCAGCTCTGCAGGAAAGGAGTGACATAACTGGGCTCCTGAGCATCACGGGAGTGCCACAAAAAGAATATAGTTGGTCAAGGGAGCCATGGACTCAAAAAGGTTGGAAACCTCTGCTCCATACGGTATAAACGACAAAAGTTTATCAACCGTCACTACAAATATCATCTCAATGTCAAACTGCTGCTCTGCAGGGCTGACTGCCTCCAACAGATCCGAGGCAAGGAAGAATCCCATAGCAACTCAGCACCCTGTCTTCCTCTACCACTGTGGCACGGTAAAAACCAGAGTCCTGGTTGTTACATCAAATTATTATTTTGCTTTATTTATGACTCACTTCCCATGAAACGTACCAGAGAGATTAACTATAAAAACAATTATAGGATTTCAAAGGCAAGTGAATCCACTCCTGTAGAAGGTCTCTTTGCCCTTGAGTGAAGAAACAGGAACTGTGTCCAGGGAAAAGTGGTTCCCAAAAGAGCTCAAGTCACCACCAATTCCCCTCTGAGAACCACGTTTTACCTTTATCACCTCCGGAAACTGCTTCATCCTCTTGCCACAGGGCCCGTAGTACCAGGTTTCTCCTTGCCAACGGCTGCTTCCCTTCTTGATATACACCTCCCTTCGCCACCTAAACATAAAGATGGCCTGTTAAAGACTAGATACATGCACTGTCCAATTCAAGACATCATGCCTTGATCAGCACCTTTTACAAGGCAGAAACCCACCCCGCCAAGCAGATGATGCTACCTACCCATGCTTTAAGGGGTACCGCACCTCTTCTGCTGTGGCTATCCGCCTTCTTGGAACATCACCTGAGCAGAAAGAACTACTGTTACCAACACTAACAAGCACCGGCTAATGTTTTAAAATGCAGTCTAGGCAGCTGAGAGGTCTTCAGGAAATGGGTCTACTTACTTTTTGCTGACACACTGAATGTTGAGGCCTCTTTACTGTCCCCCTCTATCATGGATGTGGAGTCTTCTGGGCAACTGCTCTTGGTTGCCTCTTCCAAGGGGGTATCTAGAGCTTCTGGTTCAAGTGGTGCTTGTGAATCCAGAAATTCTGTGCCCTCTTGTCCTACTTCACTCACAGCTGTTAACTCCAGGCTGCTGTCTGCAGCAAAGAAGGCAAAAACAGGTAAATGGGGATGCAGAGAGGAAAATAATTATAATCTAGAAAAGCGAAGACAGATGAAGAAGAGTAGGGGTTACCAGTACTTAGTTATACATCTACCGACACACTTAAAGAGTACTCACATAAATTACTCACTTTGCGCTAAGTCAGGGTGTGGAACCCCTGGCCTGTGGGTCAATCTTGGCCCATTAGGAGGTCCAATTTGACTTGTAAGGCTGTTTCCCCTTAACTACACCAACCCATCCATCAAATGATGATACTGGTGACATCAGCCGATGGGCAGGAGGTCAGGGATTAATCCTGCCTTGGCTATGTGTTCTTTTCCCAGCATAGTTTTCCCCACTGTGCATTGTTTAAGACACTTCCAAACAGACTTCAAGGAAGAGGGGGAGAAAACTGAAGGCCTCACAGGATATAAAAGAGTCACGTCATCTATGCATTCCAAATTTAACCAATTCCTTATCTTCTGTACTGAATTTACTCAAGGGTTAGCACACATTTTCCATTCTATACTGTGGTTGCTATGAGATGCAAAGTCTACATGCACCTCAAAAAGTAGATATACAGCCTCTTCAGTGATGGCTAATATAATTCAGTACAGTTTAATAACAACCTACTGGGCATTATCACAGCACCCCCCTCCAGGATATTATGAAGTTAAGATTATGATTATCCTCAGACAATGGAAGAAATTTAATCCCCATCTATACCAAAACAAAAACATAATGGCTGTACATATAAACCTTCATTTATACGTCTTCAAGTGAACATATGCTACAATGTTGCCAATAATTACAAGATAATTTATTACTAGAACACAGCCCACCAGGACTCTAGATTTCTTTTGTTACAACCCAGAAGAGTCAAACCATAAAATTTATAGTTCAATATTCCTCTAAACAAAGGGGCAGCTATATCTCTTAGAACCTGTAGTCCTTTCTCACCTTGCAGAACAGACTCTTCAAGAACAGGCGCCAAACTGGCATTTCCAAAAAGTGAGGTGTCAGGCTGGCTGTCATCCGCCAATAGACTGAATGAGTCCGAAGGGTTGAGAGAGGGGCTGCCAGGACAATCCAGGGCAGAGATGTCAGGAGGGTCTTCCAGAGGAGATTTGCCACTCACCAGCTCGGATGTATCCATTTCATAAAGATCTCCTGTCCCTGGGTCTGCAATTTATGAATCGGGAGAAACATCTGTTGCTTAGCATCCAACTCAGCAGCCTCACCCCCACAATACTCTCAGCTAGGATCACAGGATCACTTACATGCTCTAGAGCACTATTAATTTGCAAAATGAGACTCGTCTTTAATACTACTCTTCTAAAGAGAGGGAGAAAACAGACTGCAACTTGGACAAGGCCAACCATGATTTACTAAGGATTTGAAATCCAGTCCAAGTTCAACTTTCTAATCACTTGGTCACACTGGCTATGCAATTCTTTTTAGAAAACCACCTTTTAAAAAAAAGTAAAGTTAAGACAAGATAGAAAACCATGAGTGTCTGCTTGTTAATAATAGCATTTTTATAGCATACTTTATATCCTGCTCTGTAATCTCTACTACAGATGGAGCAGTATTATGTCCATATCACAGGGAGAAAACTGAAGCAGAGGGAATACAGGCACACATAAGGCCAACAACACCTTCATGGCAGAAGGGGATTTTAACCAGGGACTTCCCATTTCACATGATTTTTCACACACGGAGAAGGGAATTGCCTGCGGTTTCATGAAAGTGAAAACCAACACAGTAATTAGATTTCCCCAGTTCCTGGGAGAATTCTCAGAAATGTGGAAAAACAAGATTATAAATTGGATCACCTATATATGAAAAGGTATTAGAAAAACTGATGAGAAACAACTTCCTCATCAACTTTCATAAAATCTGATGTTTTTGTTTAGGAAAACCATTATGTTTTCATACCTCTTCCAATGTTGCAAACCTATTACTCAGGAAGGTGGATAAAGGAATAATATATAATTTTGAATTCAATTATCCTCAACTGAGGTAGTAAATTGGGAAACATGCTCAAGATCAAGGAATATATATGCCTTCATCAGTGTCAGCCACTTTCCTCATCTTAAGGGAGTTAAAATAATTAATTTGAGTGTTAATTGACTTAACGGTGGATAAAAAGTTTAATAGCAAATACTGGAAAAGATGTGGTCAGGATAGTGGCTTATAAACACAAGGCAATGCATGATAATTGAAGCATATGGGTATTAAAGCATGTTGGGGGATGGTGTTAGAGCATGGTCAATTAACCTATATATTGCTTAATTATTGGGATATTGTAAGCAATATATTTCCAGTAAATATATCTGATCCAAAATCTATTAGGAGCAACAAGAATTGTAATTTCATGGTAAAACAATAAATAATGAAGCTGTAACGACTGATAAACACCTATTATCTATGGATAAATAATGGTAAGGGTAGCGCTATTTAGGCCAATGAAGACAGAAGCTATTTTGAAGTTATTGGAATATGCATTGTGGACCTCAATTTATACATATAGCAGCGTGCATGCTCTTCTTGCTTTTGTGAAACTTGCAATATTTATTTTTTGGGGGTTATTCTGGATAAAGTTTAATAAAATTGATAGCATTAAAAATCTAATGGAGTTATATATAGACAGCTACAAGCATTCAGTTTGAATCTCTGGCTTAAAGTACTGCTGGAAAATAAGGATCCTGCAAGGAGATGTTTATCTACGCTTAAGGCAACTTGCTTCCAAACACTAGTACAGTGGTACCTCGGGTTACATACATTTCAGGTTACATAAGCTTCAGGTTACAGACTCCGCTAACCCAGAAATATTACCTCAGGTTAAGAACTTTGCTTCAGGATGAGAACAGAAATTGTGCTCTGGTGGCGCGGCAGCAGCAGGAGGCCCCATTAGCTAAAGTGGTGCTTCAGGTTAAGAACAGTTTCAGGTTAATAACAGACCTCCGGAACGAATTAAGTATGTAACCAGAGGTACCACTGTATTGGGATCAAAGGTCAGGTATGAAGTTTAAGTAGTGGACCAAAATTGGAGTCCATAACTCTTCCTGTGCCAAATTTACGAGCCAGCTGTTCTCTTCAGGGTAGCCTATTTGCCACCTGTCTATTGTTTTATACAGCACAAACTGACCCCAAATTGCTATTTTGGGACTCTCAAAGTGTCCATTTGGCATTATGTAGAAATATAGCTCAAGAGGAAATTCAAAAGTGAGCATGTGCCTTTAGTACCATTAATGCTAGGGTCCCTACACTGACGAGTCTCCTATTTAATCCTATCTGAATGTTTTTACTTTAGCAGCTAGCCACAATCATCAGTAAGATGGAGAAAGGGCAAACAGGCTTAGCACTTTTGCCCATAGCTGCCTAGGCTTAGAGGGCAAGTATCAAAAGGCACAAGGACAATGTTACTGCAGAGCCTGCACATCTGTAACAGCAGCAGCACATGCTCACACATGGGAGCTAGCTGCAGACAGCGCACAGAACACTTTGTGATCAGCAGAGAAGTTGCTACTGACTGCATTTATACAGGCCTCAGGACAAACTATCCAGAGAAGCCCCTTATCCAGCAAACTCCATATAGCTGTCGCCATAACTGATGACTACATGGAAATGATGCAAAAGCAAAACCCGACCCCTTTACCTCTGTCCAGTGATTCGAATGGTTCCAAGGGGTCCTCCAGTGGAGGAGGAATCCGAGAAGCATCTTCCAGACAACCACCTCCAGCATCAGGTTCCAAGACAGAAGCTTCCTGGCTAAGAGGCTCACCAACAGGAGAAGGACCACTGTAGCCACATATTTTCAACTCTGCAAGAGATTTTTGTTTTTAAAAGCTAATATTATACTTTCCACATCATTAAAAGGTCAGCCATCAATTAGAACCAGAGAAGTTACGCAAATGAACAGAACATCACAAAACAACTAATCAGCATAGATGGCAAAGTAAAGTCAGGAACTTTTGCCTTTTGTGGAACAAAGTGTCTGATGATGTCGCCAAAGCAAATCAATAACGTAACACTCCAGTGTACCTTGAAAGCTGCATCAGATAATGCCTTGTTGCTTGACAAAAGCACCCACTCTAAGAATAGCCTTTGACATGACACAGCAAGCTCCAGGTCCATGAGGTACTTCTGGGATTGCAAAGCTTTTTGAGTTAAGGTCCACATATACAGCTTATCTGTAGTCATGGTCTTTTGACACTGAACCAAAGTAAGTTATTCTGCTGCTCAAACACACCTCAACCTCATTCCTCTTCAAAGCTGATATGTGACTTGTATTTGCCTGAGTTCACACCCTCATTTTGCTTCCACAGGATTTTCCAAAAATCTATGAACAACACCAGTGTGGACTTGTCGCTCTCGTCCCCCTTAACTGCAGGTGCCTTCTGGTGACTTAAAGGGCAATTCATGATCAGCACAGGGCCTATATGACTGAAACTCCCAGGTATAAACTTAGGTGGTGGTAGTGGCAAAGAAAGATTGCTTCTCTGCCACCTCTGCATTTTCAAGTAGCTGTCCAGATTTTTTTTCAGGTGGCAAACTGGCCTTTGAAATCTGGCCAGAGCAGGAAGGCAGCAAGACAGCTAGAGGCCTCCTAAAGCCAAGTCTGATAGGAACTTGAAGTAGAAGGTTGTCTGGAATCACACTGAAGTAGACTCCATGGATAGGAATAGTCCGGGAGAAGCATCACCTCATATTAGCCTGCCCATGGACCAAGATCAGCAGGGGAGGCTCTACGTGTGATTTCCCTGCTAGGCCAAGTTCAGGGGCAGTGATGCAACAGTGTCTTCTCTTTGGTGGGAATGCATGTCTGGAATGTCCTCCCTTACGAGTTGCATCATGCACCATTATTTGCTTTTTGCCAGCAGGTGAAGACAGACCTGTCCGCCTAGACTCTGGGAGGGTTGGGGAGGATTAATATTGCGAGTCACCAATTTGAAATTTATTTGCTAGCTTTAATGAAACAGGGATGTTGAATATTCTAATCAGTAGTTTTAAATATTCTAGGTGCATTTGATTTTCGAGTAGTTAAAATCAAGTATTTTAATGATGTATATATTTCCACCCTCGGGCAACCAGTGAAGGACAGGTTATAAATATTGTAAATATATTTTTTAAAATCCAAGTGAAGCAGGCATAATGATTCATTCTCTCCATCACTGCTCCCTTAGCTAGAACATGCAATAGGGGAACAACCATAAAATTCTGAACTGTGAAGAATTTTAATGGCACTTGGCACAATGAGCAGGATCAACAAATCTCCATCCTAAGATGCTCTTAGATAATTACATTGTAATAAGACTCTCAGTCTAGCAAAGGCCCTGCCTTTTACCATAGCCTAATGATTAATACAGGCATGAGTGTGTTCTGGGGCAGACAGGCAGGGGTATCATATTGCAAAGGTAAGCTTCCTGGATAAAAAGTTTGGGTACCATTGGCAGTCATACCTGGCTGTGTGTTCTCCAGCTCCATGCTGCCAATCAATCTGGTGCCATTTTCTGAGACTGCCGAGGAGGTTTCCTTCACTGGCTCCTCATTGCCTGGTTCATCCTGCTGTGGTGAGAAGTCCTGGCTGCCAGAGCCAAGCATAGGGGAAGGCTGAGATGATGTGTAGAAGCTGGATGGGCCATTTTGCAGGATTTCAAAATTCTGATCATCAGGGAAAGAGTCATAGAGCTCTGTTGAATCAAAGTTAAGTCCCATGGTCCCTGGAGTGCCGTTTGCCCAGAACTCTTGCCCACTGCCACTTCCCCTCAGATTGGTGGTGTGCCCAGGTGAGCCTTGCCGATTACCTCCAGCAATACCGTTCAGTGGATACTGGGAGAACAGTGGGCTGTCCTTGAGGTTGTTGCCATTGCCAGATGGGTACTGAGAATAGTTCCAGAGATAGTCATAGGGGTGTTGGAGGTGTGAGTTGGTTGAGGAGCGGGTCCCTGAAGTACTAGCATGAGATACAGTAGATAAGCCATTAACATTCATATCTCCATTCAAACCTGTAAACAAAAGGAAGGAAAAAAGCTATTAAAAACTCACAACAAATGCAAGGAACACTGACTGAGGAGAAAGTTCTATCCACCTTTGGGCCTGTCTCTTTTTACAAAATAGGGGTGGGGGGGTGGGGAGATAAAACAAGACACAATGAAGTTGAGTAAATTGGATAAGAAATGTGTATTAGCATGTACTTTGAAGAAGAATTTTACAGTCTCTGTCCTCTTAACAGGCCTATGAGGTAGGTCACTATTCTGATTTTACAGAGGGGGCTCTGAGATTAATTCATCACACGGTCTGGGTTTAAGATCAGCCCAAGCCAACACTCTAGCACACCTCAAGATGGTTGAAGGGACTGAATGAAATAACTTCATGAACTTTGCCCTGAGCTCCTTGGACGGTGGGCAAGGCAAAAAGACACGTGCACACCTCAGTGCATCTACTTCTCTCATATGTAGTATTTGAACCCATTCCCTTTTTTGCCAAATCCCCCCCCCCAATTATTTCCTCCCCTTGCCTACTGATTTCTATTTTTTGCCACATTCTCAAGTCATGTTTCTAAGTTTTTCTTGGTAACTACAAATGATAAAAGATGCATTAGCCTTTAACAAATGTTGACATGCCCCCCTTTCTCCCCTCACCTCCCAATGTATGTAGTCTTTTCCACCTAGTATGTCTTCAGTATGGGAAGAGCTGTAATCAGGATGTATTTTCTTTCTTGTCTTCTGGAAAAAGATGATGCTAATTTTGATCCGTTTCTATCCTTAATCAATGAGGACTGCAATGGCTGGGCTGACCTTTATAGTGCTACTATTTCTGGGGTGGCTGTATCTGTACTTATTCTAAAGGTTTTTGGAGGAAACTTTATCGGAATCTGAGTGGAAAAGGTAAAATAGGTGGTAGCAGCTAGGGACTGCAAACTAGACAGGGTCCTAACAGCCAAAACGGCAGAGGCCCACAGAACAACAGAAGCAGCAACAGAAGTGGAGTGTTGGTCTGTTTTGAAGACCTTTACCCTGTATGACCAGATAGACAGAATTCTAGAAAGGCTACTGGCTCCTTGAAAGCCAGTGGGGAGAACATTTCTGGATAAAGAAAATGGGGTAACCCCGTTTTATTTTTTGAGCCTAGGTGGAAAAGAGGGGATATGGGGGAATGACGTCTTGGTCATTGATTAGAACTACTATCAATCAAAGACAAAGCAGCATTTCCATGCTCTAGAAGGAAACTGAAAAGTGTTTCATCCTCCCATACTTGTATTCAGTAGGCATCTTAAGGAGAAAAAGGCAGCCAGGTTAGGCTCCTCTTTTGAGCTAAGTAGTGTCATAACCCAAGCAGACTCTCTCCTTCCAATGTAGCTAGAAAGATCTTCAACATCTATAAAGGGGAAGAGGAAAGGACAACACCATTTCCAACCCTCTCCTCCAAACAAGGAAGTGAACCTAAAAAGGTGTTTTTTCCTGAAAACTCTTCAATTTACAGTTACCTTCTTTATTTCTTGAAGTGCCTTCTTAAAGAGTGGTCATATTGCAACATCTGTAAATTGGGAATGTTTTCAGGAATACACACTTTTACTTCAGCAGCTTTTGAGATTTGCCTTAGGTTGTTGCTGTTTTTAAAATATGTTCTCCAATCCCCAGCTCCTCTGTGCACTCTTTGTTAGTTTACAAGCAATAGCCTCACTTTAATATTCTGCCAAATTAATTAATTAAAATTAATAAACCTTTGGGAAGCAACACCACTACTGAAGAAATTATGCAAGGTCAGATAAAAACTGCACACTGGGAAATGCCTTACACAGATTATCCTAAATCTTCACAAGCCCTTCCAAGCTTGCTTTAACTGAATTCTAACATATTTGAAACAGCAACAACTCTTGAGCCCAGATACATGCAACTCAGCATGCTAGCAGAAACCAGCGCAAGGGCTTCCACAAGCACAACAGGGCTTCCCCCCCGCTTCCTCCCATATGCTCAAGAGCAGGGGTCAGCAACCTTTTTCAGGAGGGGGCCGGTCCACTGTCCCTCAGACCTTGTGGGGGGCTGGACTATATTTTCGGAGGGGGGGAGGAAATGAACAAATTCCTATGCCCCACAAATAACTCAGAGATGCATTTTAAATAAAAGGACACATTCTACTCATGTAAAAACATGCTGATACCCAGAAGGTGATTGGGCCAGATCCGGCCCCCGGGTCTTAGTTTGCCTACCCATACTCAAGAGGGTCAGGAGAATCCCCAGAACAGAACACGGTGGGGGGGGAGGGGAGAGTATTCCACCTAGCAAGAAGAAATGCTTGAACTGACAGAACGTTCAGAAGAGTGCAAAGTTGAATTCCTCCCATGTTTCATTCCCAGCAGGCAAACAGCACTCATCTGAGTTTTTACTCCATGACTAGCCTTAATTCTTTCTCCCACCTTTAACAGTAAGAAAGAAAATATCAGATTTTCACATCATATCCAGTTGTGCTTTCGCAGTGGCCTGTGAGAATACAGACAACTTTGCCTGTTGCTGTGGTATTCAAGTTCCTTACACTCCTCCTGAGGCACAACCATCATCCACACAGTTCTCCTTACCATTCTGCAAAGAGATACTCAGAAAAGAAGTGGAACTTCAATCTATAAAGGCAAGGGCTAGCAGTGTTTGCTATAAGACCATGTATGATCAATGCTGATGCCTGTCACTAAGGTCAAAAGACCCAGGTCCATTGCCCCACACTTACTTTTCCCTTGCTGAGGGAAGTTCATGGGAGATCCATTTGTGTAGACATTGTCCCCTGAGGAAGGCGCAGGTTTCTGTCCTGAGGCAGCAGGTGAAGAGGGAAGGCCAGTGAAATTAAAATGGTTGTTCGCCTCCATTTCTAAGGAGAAAAGAAAATGCAAAAGATGCAACAGAAAGTTAAAGTCATTACATAGATGCTGCTTTTCACAGACAGCAGTGAAAAAATCCCCCAACATAACATGTTAGCCAGTGACTAAACAAAAGATACCAAGACATTTAGTGTTTTATCACATCTTATCCCAATAATCCTTAGAACAAGATATAGTGGTACTTTGGTTTACAACCATAATCCATTCCAGAGGTCCATTTGTAAACCAAAACAGGTTGTAACCCAAGGCCCGCTTTCGCCAAGGGGGCCTCCAAATTTTTTTGTTCGTAATCCAAAAAAAGTTTGCAAACTGGGACATGCACTTCCGGGCTTGATGTGTTTGTAATCCAAAACGTATGCAAACCAGACTGTTTGCAAACCAAGGTACCACTGTATTGTAAGATAAAACAATACTATTATCCCCATATTGGAAATGGGGGGCAGGCTGAGAGAGAATGGCTTACCTATGGCCAGTCAGGTGGTGCACTAGTGATTTCCTGGCTAACACCTCAGTCTTGCAGCTACTATGCTACACTAGCTCTCGAAATTAGCAAGCAGGTCAGATGCTATACCAATAGGACAGTTAGTTTAATGTCCATATATTTAAAGCCATTGTGTCCCTTTTGATAAAACCCAGGCTTTCATCAGAAACTGTGCAACTAAGTTCAACATTGACTGATTGATCTCTGCCTCTTAGGAGAAAGGGAAATTTCCCCAAACACACAATGTAAGTCCTCACATTGAAATCCTTATAAGAAAAATATACCATATTTTTCTGTCTATAAGACACCCCCATGTATAAGACGCCTCCTATTTTGGGGGACTCAGATTTAAGAAAATGGGGGGGGGGAGATGGCCCAGAGTATAAGACGCCCCCTAATATTTGACATTATTTTTTAGTAAAAAAACCTAGTCTTATACATGGAAAAATACGGTATGTCATGAGGTGACCAGCAGCACCAATTTCAACTTATCTTGAATGGGGAAAGTTCAGCCAGGGGTTCTGAAATCCACTCAGGCACTCCATTCTAACACCAGAATCTATTTAAACACATCTCTTTTGCAAGCTTCAGGGTTATTCTCACTTAGCTATCAAATAGCAATATGTCCACAGGATGGTTCTTAATATGTAGTTATAAAGTCCACTTGCCACACAAATAGGCCCCTAAAATGCTTTCCTTGGAGAGGAAACCTAAGGACCAAACAGTTCTGGAAAAGTGATTAAAAGACTCCATTACTACTGAGAAAGAGGGATTCAATGTATTAATGCAGGGCCGTTCCTCTTTTAAAAACATTTTACTGAGCAGGCTGACTGCAAAGTCTCTGCTCCTTCCGTGGCTTTCTAGGCCTCATGCACTGCAAAGTAGTATGTGAAAATTCCTCATCAGATGATGCAAGCTTTACCAAAGCATCACCGCCCCCGCCTAGCTAGTCATTTTCTCATTCCACAGGGATGCAGATGAACTTTCGCCTCTCTGCAGCTCTGGGAAAAAGCCACCATTTCCTGTTACAGAAATTAATGCACTAAATAGATGCACTGTTCAAAGAAGCTGGATGAAAATAAAGCAGAGGGCATAATCTCTTGGCATGGGGCCTAGTCCATTCCCTGCGTGTCCAGTGGGACATCTGTGGCTCCCAAACATGGCATTCCTACCAGCTTCAAGCAGGACCTTTCCCTCCCCACCCCTTTGAAATAGAAGACTATAGAGAAAATGCTCAAGGCAGGTCTGGACAGCTGCCAAGGAAGGCAACACATGGATGAATGAATGAGGATGGAGTGTAAGCTACAGATTCAGACCAGTCTGACAATATACATCTTCTGCATAAGTAAGCACGTACATCACAATAAGTCACCAAGGAAACTTCCTTACTAAAATAATTACAGCAGCCACAGTTTATATTACATCTTGAATCCAGAAGCTTTGCCATGAAGCCTCGCTATTAAATAATACTTCTTCCACTCAAAGCTCAGAACAAACTTCAACAAACCTTTAATATAGTGTGGCATCCTGTATATATAAAAGTATGAACAGTAGAAAGATATGACACTTGCACTTGGGCGACTCCTATGGAATGACCTAATATTAGGATACCCCTCAAAAATAATGATGACACAGGTCCATTTACTTAACAGGAGAGATGACACCAACCCTCTCAAACAGTTCACAGTCTGAGAACAAACACATTAAAAGGAAAGCCATGGTTATCTTTCCTCCCCCTCCTGTATTTGCTATTTGTTTCAAAAGTTTTACTGAACCTAGTACCTACTTCATAAATTTTGGCACTAAGAATAGTTGCCCATCCTGTGTGCCTCCTCAAGACAGAACCAATACAGTGGTACCTCGGTTTACGAACTTAATCTGTTCCGGAAGTCCATTCTTAAACCAAAACTGTTCTTAAACAGAGGTGTACTTTTCCTAATGAGGCCTCCTGTCGCCGGTGCCCTTCCACTGTTTGGATTCCATTCTTAGACCGAGGTAAAGTTCGCAATCCAGGACACTACTTCCGGTTTTGTGGAGTTCGTAAATGAAATTGTTTGTAAACAGGACTGTTCTTAAACCGAGGTACCACTGTACCAGGAATGGCTACCTGTCATGGTCAATGAACTCTGCTTATATGAAGGCAGCTGTGCCATAAGCATACAGTGAACATTAAGAATGACAGATAAAAGCTATATGGGGGGGGGGGGACAAAAGGGAAAATAATGGAAAGGCTTTTAAGAAGAAAGCTACAGAGAAGAGGACAAAAACCACCTAGCACATTCCACAGAGAAATTTCCCCCTGCTACTGTAGTAGTGGTTGAAAGAGAGCTAAGCAGTAGGGTGTGGGCTCCTCCTCTCTAGGCATGTGCATTCCTTCTGAGGGGTGGGCTCCATAAGCCAAAAAAGTTGCAGCCTTAACTCTAGAAGCGTCTCAATATTGCTTAAAACATACACCGTACCCCCCATCTGTATGCTTGAACAGAAAACATGAACAGCACCTTTCCAAATGCCCTTGCACAGGGACAGAGCTTAGAAATGCTTCACTACCTGGAAGGAAAGTGCCAGTGACCAAAATGTAAAGTCAAAAAGTCATTTAGAGAGATAAAACCAGAATGCAGAGCTGCTTCTTTTTCAGAATCTTTATTTCTGCCAAGCTGACATACTTAGATAATTGACCAGGTCAAAATCAATCACCCTGCCCTTTTCTCCCCAGGAAGTAATCATTGTCAGAATCAAATTTATGTACCCAAACCAGGTGTAAAAATAAATAAACTAAATGTTAATGAAATACGCATTTCATCCATAGCTTCTGCTTCACTGCTTCAATCTCCCTCACATCACGAAGCTTCTCTCTCCCACACACACCTCTATTACTGCAATGTCATGCCAAGCTCCACCACCTAAACTGCAAGGCTTCTGTAGCTGCAGAGATGGGGGTGGGGAAAGGCTTCTACTAATAGCAGCAGGGAAAATGCCTTTCCCTCAACTCAATATGCACTGTCAGGAATCATCTCTGCAACACACTAAGGCCACCTATTCCACTTGCTGCTCCCCTTTCAAAAAGCAATGGATCCTACCCTGACAGTGCACAGCAGCTGAGTTGAACCATAAAATTACTGTGAATATCCCTTTAAGGGACAGGGTAGTAGCAGAAAAGGCAGCTGCTGCTCCAGCACAGGGACAAACAGAGCTGGAGCTGAGGTGAAGTGCTGGGAAGGCCTTGTAATTAAAGGGGAAGGCAGAATGGTTTGTTAGGAAAGAAGCCAAGCAAAATGGATGAATTAATTGCAGCCAACAAGAATGACTGAAACAGTTTAAAGGGAAGGGGTGTGGTTTGACAGGAGCTGCACATGCCAGAATAACACGGAACAGCTGATATAGACAGAGGTCCTATTTGTAAATATCTCAGGCCTATGTCTCTCATGTGATCCCAGCAGAAGCAGATGTTTCAAATGTATGAAAAGGATGGGAGCAGGGAATCCTATAGCCTGAGAAAGTGGCAAAGGATGAAACCATAGTCGTTCATTTCTCCCCGTGGGCAGGGCAAGTAGTTAATAGTATGTACAGATGGGTTACAGCCTTGTCGAGTCAGGGCCTCTTCTGTTTTTAACTATTCTTAGTGAATGGGTGTGGAGTTTGATGCATACTCATGCTCTCCAGCCACAGAAATGAAACACTCTGCCTACAAGTTTAAGACCTCCTGTCCTAAGCTGTCAAAATGTGCTTCAGACAATGTGGTCAGTCCTACTTTGAGAGTCCTACCTCCATACTTCACCATAAAATGCTCTTCTTGCCCTAGCAGAAATTAACAACAAAAACCTTGATTTTTTAAAAAAAATCACATTAAGTACTTTTCATGTAGAATTTCTTTTTCTTTTTACAGTAACGTATTTGTAAGACTACAAATTGGGAACAGGAGTTAAATTAGGTGCACCATCTTATTAAAGCTTTCTTTTTATGAAAGAGGGAGGTCCTGGGTATGTTATGACATTTGTGAAAGATTACCATTGGTTGAGGCCAAGAAGAATCTAGAACCTTTTAACCAGTAACTGTTTTTCAGTTGCTGAGGACTGCCAAGTTCTATATCTGTGCAATGCAACCAAGCCCCTGTAAACACAAAAATGTCTTAAAATGTATGAGGAGCCTGTGGCTCTCTTGATGTTGTTCAACTCTGGCTCCCATCAACCCCGGGCAGCATGGACAACATTTAAGGATGAAGAGAGTTGTAGATCAACAACTTTAGGAAGGTCACAAGCCATGCCCCACATCTGTGCTTTAAAATATGGGCCACGTGATTTAATTTGCAGGAAATACAAGATGAAAAGGGATCGTGGATAGACTTCTTTTAGGAAGGCTGCCATAATTTACCTCTCAGTGACAATATATCTGTTAGTAACCTTACACTGTTTGGTTTTCCATGGTTATGTTGCTTCACTTGAAATCCAACAAAAAGGAAAGGGAGAATGCTCTGTGAATGCAACCAAGAATGACCCACTAACAAATACCTCAGGATAAATGGTGTACTCTAGGCAGTACTCTAGGCAAATCATAAAATAAGTATATACTTGAGAACTATATGTAAGTGTGACACGTATGAAGATTATTTGTGGGGCATAGGAATTTGTTCATTTCTCCCCCCCCAAAAAAAATATAGTCCTGCCCCCCACAAGGTCTGAGGGACAGTGGACTGGCCCCCTGCTGAAAAAGTTTGCTGACCCCTGCTTTGTAGCTTCCCATTTTGTGAAGTTAGAATATATATGACTGCCTCTTTAAATTCCATGTAACTTTAAAAAGAAGGTGGTGATAACCCTAAACTACAGGATCTTGTGCCAACTGGCTGCTGGGGAATAGGGCTAATCTAGCCAAGGAGTTTAGGGAAAGCCAGAAACAGAAACCAAATCTGATTAAAAAGGACATTTCAGAACGCAACAAACACAGCTGCCATTTCCCGGCCAGTTCCTGCAAAGTTGGGGGAGGGAGCAGAGGAAAGAGGGCTGTTTGCATCAAAATGCTGTAAGCAGGGGAAGAGACAGCTCTGGTCTCCCAGTCACCTCACTGCCAGTCACCGGGGATTCCCTATGCTCACACCCCACCTCCACACATACACAAAGGGCTCTCTCAGCCCTAACCATCATCCAGCCAAACCACATTTGCAGCCTCCCTCATGGTACTAAGATCTTGGCCTCTCAACTTCCGAAATACCCAGAAGACTGCCATCAGAAATTGCCCCATACCACCTACATACAAATAACACTTCCTGTACACATGCTAAATAAACCTCCAGTATCAGAAACTATATTTGATGGGGACCCACAGTAACTAGAAAATCCTTCCGGTGCCCAATATGAAAACTAGGGCAGACCCAAATTTCGGAGCCATAATCCCCGATTGTAATCTCCATCCACAAAGCAGAATTCCTGGGTTTTCTTCCACAGACTTGTCATAAAGGCATTTCTGTCTCCAAACACCAGCCCTGTTCAGGATATTAATGACTTGTGTATGTGCTAATAAGATTCCCAGGTATCTGCATCCTTGTTTACAAACCATTCTCTCCACAAGCGGCATCACCAAATTTAGAGATCCCTAAAGGGAAGCCAGGATTCCCGGGTCACGTCCCTACTCCCAAGAAGGGAACGACCTTTTCTCGTCGATCTAGTGGGATCCTTAGCGAAGCCCACAGATCCCATCTTCCCACAGCCTTATCTCCTCAGACTCAAGGACCTGCAGCCCTCCTCGCCGCCATGGAAGAAGAGCTGGAGCGCAGGGAGCGGCCCCGCAAAACTGGCCGCCACTCTTTCGAGGCCAACTAAGGGCACCCGACAAAACGTTCAGGGCGCCTTTCCCCCAACTTCCAAGTGGAGTTAAAACACATCCAATTCCCACCTCCTATACACTAAGCCACAACGCCAACGCCGCCGCCGCCGCCATTCTTCTCCGGGAGCAAAACCCCAAACGCTTCCAGCCCAAAGGCCAGGCCTTGCCCTTCTTCAGTTCGCCTGCGGAGGTGAGCGAAGCGGCGGCCACGCTCCCCTCGCTCGACGCTGCCGCTACCGGGACTCGCCAGCCTCCTCCTCCTCCTCCTCCTCCTCGACTACCGCGCCATGCCGGGCTGGGGAAGACGGGAGCCCCGCCGCATCGACGTGAGGGCGAGAGCCGGTGCCCCGCGGGGCCTGCTCCCAACTCCAGCCCGTCGTCGTCGTCGTCCCCACACGACTCCTGAGAGAAGTTGGCGCGGCGCTTCGAACACGCGCAGCCCCCGGGAGGCGTTATGTCTTCGGCAACGGGCTTCTCCTCCCCCACCGAAGGAGCCTCTTTTCTCCTCAGGGCTTTTGGGGTGGGGGGGAGGGGAGGAGGAGGAGGAGGCCCCCTGTCTCACCCCAAAGCGGGAGCGCTTCGTGTCCTCCCTCACACTCCCTTGCCTTCCTCTCCTGACTAGGCCTTCGCCCCTCACTTCGGGAGAGCGGAATGAGGGAAACCAACCGCCGCCGGCCGCCCTCCCCCACCTACGATGAAACTTGCTTCGCTCCCTCCCCCCCCCCCCACAACGACTCGGGCCAAACTTCTCTCGGCTCCCCCTCAGGGGCCACGTCTTTCTCATACGCACCTTCCCTTCCCCCCCCCGCCGCCGTCCGCATTTTGGTTCAGCCCCACGCATTACTCTCTCTTTCCTCACCCCACCCCCACCCCTCGCGCGCGCACCTCACACTCCGGACGCCTCACCTGAGGGAGGTGTCAGCCGGCTCTTCACATGGCCCCGCCGCGCTGAGGGAAAGGTCGGACCCCGCGCCGCAGCATGGCCTGCGGGAAAGGGTGGGCGGCGGCGGCGGCGGCCACCGGCTGAGGCTGGTGCGAGGGGAGGAGGGTGGCGCAGGCCGAAGCCGCACCAGGCGAGGCCGTCGTCGTCGTCGTCTCTGGCCAGGAAGCCGAGCTCAGCCAACGAACGAGCGAAGGAGAGAGCGCCGGGGCGAGCGTCGTCGGCTGCGGCGCCTCGCCGCCGGGTCCTAGCGCCCCGCCGTCGCCGCCGTGACCGCGCCAAGGCTTGACCCGGCAAACACCGCCGCTGAGGAGAGGGAAGGGGAGGGGGAGCGACCGGGGTTCCTCGGCGGGAGACCCTCCAAATAAACGAACACGTAACCAGATGCGTAAAGGCGTAGCGGGTAAAGTTGGCTGCGGAAGCGGAGGGAAAGCCCTGCGAAGGGGGTGGGTGGAACTGGAGAAAAGGACCTTGCTCGGCTAACACCGTGCAACTTCAGCTCCGGGCGAAAGGGATGCCCACGTTTCGTGTGGATCTGGGTTCGATTCCCGGCCTCTCCAGTAGGGTTTGGAAGAAGAGCCTCCTGCCTTCGACCGTCTCAAGGGCTGGCCACGTGGGAAAAGGTAACAAGCTTGTTGTCTCCTGCTCTTCTGGAGGGTAGGACTCGAACCCGCGGCTTCAAGTTGCAAGGAAGGAGAGAGGATACCAGGAAGAACTTTCTGGAGGAAGAACTTTCTGGCAGGAAGATCTGTTCGACAGCAGAACGGTCTGCCAAAGGAGGTTATGGGCTCTCCTTCCTTGGAGGTTATAAAGCAAGAGGTTGGGTGGCCAACGGTCATGGATGCTTTAGCTGAGATTCCTGCTTTGCAGTGGGTTGGACTAGATGACCCTCCAGGGTTTTCCAAATCTACAATTCTATGAAACCCTGAGGAGAGCCATTGCCACTCAGAGGAGCAGGCCTGGCTCAGTATAAGGTTGCTTCCTACTGCCCTTTGAAAATGCCTTATCTTAAGTCAGGGGTGGCTAACCTGTGTTGCTGAGCTGCAATACTAGACTACCCAGGGCAAGGGAGTACAGTGGTACCTTGGGTTACATACGCTTCAGGTTACAGACTCTGCTAACCCAGAAATAGTACCTCGGGTTAAGAACTTTGCTTCAGGATGAGAACAGAAATCGTGCTCCAGCGGCGCAGCAGGAGCTAAAGTGGTGCTTCAGGTTAAGAACAGTTTCAGGTTAAGAACGGACCTTCAGAACGAATTAAGTACTTAACCCTAGGTACCACTGTAAATGGGATGGGGTGATGTAGTCCAGCAACATCTGGAGGGCAACAAGTGAGCCGCCCTTGAGCTGAATGCACACCATATGTTTAAAGAATCCTAGGTACCGTTGCTCACCTCATAGAGCTACAATTCCCAGCACCCTTAACAAACTACAGTTCCCAGGATTCTTGGGGTGAGTGTGCTTTAAAGGTATGATACGTACACAAGCTTGATTTAAGCATTTGTATGCCACCTTTCTGGGCTAGCGTCCTCTCATTCCATGCTAGGGTGGGACGGGAGCGGTTAAGGATAGGCACACTGTACCTGCTCTGAGTGTCTACCTACAAAGGTTTGCCATCTGCATTCACATTACTTGGTGAACAACACAGCAGCCGTTGCAATGATTTGCATGTGTGAGTGAACCATCACTGGTTAAACGCTACTCATATATATACTTTAAACACAGCAATCTTGGTGCAGAGGCTAGACTAGAGGGTTGGCTTTTTCAGAACCCAAACCTGGCCTTGAACTCTAGCTTGGGATTAACCTAATGCAAATGTGCTTTATGGGGATAAAAACAGGGAGAAGCCATGTAAACACTAAAGATACGGTTGCAAATCAAACTGTCAAATGATGGGAAAGCAAATGATGTGCTCCAGCTCTCAGTTTCTCTCTGTTGTTAACTTCACCTGTTCAACGGCCGCATCCTGGCATTCTGTAAACAAGTTTCAGGGCAAAACCCTAGTTTGATGTGGAGTGTCTACAGCAGGGGTGGGGAACACATAGTTCACATTGGTGGACTCCGCTCCTAGCACGCATGCGCAATGGTCAGGTTTAGTGAGAATTGTAGCCCATATGTTCCTCACTTCTGGTCTAGTTGAGAGGGAGGAGTGGTGATTTTTTTTTTTTTTTTTTTTTTTTTTTGAGTGAGGCATGGTAGATGGAGGGGGACAATGCTAAAGCAATATGGGGGAGAGAGCCCGATTACATGACAATAGTAGCTTCTCATTTTTTAGATGTATGCCTGTGGGATTTATGTCAGCGTGGACAGTGGCTAGGAAGATGGGAGTAAGGATGCTGTAGCGCAGAAGGCTCATATTGCTGCTGTGTTGTTGCTGCTGGAATGGCATTTACTAGGATTGTGGTCACCAAGTGGCAAGACTCTTGAGAGTGCAAGAATGCACTCTCAAGAGAGTGCAAGACTCTTGAGAGTGCAAGATGGACTGCAAGAAGATCAAACCTATCCATTCTGTAGGAAATCAGCCCTGAGTGCTCACTGGAAGGACAGATCCTGAAGCTGAGGCTCCAATACTTTGGCCACCTCATGAGAAGAGAAGACTCCCTGGAAAAGACCCTGATGTTGGGAAAGATGGAGGGCACAAGGAGAAGGGGACGACAGAGGACAAGATGGTTGGATAGGGTTCTTGAAGCTACCAGCATGAGTTTGACCAAACTGCGGGAGGCAGTGGAAGACAGAAGTGCCTGGCGTGCTCTGGTCCATGGGGTCACGAAGAGTCAGACACGACTAAACAACAACAAATGCCGACCAACATTAAAGAAAGATTCCTTCATTTGAAGGAGCAACAAGACTAAAAGGAAGATGGTTGATACTTATCAAATTAGAGGAATGACCCGGCTCCTTGTTTTGCCCACAGACGGCAACAAAGGGAGATTAATTAATTAATTAAATTTACAGCCCACCTTTCATTGATACCAATACCAGGGCAGGTCACATCCAAAATAAATTACAACAACCAAGTGAATTAAAAAGCAAATTCATCAAAATACAAAACAGGTGCAGCTTAAAAACCAACAACCCAGCGAAGGCTAAAATGATCACCCACTAAAGAGTTAAGATAATTAAGATACCTGAGCAAACAAATGCTGTGAATTGACACAATAGCAATGTCAGCACCTGTTGTACTTGTGAGGAGGGCATTCCACAGACCATGGAGAAGGTTTCACTTCTTAATGCACATGGGAAAGAGCAAGGGGGGGGTGTCACGAGGGAAGGCATGCTTTTCGATGTCATTGCACTGAAATAAATGGGAGGCTCTCGTGTGGGAGGGTAGAAGGAAAGCCAGAGAGAGCCCAGGATGAGAACCTTATTTCTGAGGTCATTGTAGAAATATAGAAATGGGTGTTAAACAACTTGCCAGACAATCTGCAAGATCGAAGTGTAGTGACAGGTAGTTCAGCAGAGGCACATGAGGGATGTTCATATTAAAAAAACTGATGGAGGAAAGAAATTTCACAAGATAGGCCTTTTGATGCCAGGAGCATGAAGGTGTAGTTACCAAGTTACAGGGGTCAGCACCCTGAGTCCAAAAAACAATACAATGAGGAAGAATTTCTGTAGGCTGGTGATGGAGCGCTCTACATATTATTAGTTCTTTGGGCTGACTCTTCAGCTCAGGAGTTACAGTGGTGCCTCGCAATACGAAATTAATCCGTTCCGCGTCTTGCGTTTTTTCGTCTTGCGAAGCACGGCTATTAGCGGCTTAGCGGCTATTAGCGGCTTAGCGGCTTTAAGAAAAAGGAAACAAACTCGCAAGAACTCGCAAGACGTTTCGTCTTGCGAAGCAAGCCCATAGGGAAACTCGTCTTGCGGAACGACTCAAAAAACGGAAAACTCTTTCGTCTAGCGAGTTTCTCGTCTTGCGAGGCATTCGTCTTGCGGGGCACCACTGTATAACATTATCTTCTGCTGCACTATAAGCGCCATCTCTGGATGTGACCAAGAAAAATAAAGTTTATGTGCCTATCTCCCCTAAAATGTACACTCACCATGGGCTTGGGAGTTCCGTCAACATATATTTGTCTCAGCACACTTTTATAAAAGTGAATGAGAGATTATTTGTTCCATTCCTCTCACATATGATGTTCCTCGTGCTTTTTTTTTTTTTAATGTGCCTTTGCTGCTTTGTGTGCCCACTGTGACATTTTAGTTAGTCCCAATAAAGGGAAGTGACTTTATTTTAGATGAACATTTTATACTGGTGAAAAATGACATGTATCAAACTGTAGCTGTGGGAAAGACATATGAGGGAAAGTGTCTTAATTTTCTGTTACGAAAGGTCAAGTCTCTCAACCATGTGCAATTTCCTCCAATATGTCTTTGGTTTTCCTTTCTTTTCTTTTTTGGCTGCTTATATCCCCTTAGTGCTTCAACCTTTTGAAGTATGTGTGTGTATGTGTGTGTGCGCGTGCGTGCGTGCGTGCATGCGTGTGCGTGTGCTGCTTTAAAGCAAATGATGGAGCTAAACTTCCCCTACTGAGTTCCAAGTTTCTGAAAACTTGATAGCCTCAATCGCAATTTTGTGGGCGGCTGCTTCACTTTATGACACTCTGATCTGTATAGTTCTAGGATTAACACAATTCACAGGCTGAAGTGCTAGCAAATCTTTCAAGGCTGGTATACTCTGAACAGCTTCTGACAAGCCCACACAACGGAAGACGCGTACGTTGGGCCTTCAAAGCTGCGATGCTCTCCCCTGTGCAGATACGCTCCACTCCCTGCCAGCTCTGGCGTTGCAGCACTTGTGGTTATTAGGAGACTGGAGCTGCCAGAGCCCTGCCAGCTCCTCCCTGAGATGCAGAGGCCAGCATCAACAGAGCCCAAAAATTACATCTCTTGTGGCTGCAGGACAAGCTGAGCCAGAGGACAAGGGGAAAGACACCAGAGGGCAGATGGAGGACACAGGAAGAACACACACACACACAATCCCACAAACAGAAGAGATTGATAGAAAAATATATACATCCCTGTGCTCTCGCCCTGCCCAGAAAGGGTAATAGGGAAATCCAGAATTTACAGGGAGCACAGATATTTGGGGGGGGGGGGGAGGAATGAGACAGAACAAACCTTCCCCAGTTCCCAATTAGCTCCATTCTGTGCTGAATCCAGGCAGCTGAGTCAGCCAGACGCAGCAAAACAACTCATCATTGTTATCTAGCCTCAGCTCAGCCTCCCACCTCAAAGCGTTGGAAGCCAGTCATTAATTAATCATTGTTTAGGGGTTTGGCTGTGCTCTGCTGAAGGAGAAACTGAGGCACAGATTGCCGCGGTGCGGCCCGGCACTCTCATCAAGGTCTCACGCAGTCAGCAGAAGGAGGGAGACTCCAGGGTCACAGCGCTGCCTGCTCCCTCTTATCACATGCTCACAGTAGCTCTGCAGGCTTTGCTGAAAGTCGTATTTGCAGTCCACTCAAGGCTGGGTGCAAGCATTTATGGAGAGATCCTTTACCTGCAAATGTGCCGCCCCCTCCTCCACCCACCAAGCAACTTCTACCCCCAGGAGGCTTTGAAGACAGCCTTTGCCAACTTGTGCCTTCCAGGTGTTTTGGAAGACAACACACATCAGCCCCAGCCATCACAGCTTAATAGAATCCTACCACGTAGGTCCTGGTACCTGGAGTGATGTCAATGGATAGGCAAATGAAACATTTGCAGAAGAACACAAAACATCATATTTCTTGGGGCTGAAGAATTGAAAGAGCCCTCTCATTTTATTTTATTTTTTAAAAACCCACAACACACCATCATTCTGTTCCCCGCTTCCACAAAACATGAAGGTGTTAAAAGCGTATTTGCCACTCCAATATTCCAGTAAGGAATCCAAGCTCTCGAAATCATAATCCACTAGCAATAAGTTAAAGCTGCCAAGAAGGCCCACAGCATCACCACTGTGAATCAGGCTACCGCAAAGAGAAATAAGCCTGTGGTTTAGGATGTAACCCTAAATACAATTTACCTGGGTGTGAGTCCCATTTTTAACTCAGTGGGACTTGCATAGGATTGCACCGTAAGGGAGAACAGTCAATGTCCCATTGGAATCAACACTGACTTCTTTTTATTAATCTGGATTATACCTGCATCTGTACCATTATGTACTCTACTGCCCTATGTATTCTGAACTGAGAGCTAAATACATTTGTGAACTATTGTGTAAGATGCCTGATGTGGATGGTCGAGTGAAGATCACATATTTGCTGTCTCGATCCAGTAAGTTCATGAGTTGCAAGATTCGCGGTTGCAGCCCCAAAACTGAGAACGTTCAACAATATGGTGGACTGTAAAGACTGATCGGTAATGTAATATAGAAACTTCTATACATTAAAATTCAAACCTACACAAATATGTATAACTCGGTTATCACTGTATTTTAACAGGGTATCTATGCATATTCTATGCACAGCATGCATATCATACTCCCCCCCCCTTTTTTTTTGGTTGCAATGACCAGGATGGTCGCAACAACAAATAAACTTTGACTTGATACCCAACATTCCCGCCCCCAAACACGCAATGCAATGCAATGCAATCTCATTCATCTATTAAAGGTAAACCCCACTGATTGCAATGCTTCTTCCTCCCAGGTAAATAAGTATAGGATTGCAGTTGCAATTTCGTTAAAAGAGAATATGGGGGGGGGCCCTAACTTGCCAGGAAGTCAGGTCATCTGCCTCACAAAGAGGAAGCAATGCTTCTGAATACCAGTTGTTGGAAAACACAAGAGCAGACGAGTGTTCTTGTGCTTAGATCCTGCTTCCAGGTTTCTGCAAAGGGATAGGTAAGACCAGGACTAGACAGGCCATTGGTTTGATCCATCAGGGTCTTCTAACGTTCTTATAAGCCCCCACCCTTAATGCTGACTAAGTGGTGGCAGACTGTGGCTTCAGTTATGAGGAAAAGACACTCTATGCACACACAAACGTGCCTCTCTTTATTTCATCTCCTATTTCGGGACAACCGTGCTGTTGAAAATAAAGGTCAACAGCACAAAAATCTCAGCTTTGAGGCTTAAAATACGATAATTTACAGCCCAAGTCTTTCGGACAGACATGCAATTATTTTGTTTTAACAGCAATGTTCTCTGGAGATGCAGCACATTCTGGAGTCTTGGCGCTAACAGCAAACAACACAACGTACCCTCAGTCATTCAGACACCACACAGATACAAGGGCACTGTCCTTGTAGGAGGAACACCGAGCCAGCGCCGAGTTCCTAGCCGCACAGGGTTCCAGTGACCTTGTGGGTGGGAAAACAAGGGATATCCAGCCATTTTAGGAATGCACGCCTACATGAGGTCACCATCCAAATACTTCCTCTCCCATGCAGATAATGTAGTTCTAGCCGTGAAAACACAGTGGCTCATCTTCCAGCCTGGGGCCATTCACCACTTGCCACTAATAATCCCAGTCTGCCCAGCACCTCCAGAACCAGACTCCCTGCAGGGGGTGCTGGGATGAACCAGACAGGCCCATTAAAGCAAAAGCAGCCAGCACTCAGATCCCTTTTAACCCAATGAGTGAAGCAAGAGAAATTTGCCTGTCTCCTTTGCTGGAGGCAAAAGTAGGTTATGGAGTGAGTTGCAGAAATCTTCCTGTGTTCACTAGCGTAGGGTGGGGGATGGAAAAGATCTGAGAGGCTGGCTGGCTGGCAGAGGGAAACACAAAACAGATGCAGGAGAAAATCCCATTGCTTCTCTTCTCCCCCCCTCCCCATACACAAATATATGCCTGTCCATGCTATGACTCAAAAGTGTGACATGTTTGGATGGAGACGTGATGCCTGTTTGCCAACACTTGTCTGTGACAACATATTTAGATCTGTACAAGAATGGTGTTTATCTTACCTTTTCCTGCTAGATTCAAGAGATCGCCCTGCAGGTTGCCAGTTCCAGAAAGAATTAAGCAAGTGAATCATTGCTTCAGAACTCGCAAGCCATTCTTCCCCAGTGCCCCCTTGGGGATAATAATACTGGCCTATCATGCAGGAGACTCTTGAGAGTCCCATGGACTGCAAGAAGATCAAACCTCTCCATTCTTAAGGAAATCAGCCCTCAGTGCTCACTGGAAGGACAGATCCTGAAGCTGAGACTTCTGTACTTTGAGACTCCAATACTTTGGCCACCTCATGAGAAGAGAAGACTCCCTGGAAAAGACCCTGATGTTGGGAAAGATTGAGGGCACAAGGAGAAGGGGACAACAGAGGATGAGATGGTTGGACAGTGTTCTCGAAGCTACCAGCATGAGTTTGACTAAACTGCGGGAGGCAGTGGAAGACAGGAGTGCCTGGCGTGCTCTGGTCCATGGGGTCACGAAGAGTCAGACACGACTAAACGACTAAACAACAACAATAACCATGCAGGACTGTTTTAAGGATTGCTGAGAACCAGGCAATATATGCAGTAGGTAAGAATACTGAACCCTGGATTCAAGTCCTTAGCCATCAAGTTCATTGGCTAAACTTGGGCTAAGTTTCTGTCAAACTGACCTTACATGGTTGCTGTGGTTATAAAATTGGTTACCGGCACGCACAATACCACAGCATTTTAGAGGGAAGGCAGGAGGCAAATGAGATAAATTTAAGCTGATACAGAACACAGAGGACACATCATTTCTTCTCCAGAAAGGATACTTGGAGTTGTAAAGCAGACAGGACTTAATCTCCTCGCTTTGCTTTATTTAGTTGCCACTCTAGATTCCATCAGATCTGTATCCAGGAATCCTAAACTTATTTGCAATCTCTCTCTGGAATACCTGATCACAAGAAAAACACCTGGTTCACCACATACCTTTCCATGTGGTACAGAATATGGCAAAGACATGGTCCTTGCACAGAGAAGGTCACAGGCTAAAAGCTGCGTGTCTACTTTGCTCAAGAGCAGGACGTGGAAGGAAGGGCTCTGGGGGTTTTTTCTACCTGGAAATGCGGAGAAAGTGCAGGATAGCCAAATATTGCAAGTGCAGACCCCAAAGCAGCCACTGTACCAGTGATTATGATGGGCTGGAGTGTGGATCCTCCTAAGGGTCAACTTATACATTATACTCAGACAAGATTAAACCAACCCATCCTTCTACAGTGGTACCTCGGGTTAAGTACTTAATTCGTTCCAGAGGTCCGTTCTTAACCAGAAACTGTTCTTAACCTGAAGCACCACTTTAGCTAATGGGGCCTCCTGCTGATGCCGCCCCGCCGGGGCACGATTTCTGTTCTCATCCTGAAGCAAAGTACTTAACCCGAGGTAATATTTCTGGGTTAGCGGAGTCTGTAACCTGAAGCGTATGTAACCTGAGGTACCACTGTATGAGTTGAGTTGAGAGGGTGAAACTGAATGAGCCATCGCAGAACTCGCTGCGCCTCTAACAAAATCCTTCCGAAGGGAGCTCCGTTCAGCTTTGAGACATCAAAGCCCTCTGTTGGGCATACGTCAGAGGATGGGGCATCACATGGCTCAGTCGGTAGAGCATGGGACTCTTAATCTCAGAGTTGTGGATTCAAGCCCAGGTTGGGCAAAAGATTCCTGCATTGCAGGGGGTTGGAGTAGTAGATGATCCTCATGGTCCCTTTGAAATCTATAGTTCTATGTAGGACTGAGCTGCAGGGCTGCACTACAGGCCCTGCCCCCAATGTTGTATGGTGTTATTACTCCTGACCCTAATGTCCACACTTTTAAGTGCGGACACCTGCAAAGGAAAGTCCACTTGCATAAACCTGTAAAACATACAGACATGCATTCTGGAACCCAGCATGAAATCCAGAACACATGAAAGCCTAGGTGTCTATGAGTGTAGGCTTTGCTTTCTGTGCTTTTCCGTGGCATCTGTAGCTGATATGTGGGGGCTGCAGGTCCTTGCAGGGCAGGATGGCTCTGCAGCTTCGTTCTATGCTTGAAGGAGGTCAGTATGTTAAGTCATCAAGCGATGAGAAATCAAGCAACGTTACATGCATGTGTGAACCAGCCTCCCTCCCCACAATAATATGCTGGGGCAGACTGCAATCTCTTGTAACGGTGGAGAAAGGGGGCCACTCTTCAGAGTAAAATACTACAAAATGCACACAGAACCTGACAGCTGCTCACATCTCCTCCCCTCCTCTCTGCAACACAAAACAAATCAGGACATCGGGAAAATCCAGGTGTATGGCAGCCCAAGTCGGCAGTTCCATTTCCCCATAAAAATAGCTCAAAAATGCATTTTTTTTAAAAAGCGATATTGCCCAAAAAGCTCAACAACTTTTCTGTCTGAATTTTCACTGCTTGAAATATGGCAACCCTAGACAAGACACAGCATGCTTCCTTTGGCTGCTGGGAGAGCAGAGGAACCGCTGCATTTTTATACTCTTTGCAAGGACCGCCCTTGTCTGTCCCCTTCTGACCTGTGACCTTGTTGACTGCAGGTTGCCCAGTGAGAAGGAGGCATCTTCTACAGAAGGGGAATCGGTTTATCGCCCCAGCCTGCGGACAGTACTCCATTCTGGGCAACCTTCCCCACATGCTAGTGGTGGGCAAGACCAGTGGGGTGCAGAAACAAATGTAAATTTTAAACTTTGGACAGTTGGCTTGCTTCTACAAGCAGAAGGCATTGTCACAGTTCAAGGACACAATACAGCCACACAAAAACACTGGTTTTGTGGGGGTTTTTGTGTGTTTTGCAAACTGGGGCCAGTGAGGGTTGTGTCCTTGGGAAGATTTCCAAACGTCAGATATTTGGCTCCCAAGCCTGAGGTTCCTCACCCTTCTAGGGTCAGGCTGATCTAAAGCAGAAACCTGGATTCAGTTCTGAGACCCTCTTGCTGAGCCTTTCCCCACGAGGTGCCCACCAGTCGTTTTAGACTACAACTCCCATCACTCCCAACCAGCACTGATGGGAGTTGTAGTCCAAAATGTACGCAAGGGCACCAAGTGGAAGAAAACTGCTAGAGCTCAGTCTTGGTCCTTCCAGAGACCAAAGGCATCCTTTGTCCTTGGTTCAAACTCAGCTATGACCTTGCCAGATGGCTTTATGCTCACTGTACTCCAAAGCCTCAGCTTTCCTCCATTTGAAATGCAGGGGTGATAATAATGACCTAGCCTCCTGGGCTGTTGCTAAGGATTACTGGGATCGTGTGTGTGTGTGTGTGTGTGTGTGCGTGCGTATCACCTCCATGTACTCCAAAAGTTAAAGCTTTCGAGAAAGGCTTATAACCAGGCTAACTCCAAAAGTTTAGGGCTGAGGGCAGAGGGAGGTTTCTTGTGTCACTAATTCTAGAAACCTAGGGCAGAGTATTATGCCCATTTAGCAGATGGGGAAGTCAGCCCAAGTGTGACATCACACCCTCCAACATTTCTCCAATGAAAATAGGGGCTTTTCCCAAGGAAAAGCAGGACATTCCGGGATCCAATCAGAAACCAGGGCGGCTTCTGAAAATCCGGAAGGTCCTTGGAAAATAGGGGCACTTGGAGGGCCTATGTGGAAGACCTGGCAAGTAGTGCAGAACAGAACCCAAGTTGAGAAGTGAACCTCTGCATTAAAGGAATGAGGCAATCTGAGGCACAGGCGAGAGTTTCGAGGTACACTCCTCCTGCAAGTGGGGGGATCCTTCATAGAGGCTCTTTCCTGGAGAGATCCCTTGGGGTTCCCTCCCTTCCTCTCCCAGAGAGAGAGCGAAAGAGAGAGAGCGCTTTCTTCGCCAGCCGCCCACGCCGCATCATTCAGCCACCCGCTTCGCAGCCTCTGCAGACAACAAGCCGACCGCCCTCCTCCTCGGGGCACGCCGCTGCCTTGCCATCTATTTGCTCGCTCCCTAGGAGGATCGAGAGAGAGAGAGAGAGAGATACAGGCGGGGCCGAGGAGAGAAAGCAAAGCATAAGGGGGGGTGTAGGCTTGGGAAGATGGCTGGGGATCAGCGAGAATCAAGAGCTTCGCCGGCCTGCGCTTCCCATGTCCTGCGAAATGCGCGCAGGGCTGCTCCTGGGTGGGTGGTCGGTGGCTAAGGACGAAGGTGGGCTGGACAGATCTAGATTGGTTCTCTCCCTGGCGGCTTGGAAACTCCTCCATCCCTCCCTCTCCCTCTCTCCCTCTCCGCTTTTGTGTGTCACAGGATCTGGTGAAAAAGCAGCCGCCCACACCCGCGCATACAAACAAACAACCCCCGGAGGCCATTGGAGGCTGCGCGCCCTGCACGGTGCGGCACTGCTGCAAGGTGCAGGCGAGGAGAGACAGATGGTTGGGGCTTTTGTAAAGGGAGCCCCTCCTCTTCCCCAGCTGCTGGAGCCAAACACTTCCTTTTCCATACAGCCAAGAAGTAGCAGCAGCAGCAAGCAAGCAAGCAAGCAGGAGGGCGGGCGGGCGGGCGAGCGCGCACACACTTTTCTCCTCCAGGCCTTCAGCCAGAGCAGTCGTCTCTCCTCTTGCCTGCTTGTGAGTCACACGCAAGGAGAGAGAGAGAGAGACAAGCGTGACAAGCATCCCCGCCCCGAGCGACACCGTCTGATTGAGAAAGAGATTGCCCTACGCACAAGGGCGCTTAAAAAAAAGAGAGAGAGAAACCAGCAATGCATCCGAAATAAGTGGATCGGGTTAGCACCCCTGTTGTTGTTGTTTAGTCGTGTCAGACTCTTGGTGACCCCCTGGACCAGAGCACGCCAGGCACTCCTGTCTTCCACTGCCTCCCGCAGTTTGGTCAAACTCATGCTGGTAGCTTCGAGAACACTGTCCAACCATCTCGTCCTCTGTCGTCCCCTTCTCCTTGCACCCTCCATCTTTCCCAGCATCAGGGTCTTTTCCAGGGAGTCTTCTCTTCTCATGAGGTGGCCAAAGTATTGGAGCCTCAGCTTCACGATCTGTCCTTCCAGTGAGCACTCAGGGCTGATTTCCTTCAGAATGGATAGGTTTGATCTTCTTGCAGTCCATGGGACTCTCAAGAGTCTCCTCCAGCTCCATAATTCAAAAGCATCAATTCTTCGGCGATCAGCCTTCTTTATGGTCCAGCTCTCACTTCCAAACATCACTACTGGGAAAACCATAGCTTTAACTATACGGACCTTTGTTGGCAAGGTGACGTCTCTGCTTTTTAAGATGCTGTCTAGGTTTGTCATTGCTTTTCTCCCAAGAAGCAGGCGTCTTTTAATTTCGTGACTGCTGTCACCATCTGCAGTGATCATGGAGCCCAAGAAAGTAAAATCTCTCACTGCCTCCATTTCTTCCCCTTCTATTTGCCAGGAGGTGATAGGCCCAGTGGCCATGATCTTGGTTTTTTTAATGTTGAGCTTCAGACCATATTTTGCACTCTCCTCTTTCACCCTCATTAAAAGGTTCTTTAATTCCTCCTCACTTTCTGCCATCAAAGTTGTGTCATCTAGCACCCCTAGTAAAGGTAAAGGAACCCCTGACCATTAGGTCCAGTCGTGACCGACTCTGGGGTTGCAGCACCCATCTCGCTTTATTGGCCAAGGGAACCGGCGTACAGCTTCCAGGTCATGTGGCCAGCATGACTAAGCCGCTTCTGGCGAACCAGAGAAGCACACGGAAACACCATTTACCTTCCCGCTGGAGTGGTACCTATTTATCTACTTGCACCTTGACGTGCTTTCGAACTGCTATGTTGGCAGGAGCAGGGACTTAGCACCCCTACTGACGTACAATTGTAAAGTTGGATGAGGATCATCTAGTTCAACCCTCTGCAATGCAGGAATATGCAGCTGTCCCATACAGGGATCGAACCTCCAATCTTGACATAATCAGCACCATGCTCTAACCAACTGAACTATCAACGCACAAGGCTGGTGGTCGCCCTGAGCCTGACTTGGTTGTCAGCAGCACCGTGCGCTGGTTTGAGAAGCTGCGATTCTAGAAAAGCTTTCCTGAGAGTAAGCCCTGCTGCCAGCGGAGGATTTGCTTCTGCATAAAAATGCACAGGGTCGCAGTGGAAAGCAGGCTAAGGAGCGCTCCCAGCTTGTGATCTCGAGTGTGCGAGGAGAGTGTTTTGTGGGATATTCTCCTCCCGACGCTACCAGAGGCACAGAAAGGCATATCTCCCACATGGGCACAGGCTGCTGCCCACACACAGATGCTTTGCTGTACTGAGCTACTTTCCGGTGGGAAAGTGGCCTTGGAGCAGAGATCTGTTTGGAGGCAGCGTCCCCCAAACAAAATACATGAAAGCATTATCTCTCCTCACCCTCTCTGTCCTCCGAAACAAGATTGCCCAAGTTTATTATCTGCCTCCCGACAGAGAAAAACGCAATCGAGTATTTCTGCACTTCACTCATGCAACTATCAACACATTGCCTCCCAAACCTGCCAGATATGGGGAACCGGTGTCCTTCCAGATATTGATGAATAACAGCTCCCATCATCGTTTGCCAATGACCATGCAGGCTGGGGCTGATGGGAGTTGAACTACCAGCAATATCCAGAGGGCCACAGGCTCTCCATCCCAAAGAAACATACACCTATCCTCCCCCCAGACTATAGTCCAGAATCTTGCACACCTTTTCTCTCCTTATCACTTTTCCTCCAGGCTGTGGTTAACTGGTCCTAGAGGACTCTTTCAGCGAATCATCCTACATTTTGGAAAACACTGAATGTTTATGGACCCAGCATGACCGGAACATGTGTACATAGATGTGCCTTTTCTGGGATCAGAAATATAAGTCTCGGAGGTCTCACCCTTGATTAACTTAAAACATTTATATCCCACCTTTCCACCTTTAAGGCAGCTTAAAACATCCATTATAACCAATGTCAACTTCGGATAACACTTCATCAGTGTCCGCAAAATACTATGCCATCATAAATTTGTTCTTTAAGGAGCTACAAGCCTCTTTTCATTGTTTTTACCTGGAGATTGGGGGAGATGAAGCTATCATAATATGGATGCATCTCCTTCTATTAAATTTATGTGAATGTTTATCCTTGTTATGTTTTCTTGAATTATTTTAAATACATTGGGGGGGTGCAGAATAGGGCAAATACTTGAACTCTGAATATGTGACTGGGAGTGGGCTCGGGCTGCTACAAAACAAACTGACAAAAGTTAACCCTAGCCCACAAAAAACTGAACTAGCTCACCCCCCCCCACATGTAGCATATTTTTCCATGTATAAGACTAGGGTTTTTTCCTAAAAAATGATGTCCAAAATTTGGGGGCGTCTTATACACGGGTAGATCTCTCCCCCCCACTTTCTTAAATCGGAGTCCCCCAAAATAGGGGGCGTCTTATACATGGGGACACCTTATAGATGGAGAACTACGGTACTTATATTGCTTGGTTGTAGCATTATTGGCTTGAAAGAATGAAGCAACTTTTCCAATTAGCAAATGCTTCTCTGCCCAGTTCCCTGAATTCCCAAAGGCATTTTTTTTAATAGCCATAGGCAACCAGGCAAGCCAGGGTTAAGGCAACACTGGCACAATGCTAGCAGGCTGGTGTTTACTCAAAGAGAGAACAACATCAGAGCATGAGATTCTTAATCTAAGGCTGTGGGTTTGAGCCCCACATTGGGCAAAAGATTCCTGCACTGCAGGGGGTTGGACTAGATGACCCTCATGGACCCTTCCAGCTCTACAATTCTATGATTCTGTAACACTCGCTCCCCTGACTCAGGCATACTGGTACGAGTTCACCAAGATCAAACACAGTTCTGTACGATTAACCCCACTGCAAAACTTTGCATGCTTACTTCAGAGTATTTTCCATTGACCAGGACATACTTCTAATATCCATGCATAGGATCAGGTCATAAGACTCTTAGACCAAAAAATATTTCAGACTATGGCTGCTCTGTAGGTATGTGAAACATCCCATCATTCACGGTCATTTTGAAGACCTGATGCCATCTACCATTCAGATATCATTCTAAATTATGTTTTTTGCTGGTTTGGACTTCATCTTAACTGAGGTTTGGCCGTCAAGTCCGAGCTTCAGGCTTGTATATGCCCATATCTTCCAAACCCAAGAATTGGCAAATTAAAATGTTATGCTATAGCTCAGGGGTAAGCAACCGAAGGCCCAGGGGCTGGATGCGGCCCAATCGCCTTCTCAGTCCGGCCCGCGGACAGTCTGGGAATCAGCATGTTTTTACATGAGTAGAATGTGTCCTTTTCTTTAAAATACATCTCTGGGTTATTTGTGGGGCGTGCCTGGTGTTTTTACATGATAGAATGTATGCTTTTATTAAAAATGCATCTCTGGGTTATTTGTGGGGCATAGGAATTCGTTCATTTCCCCCCAAAAAATATAGTCCGGCCCCCCACATGGTCTGAGGGACAGTGGACCGGCCCATGGCTGAAAAAGGTTGCTGACCCCTGCTATAGCTGAACCACTCCACTGTTCAGAACTCAAAATATGTACAGGCAAATCATGGTACAGTGGTACCTCGGGTTAAGAACTTAATTCGTTCCAGAGGTCTGTTCTTAACCTGAAACTGTTCTTAAGCTGAAGCACCACTTTAGCTAATGGGGCCTCCTGCTGCCACCACGCCACCGCCACACGATTTCTGTTCTCATCCTGGAGCAAAGTTCTTAACCTGAGGTACTATTTCTGGGTTAGTGGAGTCTGTAACCTGAAGCGTATGTAACCCGCAGTACCACTGTATAGGCCTGTTTGTCTATTTTTATTTCCCATCTGCTCAGCATTCTCATATCTAAGTGCAGTAATCTGGAGACGAAGACAGGCCACTGCAAACCAATCATGCCAAACCCACTTAAAACCATGGCTTCCAGTTCTGATTTGCCGGCTGATGGCAAACCATGATTTGTCAATTCAGACTTCATGCTAAGCCACACTTTACTTCCTTAACTATTGTTTAGCAGGATGTCGAAACTGAACCAAAGGATGTGGCAAGGAATATGCTGAGGTACTCAAAGACTGAACATCCATTTGCACAGGGCAGTGGTACATATCCTCTGGTCCTCCAGATATCTGCTGGATTTCAATTCCCATCACCCCAACCACTGGCCATGCTAGCTGAGGCCAACAGGTGTTGTAGTTCAACAGCATCACAGGGCACCAGGTTTCCAAACCACTTCCACAGTGCATAGGTAAAGGTAAAGGGACCCCTGACCCTTAGGTCCAGTCGTGGCCGACTCTGGGGTTGCGGCGCTCATCTCGCTTTATTGGCCAAGGGAGCCGGCGTACAGCTTCCGGGTCATGTGGCCAGCATGACTAAGCCGCTTCTGGCGAACCAGAGCAGTGCGCGGAAACGCCGTTTACCTTCCCGCCGGAGCGATACCTATTTATCTACTTGCACTTTGACGTGCTTTCGAACTGCTAGGTTGGCAGGAGCAGGGACCAAGCAACGGGAGCTCACCCTGTCACGGGGATTCAAACCGCTGACCTTCTGATCGGCAAGTCCTAGGCTCTGTGGTTTAACCCACAGTGCCACCTGCGTCCACAGTGCATAGCTGAAAGGAAAACAACAGCTACTACTTATCAATTTGCCAATAATCAATTTGTCTCCACCCCCATCACTGAGGTCTAGCTCCGTGGGCCTTCTGGAGGTTCCCTCCCTGCGAGAAGTGAGGTTACAGAGAACCAGGTAGAGGGCCTTCTCAGTAGTGGCGCCCGCCCTGTGGAACGCCCTCCCATCAGATGTCAGGGAAATAAGCAACTATCTGACTTTAAGAAGACATTGGAAGGCAGCCCTGTTTAGGGAAGTTCTTAATGTTTGATGTTTTATTGTGTTTTTAATATTCTGTTGGGAGCTGCCCAGAGTGGCTGGGGAAACCCAGCCAGATGGGTGGGGTATAAAGAAATAAATTATCATCATCATCATCATCATCATCATCATCATCATCACCATGCCTGAATGACATTATTCAGGTAAACGTTGTTCCATATCTTGGGATCTCCCTAGTTCCTTAAACCTCCTTGAACAGTTATCAGCTATTGTGAAATCCATGCTCTTGCAAAAGACAGCCCTCTTTTGCACACAGACTAACAATATGCCATACAACTAATACTTCCTTTACCATTTTAATAGAGAGGTCTCATTCAAATGGGGGGTCTGACCCTCATTTATAAGAAGGGCTGTGATTCTGCCAGAACACAAGACTCTGGTATTCGGAAGAGAATACAGCCTCCTGCTAATTTCATCCCCCCCTTTCTCTCTGCATGACGCAAAGATGTGTTTGAAAATGTGTAGGCAATGCTTGCCAAAAGAGGTGGCTAAATAAGATTTCCAGTGGGTTAGAGGAGAGGCTTTTAATGCCCAGCTGGTTCATTACCCCTACTCATGATTAGCAAAACCAAAAGAAGTCATGCAAAATACAAAAATGCAGAATTGTTGGTTTTTAAAAAAATGAAAAATATGCACATTTCTCTTATTATGTGTGTTGGGTTTTTTTAACACAGAGGCATACAGAACCTGCCTTCTCCTGCTGCAGTTTTCTTTGTGGGGAGGGGTAAACACAAATCATATACAGCCTTGTTTATAGTTCAAGTAATTTCACTCTTCCTAACACCAAGGATGGGTAGAATAAATATACAAGTCCAGAAGCACGCAAACAAATCCAAGATTCGAAGGAACTGGCTTCATGAAGTTCCCAAGGTCAGAGTTGGCCCTACCATTAGACAGAGTGAGTCAGCTGCTTCAGGCAGCAGTTGCTACTGGGTGACAATGTGCTTTTGGGAAGCAGAGCTGCGTGTGCCACCTGCCCTGACCTACAACCCCTAAGGACACGATGTCCCTCCTTTTGCTAGTATTGAAGTGAGAGACAGCTGTCAATCAGGTCTGCTTCAGAACAAGACTTTGCCTTCTTGTCTTTCCGCCTCAGGCAGCAAAATGACTTGGGCTACCCCTGCCCGGGGTTCCTTTATTAACCAATCATTTGATTGCTGAGCCAACAGCCTTGGGCAGATAGGAAATTCAGGAACCCCATCACTGCCAACCTGTCTCTCTTAGTCACGCCAAGAAGTGGTGCCCTGGTGGGTGGGTGCACACCCACAATCCAGTTTAATTCAGAGAATGCTATGGTCAAGACTGCAGAGTTATTATATGCCCATGATGGCAGGTATTGATTTGGTGTGTCCTGAAAGGGCGGCAGATGGTTTCGTTATTTAATTTATTAGCATGATTTTTATTTTTCTGCCAGGGCAGAGGAAGAGTCGCTTATGGGATTTCCTGCCTCAGTCAAGCAACACTGAATGAATAGCCCCCTGGTCGTGAACTACGAGCCAACTGCACAAATTCAGGAAAGCCAGGAGTGGTGCCAGAGCCAGGAAGCCATTCAAAGAAGAGAACGCTCTGCGGCACTGCCAGCGTCAGAGGACGGCAAAGTCAGGTGTTTACCGGTGCCCAAATGCAAGCCGCTTGCTGCCCAACAACACTCCCCCTATTTTCACTATAAACAGAGCACCCACAAGGGGATGAGAGATAATTCTCAGTTGGAATTCCCCACATATTCCAGGCCAGAAATGGGGGGGGGGGGCGTTTGTCACCTGAACTTATCTTGCAGCTAAGGCCACCCAAGCCAGAATGTTTATTCATTCAAAAGCTCTGCAAGCTCATTCATTTCCTGCATGGGGTGCAGAAATGGCACCCCAGTTTTTCGGGGGGGGGGGGGGAGAGAATAGCGACAATGCTCAGCATGCAAACTAAATACACATACGCCTTTCCCCCCAGAGCTGAAGGGGAATAGGCATCCAGTCACACACAGCTTGTGACGGAAGAATTACAGAATTCTAGAGTTGGAAGGGACCCAATGGTCATCTAGTCCAACCCCCTGCAATGCAGGAATCTCAATACAAGGTTGCCCATCCAATCTGAAACCATACCAGACCCTGCTTAGCTTCGCAAACGTGCCCGCAGTTTTATTGCTGCGCCCATTCTTACCCATGATGCCCTCCTGAAATTCAGGGTTCTGCTCCAGCTCTGCAGGGCTGTCCCCTTCTCACCCCACTGCTGCTTCCTGAACAATGGACGATAAGGTGCCCTTGCTCTAACCACAAGGCTACATGTCCTCTGCAGAGGTATCCCCCCAACTCTTGGGAAACCCCAGAACCCCGAATTCCCAGACAACTTCCTCCAACCTACTACTATGTACTACTCTGTTTCCAAAGCCATTTTCGGGATCTAATATTAATTTTACTTATTTCCAGGAGGCCAGCATGCTTGCAGCTGGGGTTTCAGAGTGCAAGTTCCGCTCCCAGCAAACCAAGACTTTTCGCAGCAGCGCCAGCCAACTTTTATTTCCCTTCTGCAACTTGCACCGGGGGCGCAGTGTTTACCCCACCGCCCGATCTCCCGGCTTACTCTCTCCTGACTTTATAAAGAGTCATGGAAGACAGAACGCATCTGCCTTTGGGACCCGGGAGGCTCCAATCAGCAGCTGCTGCAGGCAGAAGAGGAGGCAAAAAATAAAAAAAAGAGCCTTCTGATGGTGAAGAGAGATCTCCCAGGCTCCGCCTGGCTCAGATCGAGCTCGGTGGGATCATCTGGGGTTCCCTGCACGTAGAAAGCCAGCCCTCCCAACCCGGGTGGCCCATGCAATCGGCGCCCCTTACCTGGAGGGCGAGGGGTCTCCAAGGGATGGGATGGGTGGAGGGGAGATCTGGGAGATCAGCAGCAGCAGGAGGAGGATCCTCGGGGGTTCCCAGCAGTTTCCTCTCTCTTCCTCTCTCTGGCTGGGAGCAGGTGGCTGCTGAAGCCCTGGCGCTGATGTCACCAGGCTCGGGCGGCTGCTGTTGCTGCTGCCTCATCTGCTGTCTCCTCCCCAGCCAGCCCCATGCAAGGAGGCAGAGGCAAAAGACAGGGCGATGAATTATTTAAAGGTGCAGAAGCCATTTGCAGGCGAAAGGGAAAGCAGCGAGGGGGATTGCAAAATAAAAATAAAGAAATAGGCACACACGCGCGCCCGCGCAATCCGCGCCGCCGCCTCTTACTTCCGAAATGCGGGACACGCACATCGAGGAGAATCCTTGCAGTGAACGGCGGGGGGAGATACCCACCAAGAAGGGACACCCCCCCCGCCCCAGCACTCCTTTCAGGGGTGCCAACCTGAATATAATATAAGGGGGGGGGGTCCAAATAAGATCTACGCTGCAGAATCTCTCCCTCTCCCTCCCTCCCTCTCTCTCTCTCTCTCTCTCTCTCTATATATATATATACAGATTCTGCAGGGTAGAGCTTATTTGGACCCCCCCCCTTTATATTATATTATATTCAAGTTGGCACCCCAACTTGAAAACCAAATAAACACACACACACACACATTTGTTTATTTGGTTTTCAAACCAGAGTTTTACAATCTCATATCCAATATATAACATAAAAACAAGGTTCCAAAGAATCTTCTGGACTTCACTCCTTGCCAGTGCCGGATTTACGTACAGTGGTACCTCGGGTTACATACGCTTCAGGTTACAGACTCCGCTAACCCAGAAACAGTACCTCGGGTTAAGAACTTTGCTTTAGGATGAGAACTGAAATTGCGCGGTGGCCGCGCAGCAGCAGCAGCAGGAGGCCCCATTAACTAAAGTGGTGCTTCAGGTTAAGAACAGTTTCAGGTTAAGAACGGACCTCCGGAATGAATTAAGTACTTAACCCGAGGTAGCACTGTATAAGCTAAACAAGCTATAGCTTAGGGCCCCACTATCTTGGGTGGCCCCCAAAAATTCACTATTAATACACTTCTTCTTAATTGTCTTTCAGTTCAACAATTACTTTGATAAAATACATATTTTGTTAGGTGCAAATGGCTTTAGATACTTATTGGGTCTATAAATTACCATATGGCATATATTGAACACCAAAAAAAGCATGCGGCGGCCATGGCCCCTCAAGGCAAGGCATGGAGGGTGAGGGTCCAACCAGGTCCTGTTATTAGGCCCCTAGCCAAAATAAGGGTTTCCCACACACTCTCTTGAGAGACTCTTGAGAGTCCCATGGACTGCAAGAAGAGCAAACCTTTCCATTCTGAAGGAAATCAGCCCTGAGTGCTCACTGGAAGGACAGATCCTGAAGCTGAGGCTCCAATACTTTGGCCACCTCATGAGAAGAGAAGACTCCCTGGAAAAGACCCTGATGTTGGGAAGGAAAAGGGGACGACAGAGGACGAGATGGTTGGACAGTGTTCTCGAAGCTACCAGCATGAGTTTGACCAAACTGTGGGAGGCAGTGGGAGACAGGAGTGCCTGGCGTGCTCTGGTCCAGGGGGTCACAAAGAGTCGGACACGACTAAACAACAACAAATACCATGGCCCATTAGTGTGCATAGCCTTATCTTTCATGAATCTCCCTACTGCTTTTTCGGAACCATCCCTACATCAATGGTCACCACCACTTCTTAACAATAACCAGTTCCACAAGTTTATTACGTGGCCTGTGAAGAAGCATTTCTGTTTCTCTGTTCTTGAACCTGTTGCAAATCAACTTGACTGGCATAATCCTGGGCTCTTGTATAATCAGTGGGAGTGCAAGAAAGTTCTTGAACCTCCCCGTTCGCAGTTTCATCGGCCTCCTTTACACACATACATCTTTTATCCTTTCTGTAAACTAAAAATAAAACACCTGCACTTGCTTGGATTGCCAAAGGTGGAACATTCAACCCCTGGCATTCTCAGTTAAATGATCGGGTTGCGAGTGGTGTAAAAGCCTGAGATACACCAGCCTGAAAAACAAATAGAGTGGTACCTCGGGTTACCTACGCTTCAGGATACAGACGCGTCAGGTTACAGACTCCACTAACCCAGAAATAGTACCTGAATGAACTTTGCTTCCGGATGAGAACAGAAATTGTGGTCTGGCGACGTGGCAGCAGCGGGAGGCCCCATTAGCTAAAGTGGTGCTTCAGGTTAAGAACGGACCTCCGGAACGAATTAAGTACCGTATTTTTCGCTCCATAAGACACACTTTTCCCCTCTTAAAATCTAAGGGAAATGACTAAACGACTAAACAACAACAACACACTCTCTCTCACACACAAAAAAACCATCTGGGAAACAAAGGCAACAATCCTCACTGCACACTTTCGTGGCTGGAAGTATACCAGGCGAAACAGAGCCGGGCCTGCTCACAAGTCAACAGGCCTCAGGGGCGGTCTAGTTTTTGTACCAACCTGGCGTGTGAGGTGAAAACCTAGCCTTGAAATCTCACAGAAGTTGTAACCCAGACAGGCCACCCCATCATACCCTTCAACATCTCTCTGATGAAAACAGGGGTGTCCTATTCCATTGTTATTATTGTTATTATTTTTATTTTTATTTTTATTATTACAGTGGTACCTCAGGTTACAGATGCCTCAGGTTACATACGCTTCAGATTACAGACTCCGCTAACCCAGAAATAGTACCTCGGGTTAAGAACTTTGCTTCAGGATGAGAACAGAAATCGCACGGTGGCACGGTGGCAGCGGGAGGCCCCATTAGCTAAAGTGGTACCTCAGGTTAAGAACAGTTTCAGGTTAAGGACGGACCTCCGGAACGAATTAAGTTCTTAACCTGAGGTACCACTGTATTATTATTATTTTACCATTTATACCCTACCTATCTGTCTGGGTGGCCCCAGCCACTCGGGGCGGCTTCCAACATAAATAAAAACATAATTAAGCGTGAGGAAAGTTCCCTACAGGGCTGCTGTCAGATGCCTTCTAAAAGTTGTATAGTTACTCAGCTCCCTGGCTTAGGGGTCGCTGCCCTCCCAACATTTATCCGATGAAAATACGGACGTCCCAAGGAAAAGTGGGACTTTCTGGGATCAAGTCAGAAACCGGGATGGCTTCTGTAAATGCTGTTCCTGGAAAATAGGGACACTTGGAGGGTCTGCCCCATGTGGCAATGTGGGGTCGTAAATCTGCACGGGCAGTGCGCCCCCCAACCTCCAGAGGAGTAACGGGGAGAGCCCTCAAATACTTGTCCTGTACACATATAACTGGGAGTAAGCCCCACTGAATTCAATGAATCCAGACTGAATCCAGACTGTCTCTCTCTCTGTCTGTATATACAGATATAAAGATACATTCTGTCTGCAATATGTCATTGACTCACAATTTGTGCTGGATTTATACCAGGCTGTCCGCACATCAGTCTGCTTCATTAGTTCTCCTGTGATACTTCCCCAGTGTTACTGCGTTTTTGCTGAATGGAAGGACACTCTAGTGCTATAGCACAATGAAAGCGGGACAAAAAAACAACAACCCTAAAACCCAACAATCCCAGAACATTTGTGGTATAAAAAGTTTCAGACTGGGTCTCTGCAGGAAGTTGTGGAGTATGCATTGGTTGGAAACGAACCAATCGTGTTTTTATATTCTGTTGGGAGCTGCCCAGAGAGGCTGGGAAAACCAAGCAAGATGGGCAGGGTATGTATGTATGTATGTATGTATGATGTATGTATGTATGTATGTATGTATGTATGTATGATGTAGGTATGTATGTATGTATGATGTATGTATGTATGTATGTATGTATGATGTATGTATGTATGTATGTATGTATAAAAAATAAAATAAAATAAAATAAAAATAAATTTTTATTTAAGCCCACCCTTCCCGGTTTAAAAACCGGGCTCAGGGCTGCTAACAGCAAATATAAAACATTGATTAAAATGCGACTGAAAAACAGCATAAAATACAACATAAAAATGCAGCATCAATATCAATAAAATTCAAAAATTAAGGGGTCATTTGGGGGGGGGGGATAAAAAAAGGGGGGGACTCAGTCAGTAGACATCAAATGATCACCAGGGTTAACTGGCCAAGTTGGTCTTAGTAGGGCCAGCAAGGAGACCAGGGAAGAATTTAAATGTGGGGTCCCAGAAAGGGTTTCTTCATAGAAGAGGAAAGGGGAAAGGGAATAGAGAGTCAGGCTATTAGTGTTTGGTTACTGTACCCTCCAGCATACATAAAGGATTGTTCTGTAACTGATCACAGGAAAGCAAGTTCAAGAAGCACCCTGCTTGTTACAATGGTGGGGGGAAATACTGTATAATTTGTGGAAATTCTCATTCGGATCATGAAGAAGAAGAGTTTGGACTTGATATCCCGCCTTTCACACCCCTTCAGGAGTCTCAAAGCGGCTAACAATCTCCTTTCCCTTCCTCCCCCACAACAAACACTCTGTGAGGTGAGTGGGGCTGAGAGACTTCAAAGAAGTGTGACTGGCCCAAGGTCACCCAGCAGCTGCATGTGGAGGAGCGGGGAAGCAAACCCGGTTCCCCAGATTACGAGACTACGGCTCTTAACCACTACACCACACTGGCTCTCATGTTCTTTGGTAGATGTTTTATTTGCATTTATGAAAAAGGAAACGTAGCCCGTTCTCACCTATCACCCCTCAGCTATGTGTTAATTTTAAACACCTGCCTGAGCAACTATTTTGGACCTTCTTAGTTCCACTGCCATCAGGAGAGTCCTATCTTGGTATCAAACCCAGGGTGGATCGTGAGCAGCCTTCGCAGGATCAGAACCCAGGAGATCAATCTGCCCTGGATCAATACCATGAGCAAGTCAGGCTGCCAAGCAAAGAGTCAGGAGAGCTGATCGATACAGCTGCATCAAGGCCAAAGAAGGGAGCCAAAGGCAGAATGAGGTTAAAGCCAGCTGGGCCGGACAGTCTCAAAGCAGGAGAATCAAGATGTCAAAAATGGAGGTCAGGCACTCAAGACGAAGGCAGCAGATTTAAAAAACAACAACAGAAGATACCAATCACAGACAAAATAGGTAGGATCTATTTTGCATGGCCGGATTTAGGTTTGATGAGGCCCCAAGCTAC